TTTAAATCTTTTTCATTAAAATTTTTGATAATTCAATTATTTTCAAAATTTGCAATTATAAAATTCTTGAAAAGTTAATTTTCAAAATAATTTTTTCAAGTAACAAAATACTTGAAAAAAAATTAATTATTTTCAATTAAATTTTACATAATTTCAATTATTCAAAATATTTTTAATTTTATATTTCGAAAATTTAATTAGATTTTCAGCAATTATCATATTTAACTATACATTTAAAGCTTTTTCATTAACCCCTTCAGTGTGTAGCTAAAATATAACAAAATGGTCCAAAAATGTGTAAGACCTTCTTGTAAATAAATTTTCATGACAATAGGTACTAAGGGGTTTTTGGGGTCGCTGATTACGATTCCGGTGTTAGTTTTCAAAAATTCAAAATGGCGGACACGATTTTGAAAAATTCATTGGATTCGCTTAAAAATCGTTACTCGGGGATTTTCGTGGTCGCTGATTACGAATCTGACATTAGTTTTTTAAAATTCAAAATGGCGGATCCAAAATGGCGGACACGATTTTGAAAAATTCATTGAATACGCTTAAAATTCGTTATTCGGGGGTTTTCGGGGTCGCTGATTACGAATCTGTTATTAGCTTTTTAAAGTTTAAATGGTAAGAATTATTAAAAGAATTTATCCACTTTTAAAATTTTTCAAAATTTTTGGCGACCATTTTGGATGAAAAATTATTTGTTTTTAAAATCTTACTTCAGATTCGTGATCAGCGACCCCAAAATCCCCCGAGTAAAAATTTTTAAAAGAATTTATCCATTTTTGAAATTTTTTAAAATTTTTGGTGGCCATTTTGGATGAAAAATTATGTATTCTGAAAATATGACTTCAGAATCGTGATCAGCGACCCCAAAAATCCCCGAGTAAGAATTTCTAAAAGAATTTATCCACTTTTGAAATTTTTCAAAATTTTTGGCGGCCATTTTGGATGAAAAATTATTTATTTTGAAAATCTGACTTCAGAATCGTGATCAGCGACCCCAAAAACCATCGAGTAAAAATTTTTGCGAATATACGTTAAGATGTTTTCTTGTTCGGGCCATGACGTGTATACACGTCATCCACTGTTTGGGCCAGTTTTTTTCATGACGTGTATACACGTCATCCACAGTCAAGGGGTTAATATTTTTGATAATTCAATTACTTTTCAAATTTGCAATCATAAAATTAATTTTCATTTTTATTGAATTTACACTTGAAATTCATTAAAATTTTTGAAAATTCAATTATTTCCAAAATTTTACAATTAAAATTCAATAAAAATTATTTTTCAAAAATTATAATAAAATACTGAAAAACATTATTTATTTTCAATGAAATTTTACAAAGTTTCAATTCTTAAAAATCTTTTTAATTATATATTTCAAAAATTGAATTAGAAAAATTATTCAAAAATAAAAGATTTAATAGTTATTCTTTTCACACTATATAAATCGAAATAAGTTGCATTATTTTATACTAAAAATATGGTATTTTATCGGAAAAATTGTGAAAAAAAATCGAAAAAGTCGTAATTTTTTAATATAAGTCGATAAAAATTGGCATTATTTGAAAATAGTCGAAAAAAGTCGAAAAAAGTAAAAAGAAACTCATAATATCCTAGGCCTGAATATTGAAAGATTGAAATTGAGAAAATAATATGTTTTTCCATTATATACATTTAAGCCTATTATTTATTATAATGCTATTATTATTGGCATAAGCATTACAATATCGCGACATCGACCTGCAGGGCCGACGACACGACCTACGTTCGCTTGTGTGTTACATAATAGACGATTTCACAGCCATTTTATTGCACCTTCACTTATATATTTTTATACAAAGTATTCTAATAATAAATAACGATTTACACCCTTTTTGCAATTTTTTTTTTTTTTATTCTTTTTACAATTTCTTTTACACTTAGCGAACAACTTCCATTTGTGTTCAAATAATTATCGTCATTATGGGGAACACAGCGCTGCAGAAATATATAGATGAACTTACTTGGTAACTTACAATATTAGAGAAAAAAAAAAGATTTCATTTTCTATCTGAAAGTAATATATTTTCTGCAAAGTATCTTTACATTAAATAATCCACGAACGCTTTATGCATTTTAATCGGGGATTTAAATCTTTTCTTCCATTTTTGTATACAACGAAGGATACTTATTTTTGTAATGCGAATTCATTTATTTTGTGTGATCTCAAAATATATTGTAAGTTGAATGTTTTTTTAAATACTTTTTTTTAATATTTTTTAAATGTTTTTTTAAAATATGTTTTTAAATTATTTTTTTAAAATATTTTTTTAATATGCTTTTCAAATATTTTTTTCAAATATTTTTTTTAAATATGCTTTTAAAATATTTTTTTCAAATATGTTTTTAAAATATTTTTTTAATATGCTTCTCAAATATTTTTTTCAAATATTTTTTTTAAATATGCTTTTAAAATATTTTTTTCAAATATGTTTTTCAAATATTTTTTTTATATATGCTTTTCAAATATTTTTTTCAAATATGTTTTTAAAATATTTTTTTAAAATATTTAAAAAAAAAAATTTTTTAAACACTTTTTTTCTGCGAATACTTTTCGAAAATGTATTTATTGCATTTTATTGTTTTTGTTTTTTTATACTTTTTTGTTAAATACATCCTTTTTTTTACTTAATATGAAAGTTATATTTAATTAATCCTTCTTCGAAAAAAGGGAATTTATTCGTGGAATAAAAATTTTTTCGCTTTCTTTCTTTCTTTCTTTTAAAAGAAAACTCGATTAAAATCTTCCTCGCTCCCCTTCATTTACATCGCCCTTATTTTTCACTTCCTGGCTCTTTACCCTTCACAGGTCATTGACATTAAATTTCAGAAAAGCATATTTCATGTCAGTGTATTAAGGATACTTAGGTTTTTAGGCCGAGCATTGATTAACTTTAATATCGCATCGCTCCCCCACGATACAATCTGAATGAACTCTCTCACGTGTATAATGATTTTTTTATTTATACACACTCTAATTAATAATTCATTTTCTCCTCGTTTTATAAAACAAAAAAAAACAAACATATTTTCTCAATATTCAAATTTCCATTCCCTTAAAACATTTATCAATTCTCAGAATGAAAATTGATAAATGTTTTAAGGAAATGAAAATTAAAGAATGGTTTGTAAAATAATGAATTGAAAAGTAAATTAAAAAATAGAAAAATAAATTTCCTTTTGAAAAAAAAAATATTTTCTATTTGGAAATAATTGTTTTTTTAAAAATTTTTTTTTCTCTCTTTGGTTTTTGATAATTAAAAAAAAGCACAAAAAGTGGTGTGGGTTTTATCATCATCGCATAAGTAGTGTGGGGTAATTTGTTGGACGACGATGGCAATGAGTTATTACTAGGCAGAATAGTCTAACTAACCAAGTAACCACGAGACCTCAATCGGATAGAGAAAGGCGACCTAGACCAAGTCTCGACCACAATCAAGTCAAACTTAACTGTATACATACAATTTACATTCGCTGTGTTGGGATATTATTGCTTTTATACCAACTTATGTTGCATTAGTGTGCCACATCTTCTCTCGCAGTCTGTGTAAATGCTCTTGATTTCAAATGTTTACAGACATAAATAGCTCCTTATTACTGTTTAAAGTCTGATGATGCATCTGTTTTCATCTCACTTTCATTCAGCCGATATTAATCCCATTAGGAAAATAAGACTATTAATCTCATTATGTGTAGTTATCCAATCATTTACGATGTACTTGTGTGTAGAATTCATTTTTCTTTTGCAGAAAGTGCATTCAATTAAATTCTTGTTTCTTTTTCATATTTATTTTTATTACTTTAATTATTATCTATCAGGATTTTTTAGCAGTATTTTTATACAGATTTTTACTATTGAAATTACTCTCTAAATTTGAATTAGCAAAAATTAATTTAAGTGGCAGACTTTTTGCTTCTGAATTAGTAAATTTTTCTAATTTAGTAGAAATTATTATTCTTTAGTAAAATTTCAAGGTGGAGTGAAGAAAAAAGTCAAGCAAAGTCAGAAAAACAAAATTTTTGTCAGTAAATTCAGAGAAGTGACAGTAAAAGAAAAAATTTAAATTAGTGAAAATTCTTACTGATTTGAAAAAAATTAAAGAAGATGAAGATGATTTCGAAGATGAAGGAATCAAAAAACAAAATTATTTCTGCAGAAATTACTCAAAACATTAAACAAATTCTGTTTTGTTTTCAATTTCATTTCAACGATAATGTATTCGCTATTGCCCTCTTTAAGTTGAAGCGAAAGCTAATTCTTATTTTATACGAGAAGATCGTCTTCATTCGCGCATCCTACACTCTGTACCGTCATTTAATACTTGTAAGTCGTTCAACAGGTTTCTCCAGTTTCTCAAAAATAAGCATTACACCCAGGAGGAAAAAAATTTTTTTAATAGGTCAAAAGTCTTGTTTTTTATTAGCACAAAAAGTGGAAAAATTATCACAAACTTTATTGTTTATCTAAAAAATCAGTTTTTACTTTCTTTTTCCATTTTTTTGGGGTAAAATAATTTATTTATTTATTTAAGTATAGTATAATATAGTTTAGTTTCATAATACGAGAAAAATAATAATTAAATTCTTATTTCAATACTATAATTTATTTTGTACTCTCTAGAGGCAATATTCTAATTGTATACTTTCATTTCGCTCCATTAAGTCAATTTTTTGTACCGAGACAGAATCACTTTCATTGTTAGTGAAAATATCTGCAATACATAAACCTAATGCACTGGAACGTTTGTAGAACGAGGAAAGTCAGATGCCAATGAAAGTGAGAGGACCTCCTTATTTCTCCTTCTAGTTCTCTTTTATATAATAATCATAAACTTGGGAATAATAGAAAATTTTTATTTATTTTTTGCTACGATTTTTAGATAATGAAAGTTTTATCAAATTTTTATCAAATTCTTTAACTGATGGGATTTTTTCTTTTTTTGTTGCAGATTATTATAATTGAGTAAAAATTGAAGAAAAAACGAGATCTGGGAGAATCTAAAAAGGAAGGCCCCGGACATAAACATGGTAATGGCTGTCAACGATTCGCAAATGTTGTCGAATGGCACAGCAGACGCCATGACGATCATCCCTCCAAATGGAAAGTTGCCGAACAGTAACGGCGTGATTTGCATCAATCACAATGGAAATGGAAAAACTTCGAATGGCAAATCGCACGAACTTGGCGTTGTGGAAAATGGAAAATCCGTTATTCCGATGGACGAAAAGCCAGCGAGTTTCCCCGCTGATTTTATCGACGATGAAGTGTCCTGTGGTTGGGGCGTTTTTCGGCCTCGATGGCTGCAGGCCTTCGCCACTAAACAGGCATTTTTGGCCATTTTCTGTCTTACTTGGGTAGGTGGATTATTTTTTTCCTAAAAAATTACTAAAATCCTATAATACAGGCATCACAGTTGGTCCCGAGGGGGTAATTACTGATTAAAATTGTGTACACTCTAATGCACTAAATTTTCCTGCTATTACGCGTATTATCCAGTATTACAGGGTATTACAGAACTATTACAGGGTATTACTGATTATTACAGAATATTACCTCTATAATTATTATGTGGTATTACACTGACGTAATAATGCTCTATTACACTCTATTACGTGACTATTACATGACTATTACGTGAGGAGGGTACACGCTAATACACAAGTAAATACCCCCTCGGTTGGTCCCCTTTTTTCAATTTTGTCACCTTTTTCCCCTTGCTTGGTGCTTTGTACCCTTTTCACCTTTTTCTAATCAATAAGAAGAAGAAGATTTTCTTTTCTTGAAATGTTTTTCAAAGTATAATCATAAATTTATAATGAACTTAGATTTTTGCAAAAATTTTCATAATTTAAATTATTATGAAATTAGTTAAATTTTTTAATGTTTATATATTTAATTAATTACTAAAAATAATTAATTTATATAGGAATTTTAGTTAAAAACACTAAAAAAATTTAATTTTCGAGAAGTTTCAAATGATTGAAAAAATTCAATTACTTTAAAAAGTAATAAAACTCTTCGCAGAAATTCAATTATATTCAAATATTTAAAGAAATTTTCGTCAAAATTTCAATTCTCTTTAAAAATTATAAAATTCTTCGAAAATTTCAATTATTTTCAAAAAATGTAATAAAATTCTTGTCAAAATTTTAATTATTTTCAAAAATTTTAAGAGAATTTCGTCAAAATTTCAATTCTCTTTATAAATTATAAAATTCTTCGAAAATTTGAATTATTTTCAAAAAATGTAATAAAATTCTTGTCAAAATTTCAATTATTTTCAAAAAATTGTAAGAAATTTTCGTCAAAATTTCAATACTTTTTATAAATTATAAATTTCTTCGAAAATTTCAATTCTTTTCAAAAAATGTAATAAAATTTCAATTATTTTCAAAAATTATAAGATATTTTCGTCAAAATTTCAATTCTCTTTATAAATTATAAAATTCTTCGAAAATTTCAATTATTTTCAAAAAATGTAATAAAATTCTTGTCAAAATTTCAATTATTTTCAAAAATTTTCGTCGAAATTTTCAATTTTCTTGATAAAATATAAAATTCATCGAAATTTAAATTATTTAAAAACAATTTTAATAAAATGCTTGTCAAAATTTCAATTATTTTCAAAAATTTTAAGATATTTTCGTCAAAATTTCAATTCTCTTTAAAAATTATAAAATTCTTCGAAAATTTCAATTATTTTCAAAAAATGTAATAAAATTCTTGTCAAAATTTTAATTATTTTCAAAAATTTTAAGAGAATTTCGTCAAAATTTCAATTCTCTTTATAAATTATAAAATTCTTCGAAAATTTGAATTATTTTCAAAAAATGTAATAAAATTCTTGTCAAAATTTCAATTATTTTCAAAAAATTGTAAGAAATTTTCGTCAAAATTTCAATACTTTTTATAAATTATAAATTTCTTCGAAAATTTCAATTCTTTTCAAAAAATGTAATAAAATTTCAATTATTTTCAAAAATTATAAGATATTTTCGTCAAAATTTCAATTCTCTTTATAAATTATAAAATTCTTCGAAAATTTCAATTATTTTCAAAAAATGTAATAAAATTCTTGTCAAAATTTCAATTATTTTCAAAAATTTTCGTCGAAATTTTCAATTTTCTTGATAAAATATAAAATTCATCGAAATTTAAATTATTTAAAAACAATTTTAATAAAATGCTTGTCAAAATTTCAATTATTTTCAAAAATTTTAAGATATTTTCGTCAAAATTTCAATTCTCTTTAAAAATTATAAAATTCTTCGAAAATTTCAATTATTTTCAAAAAATGTAATAAAATTCTTGTCAAAATTTTAATTATTTTCAAAAATTTTAAGAGAATTTCGTCAAAATTTCAATTCTCTTTATAAATTATAAAATTCTTCGAAAATTTGAATTATTTTCAAAAAATGTAATAAAATTCTAGTCAAAATTTCAATTATTTTCAAAAATTGTAAGAAATTTTCGTCAAAATTTTAATACTTTTTATAAATTATAAAATTCTTCGAAAATTTCAATTATTTTCAAAAAATGTAATAAAATTTCAATTATTTTCAAAAATTATAAGATATTTTCGTCAAAATTTCAATTCTCTTTAAAAATTATAAAATTCTTTGAAAATTTCAATTATTTTCAAAAAATGTAATAAAATTCTTGTCAAAATTTCAATTATTTTCAAAAATTTTCGTCGAAATTTTCAATTTTCTTGATAAAATATAAAATTCTTCGAAATTTAAATTATTTAAAAACAATTTTAATAAAATGCTTGTCAAAATTTCAATTATTTTCAAAAATTTTAAGATATTTTCGTCAAAATTTCAATTCTCTTTATAAATTATAAAATTCTTCGAAAATTTCAATTATTTTCAAAAAATGTAATAAAATTCTTGGCAAAATTTCAATTATTTTCAAAAATTTTCGTCGAAATTTTCAATTTTCTTGATAAAATATAAAATTCTTCTAAATTTCAATTATATTTAAAAACAATTTTAATAAAATTCTGGTCAAAATTTCAATTATTTTCAAAAATATAATAAAATTCTTATCAAAATTTCATTTATTTTCAAAAATTTTAAGAGAATTTAGTCAAAATTTTAATTCTTTTTATAAATTATAAAATTCTTTGAAATTTCAATTATTTTAAAAAAATGTAATGAAATTCTTGTCAAAATTTCAATTATTTTCAAAAATTGTAAGAAATTTTCGTCAAAATTTCAATTCTTTTTATAAATTTTAAAATTCTTCGAAAATTTCAATTATTTTTAAAAAATTTAATAAAATTCTTTCAATTATGTACAAGCAAATTTAATAAAATTATTCTTGTCAAAATTTGAATTGTTTAAAAAAATTTTGCTCATTTCAATGATTTCCAATATCTAGTATTTTAATAAAATTATGCAAAAGAATTTAATTATTTAAAAACAATTTTAAAAAAATTCTACGCAAACATTTAAATATTTTCAAAAATAATAAAATTCTTTTTAGAAAAACAATTCTTTTCATAAATAAAATTGATCGCAGAATTATAATTACTTTTTAATAGAATTTTATTGAAATTCCTGGAAAATGTATAATTATTCTTAAAAATTTTATTAAAATTCGTCAAAGGAATGCAATTATTTAAAAGTTTGTTGACGAAATTCTTTATGAGAATTAAAGTTTAAGGAACATTAAATTATTGAATAAATTATTTATTTGCATTTTATTTGTATTTAAAAGTGAATTTCAGTTAAGATTTTACATTATGATTGAATATTAAAAGTAATATGTATAGCGTGAATTTTTATAGAAAATAATTGAATTTTGAAAAGATTTCGAATTAAAATCTTTAAAAATCTGAATTTTTCATACTTTTAATTGAAATTTCTGTAGAAATAATTTTTTTTTAAACTAATTGAAATTTATTTTGAAATTATTTCAAGTTTTTATTTTCTAATATATATTTAATTGAAGAATTTCCGAATAATTGAAATTTTGTAAAATTGAATTGTAAACAAATGAATTTGAAAATTCTAAAAGAACTTTTTTAATTTTTTATAGAAGCTAATGATAAAAAAATTTGAATTATATATGCAAGTTGCATAAGCAAATAAATTTTTGTCCCCTTTTTGAGGAAAAAAATTCCCCTTTTTACCTTTTTCGAGTGATGGCTGTATAAATTACTTTACCTACTTTAGTACTTTCAGATTTTTTCTGCGGATATCAAATTGAGACAAAAAAAGAATCAAAAGTGTGGCAACACTTTTGATTCCTTTTTTGTTCCAATTTGATATCCTTAATCTTTAGAGGTCCGGTAATTTTGCACAGATTTTAATAGATTTTTATTAAAAAAAAATGTATACATAAAAAGATAGTTCGATAAAAAGATTCGATAAAATATTAAAAATTTTACAGGTCCTGCAAGGAATGTACTACACGTACTTTGTCTCTGTGATTACGACAATTGAAAAGATCTTCCAAATCCAATCGAAAACAACGGGAATAATTATGTCGGCGACCGAAATCGGACAAATTGGCTCGTCCTTGATTTTGACCTATTACGGAGGTCAGGGTCATCGGCCCAAATGGATAGCATGGGGCATGATCCTCTTTGCTGCGAGTGCTTTTACCTGTTCGATGCCACACTTTATTTTCGGCGAACAAGTTATGCACGTCCAACTTTCCACGGATTCTTCAACGCCTGTCAATCTATGCCAATTTGTCGACAGACCGGATAACAAAACGTTACAATCGTGAGTCATTTTTTGAAAATTATAATTTCTCCCCTCCCCTGTATTTAGAAAAAGAAAAAAAATTTGTTCCTCTATTGTGAATATAACGGTCAATGAGTCTGGCCCCTGCGACAAAATAACTTGGAGACGATGAACTTGCATTTTTTCGAAGGACAAAATTAGAATTTTCATGCATAAATTAATTACGGATGTATTGTTCTTATTCACAATTCGCAATTGGATCAATTTGTTGTAATTTGAAACTTTGAAGTTAAATTTTTAATTTAAAGATAAACTTTAAAGTATCAAATTGCAACGAATTGATACCAAAAGTGTGAGTCAAATAAAAAATTAAGCTTAATTTTTTGTATCAATTTGATCAAATTTAGTATCAATTTAAATTCAATTTACACAGTTGCAACAAAAATTTCATTTTTTTCCCTGACTTTTTCCTGATTTCCAGACTTTTTCCTGACTGATCGTGACTTTTTCCCTGACCCTGAAGAATATTTTGATTTACTCCAAAAGTTATTACATACTCAAAACAATGTTCTATTTCTATTATATTTATTTACAAATTTCTTCAAAAGTAAAATCATTCCAAAATCATCAATAACTTCTTTTTTAAATAAATATTTAATCATTATTATTTTTCTAAACGAATTTTAAAATTTTCAAATTCAAACCTTCTGAAATTCAATAATGAAAATGTTTTTATAAAACATGATATCATAAGAATATTGTAACTATAAATTCAAATTTTTAATTTGAACCCTTTTCAAAATTACAATTCTTTCTAAAAATTCCCGCTATAATGCTCTAAATATTCAATTATTTATAATTAAAAATTTTAAGTAAAATTCACATTTAATCAATTTTTATCAGAAACTTTTTTCGAAAATTCAATTATTTAAATACAAAAATAAATAATTTATTAAATAATTGGATATTTCTTACAATTGAATTTTTGTGAAGAATTTTACCAAAATTTCTAAAAATAATTGAATTCTTTCAGCGAATTTAAAAAAAATGTTAAAATAAATGCAGGTTTCTAGCATTTTATTTAAAAATTGTATAAAAAATAATTTAAATTCTGCCATAATTTTTTTTAAAGAATTGAATTCCTGTGAAGAATTTTATTTTTGAAAATAATTGGATTCCGGAGAAAAATAATATTATTTATGAAAATAATTAATTTCTTGTGAAGAATTTTATTCAAATTTTTTTTTAAATAATTGAATTTCTCAGAATTTATTAAAATTTTTTGAAAATAATTAAATTTCATTGATAAATTTCATTTAAAAAATGAAAATAATTGAAATCTGACGAGGAATTTTATTAATTTTTTTTTTAAATAATTGAATTTTTGGTGAAAATGTTTCTTTTTGAAAAGAAATGAATTGTTGGAAAGAATTTTATTAAAATTTCCTAAATAATTGAATTGCTTTGAAGAATTTTATTTTTTACGAAAAGAATTGAATTTTTATGAAGATTTTTATAAACATTTTTGACAATAATAATTGTATTCCAAGGAAGAATGTTATATTTTACGAAAATAATTATATTCTATGATCAATTATTCAATTTTCTTATAATTTTTTAAATTTACAAAGCATTTAATCAAAATTTTTTAAAATAATTGAATCCTCGAGAAAAATTTTATTATTAATGAAAATAACTGATTTTTTGCAAAACATTTTATTTAAATTTTTTTAAATATTTGAATTCCCATAAAAAAATGTATTATTAGTGAAAATAATTGAATTCTTAAGAAGAATTGTATTGAAAATAATTGAATCAATATAGGAAAATTTTATTAAAATTGCAATTTTATTAACTAAATCTTGTAATGAATTTTGTCAAAATTTTCTTAAGTAATAGAATTTTTAAAAGAATTTTACTTAAATTTTTCGAAATAATCGAATTTTTCAGAACTATTTTTTTTAATTTTCTGAATATATTTGAATTCTTTCGTGAAACTTAATTAGAGAATTAAAAATAATTGAATTGGTGCGAAGAAATATATAAAAAATTAGTGAATAATTTAATTCCTGTGAAATTTTTATTAAAATTTTATTTAAATAATTGAATTCTTTTGGAAAATTTTATAAAAATAGTAAATATTAAAAATAATTGAAATGAGGAAAATTTTTGAAAATAATTGAAATTTCGCCAAAAAATTTATTAAATTTTTTGAAAATAATTGAATTTCGGAGAAGAATTTTATTATTTATAAAGATAATTGAAATTTTGTCGAGAATTTTTTAAAAAATTTTTAACATATAATTGAATTTATCTGAAGAAGTTTATCACTTTTGGAAATAATTGAATTTCTTTAATTAGTAGTTCTTAAAATTTCTATTTAAATTCATTAAAAATTAAAATTTTGCTAAAATTTCAAATTGAAACCGTTGAAGTTTATCTATTTATGAAGATTGTAAACGCAAGTTTTTTTAAATCAAATTGATTTTGAAATTTTTAAGTAAAATTATTTATTAAATAATTTCTAAGTAATAATTTTGTGATATAGTTCTTCAAGAATTAAGTTATTTAAAAAGAAATTATTGTCAGAAATAGAAAAAATTGAAGGTTTTGTATTAGATTTCGTGGTAATTTCATAATTTATGAGGCAAACAAAAAAGACACCGAAATTCAGAATTTTCTTATAAATTCTAAAAGTTTCATTTTTTTCAGTGTTTTTAATAAAAATTCTTGATTTTTCCCTGATGTCCCTTACTTTTCCCTGAATTTTCTGACCTGCAAAAACCCTTTGGTAACCCTGATTAAGTATCAATTTTGTTATCAAGAAAAAGTCAAGAAAACTGTACATATAATGATTCTGAAAATATAATTCGAATACGTAATTTCGACCCGTTGATCCGCGACAAAACTTTTAGTGAACTCTCTGTTTTCAGCATTATTTGAATTCGTAATTCATGCGTTTTTTTTACATGAATTACGAATAATTAAGGTCAAGATCGAAATAAGTCCCGTATTTACTATTGTTACGCTTAACCTCGTCCTTCGCGAGAGTTTTGTCGTTATTTATGTTATTCACGGTCTTTTAATTAGAAACAAAACTAATAGAAAAAAAATTTGTTATCATCGAGTGCAAAGTAAGTTGCAAAAAAGAAAATTGTATTTTTTAGATATACAGACACTGCCGAGTATTGTGAGGGTGATTTTCTCAAAGAGCAACGAATCCAGAATAAAATTACGACTGTGGTTTTGGCGATATTTTTCGTGTCCTTGTTAGGTGTTGGAATGGGTCAAACTGCTGTCAATACTCTTGGTATACCCTACATTGACGACAACGTTGCCAGTCGAGAAAGTCCTATATATTTTGGTAATAAATATATCATTACACCTCTTTTAATTTTTTTTTGTCTTCTTTTAAAACTAATATTTTCGGATATTTTACTTATTTTCACTTTTACCAGTTGTATAGATTTAAAAGAAGGTTTTAAATTTTTATTGAAATATTTGTCTGAATTTTTATTCCTGTTTATAGTTTTATTGAAATGGCTCAAATTTTACTCCTGACATTATAGTAATCATTAAAAATCAGTGGATTATTCGGAATCAAATCGTATAATTAAAATTATATTCTGTTTATTATTAGCCATTACGATCGGCGTCAGGATTCTGGGTCCCACTTTTGGATTCATTTTGGGTTCAATGTGCACCAGACTTTATACGGATTTGTCCGTTGATCCTCCGATGACTCCTACCGATCCCAGATGGGTGGGAGCGTGGTGGTTAGGTAAGTTTTAATCCTTAAATTAGTAAAAACTAAAAATGTTTACTAATTTCAATTAGTGACTGACTTTTTGCTTTCGAATTAGTAAATTTTACTAATAAATTAGTAGAAATTACTGTTTATTAGTGAAATTAATTGAATTGACTAATTTGTAAGCAAAAAGTCAGTCACTAATTCAAATTAGTAAACATTTTTAATTTTTACTAATTCAAATTTAGAGAGTGAAGAATTGAAATTTACAATTTTTATTTTAATTGTACAATACTGAATATAATTTACAGTATTTAAGTTAAAAATTATTGTTAATTATATTATCATAAAAACATCTGCAGGTCTGTTACTCATATCTTCAATGCTGATGCTTGTTAGTATTGCAATGTTTGCCTTTCCCACAAGATTACCCACAAGCAAACCACAACCGAAAAAAACAGACTCCACAAAACCAAGTCTTAAAGGTAAGAAAAAAAAAAAAAAAAAAAAATAATAACAGAAAAAATATATGTAATTTTATCAAACGCTTAAACACTTGCTTTTTTGTATTTCACATTTTTTTTTATTTATTTACATCTATATTCGAAATATTAACACTTGCGGATTAAATTATTATTATAAAATTTCTTACGCAACAGTTATTTTTTGAATTTCTATGAGTAAGCTTTTTCTTCTTTTCATACATAATAATTATTTTCTAGAAAAAAAAATTATCACGATCTTGTGATATAAAGCTGATAAATTTTTATTACAATTCTGGGATTAAGATGTGACAAGAAATATAACTATTTGTTTTAGAAACTATTAAATTCAATAAATTTGTCAATATATATTTTTAATTTATTTGTCCTGTCGTAAATGAAACGAAAAAAAAATTAAAATGTAATTTATTACTCGGCTAACAGATGATTTAAAAGTTTTATTATACTTGACAAATTGAAAAATAGTAATTCTCAGGTGATTAATATTACAAATTATTGTTTCTAGTTTGATACACTTTTAATTGTTAAAAAGAGAATTCAGTTTATTTAAAAAAGAAGAGTTTCCTAATTAGTTAAAAATTAAATTTTTTTTATTTCTATTATAATTGCAGCTTCTTTAAATCTCTTATTCGTGATTTTTTTCAATGTTTACTGAATTTCATTTTTCTATTATAGGTTTTGACATTTTTTTAAAATCTTTTTCCGTAGTCCGCAATTTTTCTAAATTTTGAATCAAAACTCTTGTCAAATTTCCATCGGTAATTAAAAATTTATAAAAATTTACTTTTTTAGACTACCTAATTAAAATTTAATTTTCAGAGAAATAATGAAATATCCTTCAAAAATTTGATTATTTTTATTTATATTTTTCAACGATTCATTATTAAAATTGTATTCAAATTATTAATAGAAAATTAAACTTTTTTAAACAATTTTATTAAAGTTTTTGTAAATAAACATCTATTTACACTTTATTTATTTAAGTTTTCTTTTAAAAAATTTCTTTAAGTTTCTTTTCGAAAATAATGCGGATTTTTGAATAATTTTAATTGAAAATTTTGAAAATAATTGAATTGAACAAAGAATTTTATAATTTATAACAAATAATTTCATTCATTATAAAAATAACTGAGTTGTTTTAAAGAATTAATTAAAATTTTAGAGAATAATTGGATTCTTTCGAAAAATTTCATTAAAAATTTTAAATAAATGAATTCTTTCATAAAATTTTATTAAAATTGTATTAAAAGTAACTGAATTTTTGCAAAGAATTTTACTAGGTATTTATAAAAATAATTAAATTGTTTCGAAGGATTTTTAAAAATTTTAGAAAATAATTAAATTTTTTGAAAAATTTTATAATGAATTAAGAAAAAAAAATGAATTTTTTAGTGAAATTTTATTAAAAATAATCCAATTTTTGCAAAGATTTTACTAAAAAAATAATTGAATTCTTTCGAAAAATTTTCTTAAAAAATACAAAAAAAATGCATTCTTTCATGAAATTTTATTAAAATTTTATTAAAAGTAATCGAATTTTTGCAAAGAATTTTACTATTTATAAAATAATTAATTTGTTTCGAAAGTTTTTTAAAAATTTTAGAAAATAATTGAATTTCTTTGATAAATTTTATAACGAATTAAGAAAAAGATTTGAATTCTTTCGTGAAATTTTATTGAAAATAATTCAATTATTGCTAAGATTTAATGATTTAAAATAAATAATTGAATTGTTTCGAAGGATTGATTATAGAATTTTAGGAAATACATATATGAATTTTTCCGTAAAATTTCATTGAAATTTTATTGAAAATAATTGAATTTTTGCAAGAAATTTTACTATTTATAAAAATAATTGAATTCCTTCGAAAAATATTGTTATTTATATGAAAATAGGATAATTGAATTCTTATGAGAATAAGAATTATATATGTTAAAATTCGTGAAAATATAAACAATAATAATTAACTATGTACTTAAATTTCGATTATAAAATTATTCAAAAATTTATATTTGAAGTTAAATTTTTTTTTAAAAATTACCCTAATAATTATAAATTGAATATCACGTTTTGACCGTTAGCGCGCGTAACATTTGCGTTTTTCATTTTTAATTCATAGTTTTCTTAAAAGTATTAAATTGATACTAAAGTGGATCAAATTGATGACAAAATTTTGGATTAATTTTTTATTGGATCCACATTTTTGGTATCAATTCGTTGCAATTTGATACATTTAAGTAAACAGTAAATTTTTGTAAGTTTTTCTTTTAAAAAAAGGAGGGAAAGAGAAGAATATGTATGATTTTCAGTATTTTAAGGAATTGTTTCGATAAATAATGAATAATTCTTACCGATAATCAATTATTTTCAAAAAATACAATACAAGTTTGATAAAAAAAAAGGAGAAATATTCAAAAAGAAAATTGGCTCAAAACCTGTAAAATGTTTGGGCACTGTTGAAAAGTCCCCAAACACCTTTACACGCATACAGGTGTAAATAAGTAACTACCAGTAACTACAAGATCGTGCAAACGAATGAGTAGGAAGAACGTCGTATATGTACATGTGCAGGAGAGAATGTGTATATCGATAATATAGTGAACTGCGTGAGGTAGGGCAAGTTCATGGTCATATTATGTGTTGAACTGAAGTTACTCATGTGTGCGAGGGAGACCTATCTCAGCTGTTCTGTTGGGAGTCTCGACACAACATACTCAACATACACCCTGTATGTATCTCTAACGGACTCAGCCGCACTCGAATGACTTTTACTACTTAACTCACTTTCGTTTATCGCGTAATCGTTTATAGATAACTTCTAACCGTTTTCAATCGACAGGAATAATTCAAAAACTCATTTTCACCCGCCAGCAGAATCCACGCAGCTACTTATTGTTGTTTACTTATTTATTTCTTTTATACAATTAATCTTTCTTTATAACTTCTTTTCTTTTCTTCTTATTCGTATTCTTCATTTTCTTAATATTTGGGTGATTCTTCTAAAAGTGACATTTATAATGTTCTGATTATTTTTATAAAAATTACTCTCTCTAATAATTATTAATCACTAGCGAATGTTACGCAAATTACAAAATTTTTTATTTTCAAATCTGAATTTTTCAATAATTTCAGATTCAAACTTTCAAAAAATTCAATTATTTATTAACTGATATACTAGTTAATTATTCTTGTTTTAGAATTTCAAAACTTTTAATAAAATTCCTCACAAGAATTCAATTATTTTCATAAATAATATCATTCTTCGTAAGAATTCAATTATTTTTATAAATTAGTAAATTTTTTTGCAAACACTCCAATTATTTTTCAACAAAATTTGAATAAAATTTTCACGAACAAATACAATTATTTTCTAAAATTTTAATAAATCCTTCGAAACAATTCAATTATTTTCTTTTAACAAAGTAAAATCTTTGCAAAAATTAAATTATTTTCATGAAAAAAAAATTCACAAAAGTATTCCATTTTTTTCTTAATTCGTTATAAAAAATTTCAACAGAATTAAATTATTTATTTTTTTTTGTTAACAATTTTAATAAAATTCTTCAAAGGAATTCAATTTTTTTAAATAGAATTCAATAATTATTTTTATAAATATAATAAAATTCTTCTCAGAAATTCAATTATTTTCATAAATAATAACATTCTTCGTTAGAATTAAATTATTTTTATAAATTAGTAAATTTTTTTGCAAAAACTCCAATTATTTTTCAACAAAATTTTAATAAAATTTCCAAGAATAAATACAATTATTTTCTAAAATTTTAATAAATGCTTCGATACAATTCAATTGTTTTTTTTAATAGTAAAATTTTGGTAAAAATTCAATTATTTAAAAAAGAAAAAATTTACGAAACAATTAAATTTTTTTCTTAATTTGTTATAAAATCTTTGCAAAAATTTAATTACTTTCAAACAAATTTCAGAAAAGAATTCAAATTTTTTCTTAATTCGTTATAAAATTTTTTACCAGAATTCAATTATTTTCTAAAATTTTTAATACATTCTTCGAAAAAATTCAATTATACTTATAAATACAGTAAATTTTTTTGCAAAAATTCAATTATATTTATAAATAGTAAATTTTTTTGCAAAAATTCAATTATATTGATAAAAAGTAAAATTTTTTGCAAAAATTCAATTATTTTTGTTCTCAATTTTAATAAAATTCTTCAAAGAAATTCAATTCTTTTAAATAGAATTCAATAATTATTTTCATAAATATAATAAAAATCTTCTGAGAAATTTTATTATTTTCATAAATAATAAAATTCTTCGTTAGAATTGAATTATTTTTATAAATTAGTAAAATTTTTTGCAAAAACTCCAATTATTTTTTTAAAAAAGTAAAATCTGTACAAAAATTAAATTATTTTCAAAAAAAAAATGTAGGTACAAAAGAATTCAATTTTTTTCTTAATTCGTTATAGTAAATTTCAACAGAATTCAATTAATTTCTAAAATTTTAATAAATTCTTCGAAAAAATTCAATTATATTTATAAATTGTAAATTTTGTTTCAAAAATTCAATTATTTTCCACAAAAATTTCACGAAAGAATTCAATTTCTTTTTTTAATTCGTTATAAAATTTTTCAAAAGAATTCAATTAGGTATTTTCTAAAATTTTAATAACATTCAATAATTAAATGTTTAATTTCAATATTATTAAAAAACACGATTTTTTTATATACTTGAAAGAAATTGTTCAGAAAATTCAAATATTTTCAAAAATGTTTAAAATTAAAATTATTTATTAAAGAAACTCAATTATTTAAAAAAATCAATTATTTTAAAAGAAATTCAAAGAATTTCTTCAAAAAGAATTTAATTAGAATTTTCAAAAATTTTCACATAATTCTTCTCGAGACTTAAATTATTTTTCTAAATAATAAAATTCTTCGAAGGAATTCTATTATTAAATTTTTTGATAATATTCTTTGCAACAATTCGATGATTTACAATTAGATTAATTTAAAAAGAAAAATTATTAAAAAAGTTAAGAAATAAAAAAGCAAACAACAATTAACTTCAAACTGCGAACAGATTACCGGAATATAACGATTATTAATAATCAAAATTATTATTCACAGTCAATATTATTATTCATAGTCAAAATTTACTTAAAAAAAAATTAAACAATGTTATTAAAATAAATTTAATATGGAATAGATAAAATAATTTCATCTCACAAGCTTTTTTAAGAAAAATTAATGGAGAATTATTAAAGAATCTTTATCCGATTCTCTTCGTTTTTATTTTATTTATTCAAACTGCTCAGACGTTAATGAATTTATTATTATCAAATTGTTTTGTTTTCTTATTTAACAGGAGAGAATAAAAAATAATGTTTCTACATTGAACTATATTGAAATGTAATACTTTTATTTTGAGAGAATAAATTTAAAGGATACATTACAAGAGGAATTCTCCTTTAAGTATAAAATTACTTTTTAAGTAATCTAACTTGCAAAAAAAAGAAAAAATGTTGAATAATCTTTAGTGTAATTTTCGCAATTGTTAGCAATGTTCATTAAAATTCATTTTCTCGAACGGAAATTAAAATTTATTTTATGAAAACTATTAATCAGTGAGCAATTTGACTTTCTAGGGGAAAGTAAAGTAAACCTGTCTATCTTATGAGGACAATAAATAATATAGTATTTAGAGTCGAAATAGATGTACTTGATGATAATGAAAGCTTTAAGCAAAAAGGATATTCTCATTATTTATTATGAAGCTAATAATATAAAGCAAATATTATATCCTTATGAAGTCGATAATATTATATCCTTATGAAATCAATGATATTATATTGTTACGAAATCAATAATATATTATTACATAAAGCTTCTTTTTTAGTCTTTGTCAATTACAATAAGGAAGTTGTTACTGTATTAAAAATATTTTTTATTAGAATATCATATTCAATGACGCACGTACTAAGTGTATTGAATTTTCTCTCTAGAGAAAAAGTATTTGACTTAAGTGTTTGATAAAGTTAAAAAATCGTTAACAATAATGGTGTTACGTAAGTAATTTAGGTATAAAATTGTAAAAGTGAATATTGATCTTTTTTCCAGACTTTCCCAAAGCGATGAAGAAGTTGCTGAAAAATGACATCTTAATGTTCAAGACAGCCAGTAGTGTGTTTCATATTCTGCCAATTGCCGGCCTTTACACTTTTCTGCCCAAGTATCTTGAGAGCCAGTTTCGTTTACCGGCTCATCATGCGAATATGGTCTCAGGTAATTTATTAAAAAAAGAAAAAGAAAATACTGAGCTTCCGGATCACATATTTTTTTGGAAGTACCAAATTGTTATACAAAAGCTGATCAAATTGACAGCAAACATTTAAATCAGCACAGTTGTTCTGCAGATATCAAATTGTCCCAATTTGATATCTGCAGAAAAACGTTGATTCCCAACACTTTTGATTCGTTTTTTGTCTCAATTTGATATTCTTAGAAAAGCTCTGAATTTATGATTTAGTTCGTATGGGAAAAATTAATCATTTTCTGGTACAAACTACAATTTTTGTTCCTTCAGCATACTTTAATTTTTTTTTAATTATTTTCTCTTTTCAAATAAATCAACAGGTATCGGAGGAATTCTAGTGATGGGTTTGGGAATCACAGTCAGTGGAATCTTTATTTTGAGATGCAAGCCAAGTGCCAGATTTGTCGCCGGCTGGATCGCCTTTACAGCCATCATCTATGCTGCTGGAATGGGCACTCTCATGTTCGTTGGTTGTACGATGGACGATTTTGCAGGTCTGGTGCAGCAATCAGATGGGTAAGTGGTCCAGAAGAAACAGTATTTACCAAAAGCCATCAAAATTTTTTTTTCCTTTTATGAAAAAGAAGATTAAAATCACTTTTTAATGTACGAATGATCAAAAGTGATTTTTTGAATCAAATACAACGTTTCTAAGGATTACAACATTTTTTACATATATTTTATAGTCTTTCAATCTTTCAATCTTTCAATCTTTCAATTTCTTCAGATTATCCAAATTCGTACCGACCTGTGATCCAACTTGTGACTGTGATCGAAATAAATTCAATCCCCTCTGCGGGGCTGATGGCCAAACCTACTTTTCTCCTTGTCATGCAGGTTGCTCAAACTACACCATCGTCGATGGAAAAGTCGCTTCGGTAATTAACATAAAATACTAATTAATAATTCCATCATCGTTATCAATAATTTCTATCATTATACAGTTTAATTACACTTCCTAACAATTCAAACTTTAGTCCAAATCCAAACAACCGAAACATCATAAATATAATTCAAACTTTAAATCAGTAGATTGAGAATAAATCAGTAAATAAAGTAACTAAAATAAATCTCACCGATTGAGATAAATTTTCCGATTGGTATTAATTTTTAGTTTTTACTGTCATAAGAAAGTTAAAAATGTTAAAATACATAAAGAGAAAATTAAAGAGAAAATTTCTATGGAGCAGGAAGAATCGTTCAATTGCAATATATATTTCTGTTTGAAATTACTTTCAATTACACATTATTAGTGCTTTTCTAGGAAACGATTTCTACTCGCCGTCATTTTTCAATGGAACCTATGTTTTTTTGTAGTTTTCAGATTGTCAATGTATTGGTTCAAATATAACTGGATTTGAAACCTTGAACACTGCGACGAGTGGATATTGCGATCTCGAGTGCAACAATTTCTGGATCTACATGATTTTGTTTTCGCTGTCAGTTTTTATTCACTCGACCAGTGAAGTTGGATCCATGCTTCTCATTCTTAGATGTGTCGATCCCAAGGACAAAGCAATGGCACTTGGTCTCATACAATTTGCTATTGGATTATTCGGTAATTTTTTTTTTATCTAATTCGTATTGTAATTATTTCTTTTTTAAAATTATTTCAAATTACTTGTTTTATTCTAAACTTTATTTCAAACTAGAAAATGTTACGGAACGTCCTATTCCATTTATTATTATTATCATTATTATTATAATTATGCAAATTACAAAATTTTTTATTTTTAAATATAAATTTTTAAACAATTTCATAACCAAAATTTAAAAAATTCACTTATTAGGTGCATAATTAATTATATTTATTATTGTTTATATTTTCACAAATTTTAATATAATTCTGCAGAAGAATTCAATAATTTTCATAAATAATAACATTCTTTGGAAGAATTCAATTATTTTTAGAACTAATAAATTTTTTTGTAAAATTTCAATTATTTTCAACAAAATTTTTAATAAATCCTTCGAAACAATTCAATTATTTTTTAAAATAGTAAAATCTTTGCTAAAATTCAATTATTATCAATAAAATTTTCCAATAGAATTCAATTATTTTCTAAAATTTTAATTAAAATTCTTCCCAAAAAATCCAATTATTTTCAATACAATCTTAATTAAATTTCTCCAAAGAATTTAAATTACCATCGAAACAATTATATTATTTGCAAAAATTTTAATAAAAATCTTTGCAAGATTTCAATTATCTTCATAAAAAATAAAATTCTTTTAAAGATTTCAATTATTTTCTTAAATAATAAAATTCTTTGGAGAATTTCAATTATTTTCAAAAATTCTTATTAAATTCTTCGTAAGAATTCATGTATCTTCATAAAAAATAAAATTCTTTGGAAAATTTCAATTATTTTCACTAATAATAAAATTCTTTGGAGGATTCAATTATTTCCAAAAATTTGAACCTAATTCTCATGAAGAATTCAATTTCTGTTTCTTAAATAATTGAATTCTTTACTGAATTTCAATGATTTTAAAAAAATATGAAACAAATTTTTGTCAAGAAATCCTTTCGAAGTAAAATTTATCGCAAAAATTCAATTATCTTTATAAGAAGTAAAATTGTTTTAAAGATTTCAATTATTTTCAAAAATTTTAATAAAATTCTTCCTAAAAATTCAATTAACTTCATAAAAAAAAATCTTTTAGAGATTTCAATTATTTTCTTAAATAATAAAATTCATCAGAGAATTTCAATTATTTTCAAAAATTTTAATAAAATTCTTTGTAAGAATTCAATTATCTTCATAAAAAATAAAATTCTTTGCAAGATTTCAATTATTTTTAATAATAATAAAATTCTTCGGATTATTTTAATTATTTCCAAAAATTTGAACCAAATTCTTATCAAAAATACAATTTTTTTTACATATAAATAATTGAATTCTTTTCAGAATTGCAATTATTTTAAAAAATTTGAAACAAATTCTTGTCAATAAATCGTTTCGGATTAAAATTGATCGTAAAAATTCAATTACTTTCATAAAAAGTAAAATTCTTTCTAAAAATTCAATTATCTTCATAAAATGTAAAATTCTTTCTAAAAATTCAATTATCTTCATAAAATGTAAAATTCTTTTAAAGATTTCAATTACTGTCTTAAATAATAAAATTCTTCGGAGAATTTCAATTATTTTCAAAAATTTTAATAAAATTCTTCCTAAAAATTCAATTAATTTCATAAAAAATAAAATTCTTTTAAAGATTTGAATTATTTGCAAAAATCTTAATAAAATTTTTCCTAAAAATTCAATTATCTTCATAAAAAATAAAATTCTTTTAAAGATTTAAATTATTTTTTATAAATAATAAAATTCTTCGGATTCTTTGCAACAATTCGATGATTTTTAATACAACATTAATTTTAAAATTGAAAATATTTGAAAGAAATTAATTATTTAAAAAGTTAGGAAACAAAAAAGGAAACAACTACTAACTTCAAATTGCGTACAGATTACCGGAATACAACGATTATTAATATAGAAGAAGATGATTTATTTGTTTTGTTCTAAACTTCATTCCAAATTATGTTTTTTATTCTAAACTTTATTCCAAATTATTTATTGTATCCTAAACAAAATAGTATGGACGTTCTAGTGTGTATAATTTAAATTATTCTTTTAATTGAATAAAAATAGGACTTTATTAATGTGAAATTAAATTTTTTAATGAAATTTTTAGGCAATATTCCGTGTCCTATTGTTTACGGAGCCGTGGTGGACTCAGCCTGTCTAGTTTGGGAGTATGCTTGTGGTGAGCGAGGTGCTTGTTGGCTGTACGATTCAAATGACTTCAGGATGTTCTTCCATGGTACGTGACTTGATTGTTAAAATTGTCCAAATTCTTCAGGTCCTTAATCCTTCGATTAACCATCATCACCTTGCCAAATTTTTATTACTGATTTACATGAATGTCTGCATGAACAACAAGACACATCATCCATAATATCATTATCATTTCGTTTACATTCATTAACGTTCAGAACTTAATATAATAGCAGTCAGGAAAAAACCCTGAATAATAATTCCTTTTAACAACTATTGAATACATTTTTCTTTTTTTTTAGTGAAAAGGAAGAAAATTCCATTAAATTAACAAAATTGAACCATATTTCAGGTACAACTGGTGCTCTACTATTGTTAGGATTTTTCGTCGATTTAGTTGTTTGGTACAAAGCAAGAAAAATAAGTTTCACCGAAGAACCAGACGGCACGGTTGCAACAACAGAAGAAATGGCAAATCTAAAAGCTAGGGATGGTGGAGAAAGTGACTATCTTTAAAGTCGACATTGATTCTTTTTCTCTCGTGAAGACAAATACTAGTCCAAAAATAGAAAGGTATCCCCCCGCTTATTTCTCTGGTTAGATTGGTCCGCAAACCATTACAAGATTAATTGTTCAGTACGTCACAACTAAAATTGATTCAATCATTTTTAGTTCAATTTACCGCTCATGCCAATCTCAAAAGAAAAAAAAAACTATTTACACAGCGTTGGGATCACATATTAAAAAAGTACTCGTTATATTTTTACTTGATACTATATAATTATACAAATGAAAACTAAGAGAATACGCTTAGAACGAAATAGGAATGAATGCGACAAAATGCCATAAATTGTAGAGGTGTTTAGCTTATATAATAATATAGTTTGTAAAATTGTCAAAATTTCAATTTTAAGCGCAATTGAGACAATTGTAAAATTGAGACGTTAATCAGAATAAATTTTTTTCTGATTCACTATATTATGTGGAAAATGAAACCCAGTGGTCTTTAGTCAATGCTCTCGAATGACCATTTTTTTAATTAAATAAATTAATATTATTTCTATTATGTATTCTGAAATATGTAAATTCTGAAATCAGAATACACAATTGGGAGGAAGTAAAGACTTGATAGGAAATGTGATTGCTGTAATGTATTTTTTAATTATAGAGAAAAGGCAATTTGCATGCATGAAAAAAAAAATAATAAATTGTCCATTTAATTAATATGCAATAAGGAAAATTTGAGTTTGGTGCCTGTATTGCGCATATTGAGCCGTGAATTTTGCATTGATTTTAAAAAGCAATAAGTGAATCAAACAATATATATATAAATATATTTGAAAAAAAAACATTTAAAACACTATAAATAGGTAATTTTTAAGAAAGTGAACAATTTCGTCGATATTGACATTTATTATATAGATTTTTCTGTATCCGATATCGATAGAGAGAAAAACAAATCATTCCTTGATGAAAAGAAAAGAATTATTCTGTATATACAATAAAAAAAAATAATTTGTACATAGAAAAATATCTTCAGAGGACGTAGCTCTCTTTGGGAGCGCCAGTCAAAAATAGATTGTTATATTACAGTGAAGAATAGTCAAGTCTGTTCTTCAAATTTATTGTGATCCAGATTAATTACTCTGTTTAGAATCTAACTTTTAATTATTTAATCTATGTTGTTTTCTGGTCTTATGTTGCGATGTTATTTTTTCCCACTTTGACTAGTTGAAACGACTTTATTTAGTAGTAAGCTACTGTTACTAGCACTAGTTACTAGTAGTACTATTACTAGTTACTAGCAGTACTAGTAGTTACTAGTATTTCTAGTACTAGTAGTTACTAGTATTACTAGTACTAGTAGTTACTAGTATTACTAGTACTAGTATTTCTAGTACTAGTAGTTACTAGTAGTACTAGTTACTGGTAGCACTAGTAACTAGTACTAGTACTAGCAGTTACTAGTAACTAGTACTAGTGCTACCAGTAACTAGTACTACTAGTAATTCGGAAGTACTTTGTATGTGTACTTCTTTAGTTGATAATGTTTTTTTGTTTTCATTGATCGATTATTGTAAACATCACATTGCGAACTACCAGGGCCGTGATTATAATTTTAATGATAGATTATGAGCCAATGGCGTAATTAGGAGGACGCTCGAAAATTATCGATAGATTTTCTCATTTTATTTATTCTTTTTTTTATAATTTTTTCTGAATGATTTGATTATTATTTTTGACTTTTTTAATTTGAATTTAAAATAATGTCTTCAGTTGACTTTTCGCTTCTGAATTAGTAAATTTTACTAATAAATTAGTAGAAATAACTACTTATTAGAAAAATAAAATTCAAAAGCAAATTTAATTAATCATTAATTGTAAATAACTGCGACAATATTTAGTGGAAGCATTTTAATGAATTTCAATTGAAAGATATAAATTTAGAATTCAGTTGAAGAATTTAGTGAAAAATTAAGCGACCTCTTGATTATAAGTCGATATCTATATCCAGGAATGAATTATAATTTGGTATTGGAATTATATTATATCGATAGTAATGAAACTACCTCTTATCCGTCATCGTCTCATTTTCTCATTTATTAAAAATTTTAAACTGTAGAGATTTTTTTTCCATCTCGAAATATATTTTCGTCCAGTAAAATTTCTTTTTTTTCGCGAAAATTGTATTTCAAAACGATTAGAAAATATTTTTTGAATTCTGCAAAAATTGGAAGAATTATTTTTTACTTTCTTCTAATTTCGTAAATTTGATTTTTATTTTTATAAAATGACAGCAGTATTTTTTGTACTTTTCTTTATTCAAGATAAATTGTATCAAAATTCTTTTTTATCTAATTTTTTTCAGAAAATAAAGTACAGGAAAGAAAATACAAAAATACATAAATAAAATAAAATACTGAAAATTGAAATAAAATTAATTTAAATACAGATCAAATTTTATTGTGAGATAAAAAATTTTTTAATTTAAATAAAATACAAAAATACATAAATAAAATAAAATATGTACTGAAAATTCAAATAAAATTAAATTAAATACAGATTAAATTTTATTGTGAGACAAAAAATTTTTTATCTCACAATAAAATTTGATCTGTATTTAATTTAATTTCAATTGTGAGAAAATTAGATCTGTATTTCATTGGAAGAAAATTGGATAAAAAAAATTTTTGTTCGTCATGACGATGGAGGATATTTTTAACGTCGAACGTGTTGTATCAAATTAACATACTCGTTATTTCGATTCTTGAAAGTATGCGTATATATATTCAAAATAGTAGTTTGTTCACATAGTAGAAAACATCGTCTTTGGAAAAATCGAATGTAAAAATAGTCTATTGTGTGCAAAAAGGAAAAAAAATCAGTTTATTGTACATATTCTCAATGCTTATATAATGTATATATAATTATATGTTTTTCAATATGAGATTATTAATAAGGAATATCGTAAGCATGAAGAAAGTGATCAATTCACCATAATGCGAGAAAAAGTCGTTAATAATTTTCTCTTAATCGTAAATTATATTTTTTTATTAAACAAAAAAAGAAAACCGCTAATGAAAACGTACTTGCGCACTCATCAAATATTAAAGAATATATTTATTTTGAAATTCTACACCTCTTGTTGCTCTTTAAATGGAAAATTAAAAAAAAGTTAAAACATTTGATTTAAAAATTCCCAAATTGAAATTTCCATTTCTAGTTTTTTTGAGACAAAAAAATTCTTGTCTCAATTTGAAAAAAAACTTTTTTTTTTGATAAAAATGATTTTATTTGCAATCAAAGAAAATATGAGTGAGAAATGAAAATAGTTCTTCGAATTAATGCTTCGAATTAATAGTTACACTTTTATCGAATGTTAAAACTTGTCTCTCAAACTAAATCTCTTCATAAACGATACAAAATAGATTAGCGTAAATCAGATATTTCAAATATTAAAGTCATTTCAGAAAAAAATTTAATTATAACTTTTAATTTTAAGATAACTCTTTCAATGTGATTCCTGGCTTTCAACTCATAAAAAAATTTATCAAAGTTTTATTTATATAAAGATCCATATATATATATAAATATAAATATAAATTTAAAATACTATATATTTTTAGTAAAAAACAAATTTATCTTTATAATAAAAGAAACTTGCGAAAAAGTAATATAAATTTTGATTAATAAAGAAATATTTATAGATATTAAGGAAACGAAATTGCTAGTCTAATAATAAGAAGCAAAGATATGTTTCATCTAAACAAAATCCGATCGACTTTTTTTTTATTTTTCTGACTTGATGGTACAAAATAAAAATTGATTTGTTATTTTCAATGTTCAGTAATTTTTAAGAAATCCGATCAAAAAAGATAATAAAATAAAATAAGTAAATACTGCAGATAGTAATAATTATAATAATAATAAAAAGGATAAATAATTGACGAAGAGAAATATAAAAAAATAACAAATCATATATATATCAATGTGATTAAAAATTGAGCCATTGGTGAATTATTTTTCTTACTGTTTAAAAATATTAAGATTATATTTAAGTTTACAATATTATTATTATTGATAATAATGTCGATACAAATTGTATAAAAATGTAATGTAAACGAGTGATTTTATATACTATAGTTTGTAAATGTTAATTAATTCGTGAACTTGATTCTCGAGATGAAAGTAAAAAAATTATATTTTCAAGAAACTTTGCAAAAGAATAAGAATATATAATTAGTAATTACTTTCCAAAAATAAATTATTTATTTTTAAATTTTCATTTTTTGACGAATATTCCTTAGGTAAAGAAAAATATTCTTTTCATTATTTTTAATTTAATTCTTTTCTCTTTAAAATTAAAGGTTTTGAATTTTTTTTCTTAATTTTTGAAGAACATTCATTACATTAATTTTTAAATTCTCATTTTTTTTTTTGAAAAGAATTTATGAATTAATCTAAAAATTAATTCGCATAGAAAGTTTTCTTATATTTTACCTCGACATACATATTTTATTTTTATAACAAACAAAATGTTGAGTTCACTCAGGTGAACGAGGGACAATTTCCATTCTCTACCGTTTTGTTAAGAAATATAATATTTATTGCAAATTGATGGATTTTCCTTCAATTTTTTTTACACATACACGCAAACACTGTTGAACATTGTTAACGAGAATAGATATTTACAAAAAAAAAATAATTTCTTGTAATATAATAATATATTTTCAGTAAAATGCAATCGTGCCTCATCTACACACAATTTAGTACAGCACTTGTTTATATTTTATTACCGAATATAAATAAAAAATGTATAGGTATACACTTTAATTATAATATTAAATTATATTTTACAAAAAGCAAACTATTTAATTATATTTAACGAAAAACAAATATTAAATTATATTTAAAGAAAAATATTAAATTCTATTTAACGAGAAACAAATATTGTATTTAAAAAAACAAAAATACTATTATACTGTACAGTCAAGGAAAAAAATATTTTTACGAAAGATCCCATAGATTAAAAATGAATACAAATTTTACTCGAATCGAGAATTAAGTTCACGTACAGCGATCTATTTGTTATGAAAAAAAATTGACACTACTTTATATTAAAAAATTTCTTATGTAAATCGATAAATTCATTAGCTCTCGGATTATCGAAAGAAAGGCGAATTCATTTTCACTTTTGCATTTTTTCACTTGGATAATTTTTATACTTAAAAGTAAGATAAATAACAATTTCTCGAATGCATTTATTCTTAATCTAATAAGAGTATAAAAGACTATATTATATTGAACTGATACTGCCACTATGCTATTTCAACTGCCCTTTTTCTCGATATCTCTCTTTATCAGAATTATGAAAATATACATTTTATAAAGTCTTCGTCGATGAGAATGTTTGAAAATGTGATTTCAAATTTTTCGATTTATGTTCGATAATCCGAGTAACTGATTTATATTATACAACGAGCAAAAAAAAGTTGGTTATGTCGCTATTATTAATTGTAATTATGATTGATAAAGGACAGGCTTGCTTTTAATAAAAGGCATGTGCCATAATTATGTATTTGTGATTTAATCATTTTTTCTCCATTTGTAAAAGACACTTATAAATTTTCACAGTTTTTTCAAAAAAAATCAAAATTGAGACAAAATTCGCAACACTTTTGATTCGTTTTTTGTCTCAATTTTATATCCGCAGAAAATAAATAAATAAAATTAGGACAAACAAATAAATTTAAATATCTTTTATTTAATAAATATTTTTTATTTTTTAAAAAATATAATTTTTCGGAAAATAAATCTTCAAAAGTATGATTATATTTCTAAACAATTTTTAAAAGTAATAAAATCAGATTCTTTCAAATACAAAATTATTTATTTCAATGAAATTTGTCGAAACTTTTTATTTTAAGAATTTATCTTGAGAAAAATTATTTATTTCAATGAAATTTGACGAAACTTTTCATTGTTTCAATTTTTAAAATTCGTTTCATGAATTTATCTTGAAAAAAATTTTAATTACATTTTTTATGAACCTAATTTTTTTTACAATTTCTTGATTAAATTATTCAAAACATCAATCATTTTTGTTAAACAAATATTGAAAAACTTTATTGTTGTTTATTTTAATTGAAATTTTAAATAATTTCAAAGAAAAACCTATTGTTTAATTATTTATAAAAATTTCAAATGTAATAGTTTAAAATTTGAACTGAAATTCTTTTCTAAATCAATTCTTATTAGAATTCAACGCTAATTAAATTATTTAAATATACAAAAATTTTGTAAAATTTGATTATTTTCAAAATTTTTAGTTACAATTCTATAAAAAATACAATAATATTTTTAGAAATAATTTTTAAAGTGGGATAATAAAATTCTGTTAAATATAAAATTTATTCTAATGTAATTTGAGATAATTTCCTTTTTTTCAATTTTTTAAAATTATTTTCGGGAATTCAACTATTTTCAAAAAGTTTTAATTACGATTTTTTAAAAACGTTTATTTTTTCAGAATTTTTAAATAAAATTTTTCAAATTTCATTAATTTTTGTTTCAAAAATATCCGAATACTTATTGTTATTTATTTGTTCAGCAGGAATTAAAATTTCAAAATACTTTTAATGTAAAACCCTTAAAAATTTAATTATTTCTAAAGATTAGAACTGATGCTGTTCTTCCAAATATTTTCTCAAATTTTAACTGAAATTCTTTGTTAATTCAATTCTCACCAAAAAGTTGTAGCAGAATTCAATTTATTATTTCTTTTAATTTTATTTATTTATACACGCTAGTTTTTTGCCATAAAATACATATTACTGGATTAAAATCGTGATTTAAATTAAATTTTTTTTTCTCTAAAATGTTAAAATGTTAAATATTTTGAAAAATTGCAGGATGTAAATTTTAGTGAAGAACACATTTATTTTAATATTTTGTTGAGTTTTCATTTTCATAATGATTGAATAGTTCATATTTCAATGCAGCTCCAAAAATTTTATCGCTAAACTTTTCTAAAAATTGATAGAGAACTGGATAATTTGCAGGAACGTTTAAAATTCTTTTTTCAGTTTCCTTTTTAGATTTTAAATCTTTCTTCTCTTCATTTTGATTCCATTCATTTAATACAGATTCCTTTTTATTATCAGACGTAAAATTTCTATTGAAAAAAAGTTTTCCTGCTGACCTGAAATATTAATAAAATTAAAAGAAGGTTTATTTTATTTCATTAAAAATTATTTATTTTAGTCAATATTGTAAAAATAGTAAAAAGGCAATATTGTATTAAGCAATTATTTATAATTTGTCTTATCAAAACTATAAGCAAATCAAACTTTTAAGTAAAAAAAAAAAACAAAAGTTCATTTTAGAAATTATAAATTTCAAGAAAATTTTACTTTAGAAAAAATTTTGTTCATTTAAATATTCAGAATTTGTGGATTAAGTTAATTGCTCATTAATATAGTGAATTTAAAAATAGACATTAAAATTATTAAATAGAATTTAACGAAAAATTATTAGATTTTAGTGAATAATTTTAACCATAAATTTGTTTAGCGTTTCAATGTCAATTTGGTTTAATAGTTGAACTAACTTGAATATTTTTCTAGGCATTTCAAAATCGACAGCGTCATCGTCATGCAATCTCATTTCCTTAAAGTGATTCTGCCTGCTCGGTGAAAAGAAAACTGAAGTCATTGCAGCAACCGAATGTTTTGGTTGTTTTAAATGTTTAAAGACCGAAAATTTGGGAACTTCAACAGAACTTTCAGATTTGTAAAGATTTCCAAAGGCCTGAGAAAAATTGTCACCTGGAATATTTTTTAGATCCTTAAACAAAAAAGCAGAATTTTTACTCTCAAGACTGAAAATATCTTTAGGCTTTTTCTGAATTTTACTTTCATCAAAATCAACCTCCTTTCGTTTATAACTATTATTTTCAACCCTCTCCACTGAATTCTCTTCTTCCTTATTTAATAAATTTTTTTTTCCAAATTCATTTTTCAGATAAGAATTTTTGAAAATATCACCACTTGGAGAAAAGAGTTTAGGAAAAAATTCCTTTTGTGACTGAAGTGAAACAGATTTATCATTTAATTTTTCGCTCAATTCATCCAGAATCATAAGATCACTTATGTCAATATCATTTTTGGTTTCTGCTGAATTTTTCACATTGACAACTTTTTCGATCTCTGGATATTTCTCGGACAACAATTTTTCTGAATTTTGATGAAAAATTTTCGAATCCAGTGCTTTACCTAATTTTGTAGAAAAAACGCACATTTAAAGATAGAAGAAACAAGTTTTTTTTTTAAAGAGGATTAATTCTATTTAAAATGTTTTATACAAAAATACCTGTTTTTGGAACATATTTCGACAAGTTATTGGGCAATCCAAACCACGTGGAAAAATTTATAGGATTTATAGAAGATTGATTTTCTATTAAATTGGATTCTCCTTCGTAGAGTTTAGAGAAGCGTTCCACTTTTGTAGAATGATGCTTTTCTTCTTGTTGGGGAATTGACCAAAAATTTATCTCCTCATCAATTGTGTCCAAAAATTGTGGTTTTTGGGAATTTTTGAAATTTTCGAGCGATACGGTTTTTGTTAATTTTATTGGCGCGACATTAAAATGAGCATGACTGAGAGAGTTTGCTAAAGTCTATATAAAAATAATAAGAGTTTAATTCTGGTAGTTTTTTATAAAAAAAATATTTTTAATAATTTTGAAAATTAATTTTTTTTTAAGAATTGGAAATAAATTTAAAACTATGCAAAAATGGGGGACAAACTAAAAAACTAACTAAAAATTCTGGGAAAATTCAAAATAATTTGTTTATCTTATTTTTTTCTTAATAAATAGAATATTATTTGTATACCTTATATATAGAAAAATTTTTTTACTTACAAGTGTCAAGTAAAGGGAAATAATAAAAGAATACAAATTTCTAGAGTCCATTATAGAAATCGAAATTGATCACGAATTCAGCGACTTAGAAACAGGTTCTTTTTCTCTATTAAAATTGATTGTCTAACTTTGAAGTGAACTATTAAAACGATTGATATTGAGGTAATGGCATAAATATTTTCTTTTCAAATTTTTATCAAATACACTTAATCTCTGGAGGTATTTGACAAAAGTGTGTGCAACTTGTTTTGCGAATTAATTATTTAATTTTGCACAATTATACTGGAAAATAATTTTTTTAAATACATTTTATAAATAAAAAATAATAAATAGAAAATAAAATGTTTCATAATTATATTTAATTCAAAGTAAAGAATATATGATACAGTATTTTACAACAAGAAACAAATTTTCATTTGGAACAGCTAAAAATTTTACTTTGCTAGCAAAATTTTATCTTTTTTTTTGCGTCGATTAGAAAAATTAAGAATATTATTCGGAATATTTATTTAGAAATGTTTATTTAAATATAAAAATTATCACTGAGAGTGAATATAATTTAGAAATGTAATTTATTGTTATATTCGTTTAACAAAAAAAAACCGAACCGAAGTTATCTAATTTTTAATTTTTACTTCAGATGGCGCTGATCCATAAGGAAGGTTTGGTGGTTTTGGAACTTTTCCAAGTAGATACTAAAAATAACAATGATATCTATTAATAATAATTACTATTCAAATTGATTTTTAAAATTTTTAAATAATTTAAATTAATTTTAAATAATTAAAAGAAATTTTAAATAATTTGAAATTGTAAATTAAAATTTTATCAAAAATTACTCACTAAAAATGGTACATCCACATTTTGAGTTTTAGGAAGAATTTTATTATTAATGTTCTCACTAAAATTGGCAGCAACTTTATGAAAACTTTTCAACAAATGATCTGCATTCAAAATCGGATTTAGACGAATAGTCATTCCAAAGATATCCTTGGACAAAAATTTTCGAATTATTTTTTAATATTTGTAGACATGAAGAGAAAATAAATATTATATTTTACTATTTTACAATTTGGAGAGAAAATGCAAAAAAGCTAAATTTTGATATACAAAATATTAAATTTAAAAAAAAATTACATGTAATTAAAATTAAAAAAAAAAAATTCTTCCTAAATTGTAAAATTCTTATAAAATTCAATACTTATTTTCTTTCCCTGCCAAAAAATATAAATTAATATGAAAAATAAAATATAAATTTACGGTTTTCAGAAGAATGAAGAAAATAATAAAAAATTGTTGAATGTTGCGCATGTTGTTTATGGAATATTTATCAAACACTGTCTGAAGGAAAAATCATGTATACCTACATTTATATTTATACTATAATTGACAGACCAGTTTCTTGTGCATATTCGAAGAAAAGAATTTTCTTTGCAGCTTTAAGAACAAACTTTTCCTGGTATATTAATATCAATAATTATTATTTTTAATTATAAAAGTTGTAATTATTAATTTATAATACATTTCTTACATTTGAGACATTATTTCCAATAATTTATAATTATTATTGTTTTTTATATTAATAAAATTATATAAGTAATTAAGTATTAATTAATTTAATTTAATAAATTCGCATTCAGAATTAAGTCTTCACGTTCATTATCTTAAACAATTAGAATTCATTTATTCAAATGGCTGTTGAAACTTTGTTTCTCGTTAATCTATTATATGGATAATGTTGATACTTAAACTATAGTGGATTTTTTACTGGCGATATAATCAGAATTTAAAGTCAAAGAAGAAGTGATAATTCAATTCTACAAGAATTGAAATATTCAGGAAATTTTCTGACATCGGTTCTGTATGAGATGTGCGATCACGAAGACGTCATAGGAATAGGAACACAACTCTGAAGAATAACTTGTTTATTTTGAATTTTAATATTTTATAAATCAGCATCAAGAAGAGAGAGACATGGAACCAATTTAGTGGCTTTTTCCTAAAATAATTTAAAATAAATAAATCGTAAATAAAATATAAAAATTAAAACATGAATATTAATTAGTATTAATTTAAACTATCACCATGCATATATATATTAAAAAATTTTAAATACTATTTAACTAAGAAAATGTAATTACTTACAAAATCAGAAATTGTTGTACTGAATAAGGTCGTGTCATTGAGAAGAATTTGGAGGAAGCAATTCAAGTACTAACAGGAAACAATATTGAAATTTCGATTAACAATTATAATTATAGTCACAGTTACAATTATAAATTAGGCAAATTAAAATTTACATCAAAATTTCTTTTATACTTACAGGTATTCGCCTGCAAGAACAGCAGCCACTCTAAAAGAAAGTTTATAAGTGATTTAATTGGTATTATTTGTATTATTAATAAATTAATATAAATTGTATACTTCTACTTACTTCTACAGTTCCAGGAATAGTTGTCGGAAATACACCCTTAAAAATTAATTATTTAATTACATAATGATACGAGATAATAATACTGCACTATTTAAAATAATAAAATTATTATTTCAAATTATTTAAAATAGAACCAAAATGTCCACTTACCCATCCTGTACTTTGTCCTGTTGGTGGATAAATCGGCTGTATATAAAATGGTTTTCAATTATTATACAATATTATTTATAATTAATAATAAACTAGCCAAACTATCCGCGCGCAAGCGCGCGGGAATGTTGTATGGGGCTGCTTATTTTAAACAATTTAAAAAATTTTAAAGAAATAATTATTATAACCTAACAAAGAGATTTAACTAACTAAAATTCAAATAATTTCACTCAATGGTCTCAATTTAAATAGAATTTACATTACTAGACTTAAACTATGACTAGAACAATTACAATTAGTATCTGGGTCATCTTTTGCATTGCTTATTTTATAAAGCCATTTTAAATTAAATACTTTTTAAAGAAATAATAATTATTACACACTGAAAAAAGTTTTACTTGAAATAGCGATAACTTTCTCTAGAATAACGAAAGTATTAATTGAAGAACTAAATAATTTCGCTACTAAAGTGAAATCTGTAGTTCATCCAGCTAAATATTTTTTGCCGTGCATAACAAAAAAAGAATTAAATTAACATCAGATTTTCTACATTCAAAAAAAAAACGAATTCAAATAGAAATTAATCATTTTACAACTTAACCAAATTCACCCCAGAAATCACTGAATTCGATAATTTAGAAGAAAGTCAGACAAAAGCAGGGTTCCTACAGAATCTGGAAATCATGGAAATGGAATTCTTATGGAATTTTTAAAAGGCTTCTGGAAATCAGAAAAATCATGGAAAAGGCCTGTAACTTTTTAAAAAATTCTAAATTTTTTCAGTTTTCCATTTTTTCTCTTAAATAAAAATTCAAATAATAATAAAGCTAAATAGTATAAAAGAGAAAAAAAATGTTGAATTTTAAGAAACTCAATTTTTCGGATTTTTGATAATTTTTAATAATTTTTTATTTTTTTCCAAAGAGTCGAGACAATTTAATAAGTAAAGTATTTTCCAAAAGCACAAAAATAATGAAGCTAAATCCCTTAAAAGAGAAAAAAAAATGTTGAATTTTAACAAAATCGGATTTTTGAATTTTTTCGAATTTTTGATAATTTTAGATTTTTTACCAAAGAGTCGAGACAATTTAATAAGTAAAGTATTTTCCAAAAGCACAAAAATAATGAAGCTAATTCCCATAAAAGAGAGGAAAAAATGTTGAATTTTAAGAAAATCGGATTTTTGAAATTTTTCGAATTTTTGATAATTTCAGATTTTTTACTAAAGAGTCGAGACTATTAAATAAGTAAAGTATTTTCCAAAAGCACAAAAATAATGAAGCTAAATCCCGTAAAAGAGAAGAAAAAATGTTGAATTTTAAGAAATTCGGTTTTTTGAATTTTTTCGAATTTTTGATAATTTTAGATTTTTTACCAAAGAGTCGAGACAATTTAATAAGTAAAGTATTTTCCACATTAAAAAGTTTGACATTAAAAAATATATAAAAAATGCCAATACTTAACCCACAAAATTAAATTTTCAAAACAAACAAATGAATGCAGATAATTTGCTAACGGAAAGGAAACTTACGATTATTATAATGTATGTATATGTATATGTATATTTCTATTTTCTATCAAAACGTATAAAAAACAAAAGAATAACTATAACTAACTTCAAGTGTGGACAGAGATCCGGAAATCTGGAATCACGACGATTATTATATATAATAATAATTGCTAAAATTAAATAATTATTTCCATATAAAAATTTATTACAACCTAAATAATAAAATTTGTTATAGTTTCAATAATAAGATATTATTAAACTTTACATACTTATAAATTTCAATTAATTTATTAGTAACAAAAATAATTGTGAAAGTATTGCTTTTGAGACTTATATATAATAGAAAAATAATTTTTGAATAAAAGAAACTATGTTGAGTGTAAATGTTACTTTTCATTCAAGTATTTACAAAAATTATTTTTAACATAGAAAAAGAATAAAATTATCGAAAGAAGAATTTTTAAAATTTTGGTTTTTAAAATTATATTTACTTACGAAAGTAGCAAATGGAGGCCGCGGATAAACAGGAAATTGGGCACCAATCTATTTTATACATAGACGATTATATTTATAAAAAGTGTTAACTTATAATATAAAAATTGAATGATAAATAAATTTTTAAGTGAAGAAATTAAATATTAAATAAATTTTTAATTAAAGAAGTTGAATGTTAAATAAATTTTTAAGTAAAAAAATTAAATAGCATATAAATTTTTAAGTAAAAAAATTAAATAGTAAATAAATTTTTAACTAAAAGAATAAAAAGATAAATTTGATTAAAAATTACTTACAATATTTAAAGGCAACTCATCCACCTGCTGCAAAGAATTCTAAATATAATACGTAAATATAATTGCACACAATAAGAAAAAGTTATTTTCTTAATAAAACACAAGTTAAAAATTGAATAAATGAACAAATAAATAAACATTTTATATTTACTTACACCTATTATTTGACGTAGATTTGTCAATGGAATTAATGACACAGAATCCTATATAAAAATAACGAATTATTTTCATAAATTTTAATTAATAATAATTGAATTTAATTAAATAATTATTTAATAAAATATCACTTACTCTCACTTGAGAGAATTCAAAAATGAACAATATCAACACGCAAGACTTCATTTTTTATTAAATCTTCTCGAGTTTCGCGAAAATTCAGACATTTATACTAAAGAAGAAGTAACGTTAGGTGACAATTTTTTTTATGATAAGCGCATGGTTTAAATTAATGAAAAGCAACGGTTTTTTTACAAGTAGATAATTTTAAAATTATTAGATGTATTTACGATGATTTGATGATAATAATAATAATTCATGCTAAAAATTAATTTGCAATTTTTTTAATATATTATAAAATATTTTTATGTGTATTATAAAATAAATTTTTATTTTCTAAACTGTAATACAATAATCTCACAGTATATGAGTTATTAAATAATTATAATTTTATTTCATACCAAACAATGGAAATTTTGTAATATTTGCTCAATTTTTAAATTGAACAAAATTTTCCCCATTTTCGAAAAATGAAAGAAAACAAAATTCTTTTTACATTTCTTTTTGTTTATTTATAACTTTTATCAATACATGTACGAGACTGCCGACAATTTATTTCTCGAGTAAATAGATATTTTCTATTTTTTATTTTGGAAAAAAAGTAGAATCATCAAAGTTCTCCACTAAAATTGTTTTGTGACAACGCATAATATATTTTGATAAATTTTTTATTTGTTTGAAGAAATAATAAATTATTGTTATTTACCAACTTTGTTCTCAGTGTGCCTTGAAAATTGCAGTTTTTTTCTTAATTTTGCAATTTACCAAACATATAAATACAGATTTAGACTAAAATCAGAATTATTATTTATTATTCAAATAATATTGTTTAAACAATTTTTAAATAAATTATTATTGTTATTTCCCATTCCCAACTGTTTGCAGAGTGTACCTAGAAAGTAATGCAGTTTTTTTTCTAAATTTGCAATTTACAAAAATTTATATATAAATACCGATTCAGATTAATAACAAAATTTTTATTTAAACAATTTAGTAAGAAATTATTAGAAACAATAATTAACAAACAATTGGTATTAAACAAAAAAACAAACAATAACAATTTGTTTAAAAACTGTTTAAATATTTTTTCATTTTTAATCTGAATTGGTATTTATATAGTTTGAAAATTGGAAAATTAGGAAAAAATGTATATCTCTCTAGGAATATTTTGTAAAAAGTTTATAAACAATAATAATTTGTTATTATCTAAAATTGTTTGAATAATAATTTCGTTTTAAATCTGCATAATTATTTATATAGTTCGGCAAATTGCATTTAGTAAAAAAACTAAAATTGCAGAATTAAGAAAATAATTGCAACTTCTGAGGTAAATTTTGTAAAAAAATAGTAAATAACAATAGTAATTTATTTAAACAATCTCTAAATAACATTTTTTTTTAACTCTTTGAATTTTGATTAGAATTTTTAGTAAGGCATATTAATTATTTTCTTCTGTATACCAAAAAACAGCCAGTAATAATTACATGGATTCTGAAACAAAAAAAATATATATTTTATTCATTATAAACTTGTGTGGAAATAATTATTAGAATATAAAGAAATTTTACCAAGCTTCTAGAAGCGGAGCTGGAATACTATATGGAGAATTCGGTGCAGTTGCTGGCGCCGGTGTTGTTGTAATCAAATTTTGCTTTTCTTTATCTGTTATAAACGCCTCTATCATTCTTGGCTCCAAGTAACTTAATTCATAGAGTCTTTCCGTTTCTTTCAAGTTCCTAAGTTGATCTTCAAAGAATTTCTGCCTCAAATAATGCAATCTACTCGATGTAAGTGAAACGTATTTAATTATTAATTGTAAAAATTTTTCATTTTGTGCAATTGAATCGGGATCGTATTTATTTAATAATAATCCATTTTCATTGTCAACCGCCGTTTGACAATTTACCTGCAAAAAGCAGAAATTTAATTAAGATTCTTTGTGGCATGTTAATATTTTATTTATTGTTGAAATGATTTTATTATTTACTATTATTTATCATTATTTATTATTATCTATTATTACTTATTATTATTTATCACTATTTATTATTATTTATTATGAATTATATTATTTAAATTAGAAATTAGTTAAATTATTTACCAAAAATGGAAAAGTTGCAACAAAGGAGAAAATGAGAAAGTAGTTGATTCTCAACATGTTGCAAGTGGGTCCGAATACGAAATGAACGAATTTCCAAAATACAATGACTATGGATCTGATATTAATTTTTTATCAAAAGAAATTTTCAACGCTGAATTTTAAATAATTGAATACTAAATAACCTTATCGAAAAACTCTTATCTGAGCGAAAATTAATTTCACAATTCATTTTCTCAATATAAATTAGTTTTTCTCATTAATTTTTTCATTAAATGATAGTTGAAGGACAAACTTTATATCTCTAAGCATTTCAGATTTGGATCATAAAAAGAATGTTCGTAATCTTTTTCTAAGTATTAAATAATTAATAAATGAAAAAATTACCTAATGCAATTTCCTATTTCGTTTTTCCAGTTATAATTCAAGGTCTAAGAGTTATTAAAAAAGCAACAATGCTTTCAGAGGATGGCAAACATTGACCGAAAGCTTCTAATAATAATGGTTCGTCTTTTACTGTCATTTCATAATCTTCAAAAGATATTTTTCCATCGTGGTCCACGTCTAATTTCTTTAAGGCCAATTCAGATAAATCTCGTACTCCTTCATCTGGATCTTCCTCGCCTGGTTGCTTAATTAAACAATTCCTTGAATAAAAGTAAATAGAATTAAAATAATAATTTATAAGGTTAAAATTAGATATACTTGACTTTTATTCATTTTTTCTGGGAAGTGTGAATATTTCCAGTAATTTTATTTCGATATAGTAGTTATTTGACATAAAATAATTTAGCATAAATTTTATTTGACATATATCCATTTAACATTAATTTAATTTGATATAAAATCATTTAACATAAATTTTATTATTATGACAAAAAACCATTTAACGTAAATTTTATTATGACAAAAAATCACTTGGCATTTATTTCATTAGACATAAAAATAAATTGACTTTACATAATTTATTTCATTACAATTTTTCAATTAGGGCAAATGAATTCATTTGACATAAAATTCATTTAGAAAAAATTTCATTTGGCATACCTAAAACTTATTTAACGTAATCCCATTAGACATAAAAAATCACTTGGTATAAATTATATTTGACATAAAATTCATTTAACATAAATTTACTTTGATATGAAATTCATTTGACATAAATGTTGTTTAATATTTTTCTCATTTGACATAAGTTTCATTTGACATAAAAATATAGGTACGAAGCTTAAAAGTAGTCAATTACGTTTTTTTCAATATATCTGTTTCGCTACTTTCAAAATTCGTGCTGTTTTTTTATGTCAAATGACCTTTATGTCAAATGGATTTTGTGTCAAATGAATTTTATGGTAAATGTAATTTATGTCAAGTAATTTTGATGCCAATGAAACTTATATCAAGTGAATTTTTATATAAAATTCGTTAATTGACTTTTATGTCGAATAAACTTTATGTTAAATAAAATTAATGTCAAATAAAATTTATGTCAAATGTATTTTGATGTCAAATAAAATTTATGTCAAGTGATTTTTATGTTAATTGAAATCTCTGTTAAATGATTTTTACGCAAAATGAAATTAATGTTAAATATTAATTACCTCAAATGTAAATTACGCTAAATGAGTTTTATGTCAAATGAAATTTATGTTAAATAAATTATGTGCCTAATGAAATTTATGTCAAATGAATTGTATGTCAAATGAAATTTATGTCAAATGAATTGTATGTCAAATGAAATTTATGTCAGATGAAAAGTATGTCAAATTAAATTTATGTCAAATTAATTGTATGTCAAATATTTTCATGTCAAATAAGATTTCAAAAATATTAATGCATCCTAATTATCCTACTACATCTAATAAACTTATAAATAAAAAATATTATAAAAAAATTGTTTTAATTTAAAAATGATCTATTTACTTGAAAAGTTGAAAAATTTCGTCCTTTGTGATAAAACCGTCGCTATTTAAATCGTAGACTTTAAAGCAAAACCCCATTTTTTCTCTCTCAGTTCCTCGTAAAAATAAATCGAGGCCCAAAATCCAGGGTTGGAGTTTAATAACACCTTCACTCTCCTTGTCCCAACACACAAACATTCGCTCAATTAATGTGTCTTCTGTGATTATATTGAAGGTATTGTGAAGTAGTTCACGAAATATTGTCCTATCAATGCCCTGTAAAATCAAGAAAATAATTTTTTTTCTTTAATTTTATTTTAAAAGCAAAATATTATTTTAAATTTTATAAAATTCGTAAAAAAATAGTTTAATGTACCTCAGTAGCTGACGGTGAAGATTTTCCACTTATCTCTCTATGGTGCTTCGTAACATGTGTCAGTTTACTATAAATTTTGCAAAGTGACTCCAGTTCAACTCTAAAAATTTGAAAATTTAATTCTAGATGCTAAAAATACGGTTTAATTTCAAATGTTTATTAAAGTTTATTTTTAAATTTCTGAACATTTTTATCTAATACTCTCTAAATTTGAATAAGTAAAAATATTTACTAATTTGATTTAGTGACTGATTTTTTGTTTTCAAATTAGTAAATTTTACTAATGAATAGTTATTTTAACTAATTTATTAATAAAATTTACTAATTAAAAAGCAAAAAGTCAATTCCTAGTTCAAGTTAGTAAATATTTTTAATTTTTTACTTATTTAAATTTAGTGGAGTTAACTAAATATTTATTTAAATTTTGCAATTTTCTCTTATTTTTCCATTAAACAGAAAAGGTATTTTTTGTTTTCTTTCAGTTATGAAGTGTAACTCTTTTTAAAAAAGTTTGAAATGAAAAAAGTTTACATGGCACACTCTTCAGAATAATTGAAGTTACTTTAAATTTCTTACACAATTACGCAGATGTCATGGAAACTTCAACTTTGTCGGTTAGCGTGATTCAAGTTTTCTTATAACGTTTACAGTTTTTATGCCCTTGCCTGTTTCAAATTTAAATTCAACTGTAATACGACGAAGATACTTTTAAGTTTAATTCAAAAATCTTATTTTGACATTACATTACATTCTGAAGTTAGATTGTAGATTCTTATTTTTGTAGATTCTTGTTGAAAAGATTGTTTAATAATTTTAGTAAAGTTCTAATATGAGCGTAACAGAAAAATGTCTTTAAAATTGAGGGAGCGTGACTTCCTTGTAATTACCTACTTTAATTAAGAAAAAAATGGTTGAACTGCTTTTTAATTTTTTCAATTAGATATACTTTCTTGGGTGAAACCAACGTAATGTATAATAAACGAAAATAAGGGTTTAGTAGTGGAGTAATAAAACGAAATGAAAATTGAAAGCAAGTTGAACCAACACGCAATGATGATAATATAAACTACTTTCAAGAAAAGTGTTGTAAAATTTTCAAATTAAATATACTAAAAGTTTGACTTATTTCTAGTTTCATGTGTGCATTTGTGTTTTATGTTAGTTTTCCTCTGCGTGTTCCGATAGCAGATGTTTCCAATTTCAGTGAACAAAAATTGAAAAAAAAAAATGTTAGGTTTTCAATATGTGATGCTTTATAGTCGTATAGTACTTTTTTTTACAGTTTATGGTAAAATCATTACTTTACAAATATCAACAGAGTTGTCACTAAAATTTCCTTGTTTTTCCCTGACTTTTCTGACTTCCAAAAAAAATTTTGTTTTCTTTCCTGACAATAAGAAATATTTTAATTCACTCTAAAAAAAACCCTAAAAATTCCCACACACAAGAAAATGTTTCTATAGAAAATTATTCGAAACAACAACAGATTTTTTTAGATAAATATTTAATCATTAGGTATTAATATTTTTCCATGAGAAATTCAGATTTTCAAAAATTTCAATTTCTAAATCTTTTAAATTTCAATAATTTATCAAGATTGCTATACTGCAACTTCTTCAAAATTATCATTAAGATTTTAATGAAATTATTTTCTGGAATCTTTAGCTAAAATTATTCTATAAATTAATTAATTTTGAAGAGTTCTTTGAAAATTTAATTACTCAAAGAAAAAAAGAAAGTTCACCCAAAAAGTATAATTCTAAAATTTATCAATTTTATATAGAATTCAATTTTACGAAATTTTAATTTGTTAATTAATTTTGATTGATTTGATTAATTTAAAAAAAATTGGGATACAAAATTTTTCTAAAAACTAACTTGTTTAGAATTTTTACTCAAAATTCTTTAAAATTCAAGTTTTCTAAATCTTTAGTTTGAAACCTTTTAAATCTCAATTATTCATACAAATTCTAAACGCAACTCTACTAAAATTTAATTATTTTTTTTAAGTTTTCAGTCAAATTACTCGAAATATCAAAATTAATTTTATATAAATATTTATGACTATATTATTATTTTTTAATTTGACTTGAAATCTTTATAAATTTCAACAAAACTGTTGTTTCAAAAATAGTTTTAAATTATACTTTCAAAATATGAATTTTATAGTAAGTAGTCTTAAAAATGTTGCATCTTAATTTAAGAATTTCTTTCTGTCTTAAACTAAGATTTTTCTTCTAGTTTACCATTGATTTATATTTAAAAAAATAAAATAAAGAAAAAAATATTTTAGAAACAAGACTAAATTTATTCTATAGTAAAAATAGGCTATTAAAAAATTATTTTAAGATACATTTAAAAATATAAATTTACATATTGAATGTAATTGCATATTAAAAATAAATAAATAAAAAAAAGTATAAAATAAATAAATTGAACAAAGAACGTAAGATGTTAAAAATTAAGAAATAATAAAAAATTAAAAAAAAAATAAACTTTCTAAACTTTTTTTTTATTATTAATTATATAATTGATTAAGAAAGTTCTGAGAATTCTTTTAAAAAAAAATTGTCTTATATTTTCTTCATACCTGCTGATTTTAACACATCTTCAATTCAGAACAAAGAAAGTTGTAAGTAATGAATAACAATAAAAAACTAAAAGATAATAACAAAAATTTAGAAAATAAAACAAAAATATTTTAAACTTTAAAATTTAAATTAAAATTTGTTTATTCTATTCTTAAAAAAAAGACTAATTTTTTCTCTCAAAAAATAAAATTTTATTTTAATGCTCGGTGTTTCAGGTAAAATATATTTTTCCTTTTTAGCGCATTATTATTATTATTATTTATTTTAAAATATGACAATTGAAAAAATGAATTGATTCCTACTTGGAGAATTTAGTTTTTTTCTTCAACAATTCGATGATCTTTGCATAATAAGCGGCACTCTTCATTTTGGGATCGACTCTCGCTCTTCGTTTTCGTTTCTTTTCGAGTTCCTGCTTCTGCTCGACGGAGGTCGATTGTTGTCTCCTCGACGAAACAGAAGTCTTGCGACCACGCGCCAGAAAGAGTGATACGCTTTTCATGACCAAAGCTCCTGCGGATCCGCTGATGGGCAGGCGTCCTGCGGCGCCGTCGCCGTTCAAACACTCCCCACCAGGTCGTGAAGCCGACATTGGTTTCGCACTTTGCTCCTTCGACATTTCTTTTTCCAAAAATTTATTTCTCTATTAAGATATAATATTATTTCTTAACTTTTATTATATCTTCTGGTGATTTTTCTAAAAGTGTGCTACTTTTGAACTTTGAATTTTTATTTCTTTTTGGAAATTATAAGGTTTTTCCTTTTGAAGCAACCTAAATAGCAAAAGAATCTTCGTTTATAATTTTTGAAAAAAAAAAAAAATTAGATTATAATTAATTAAAATTCAAAGAAAAGATGTTTTCGATTTTTGAATTTGAAGAAAAGGAATAAGGAAAATAATGAATGTAAAATGAATTCGAAATTTGAAATTCTTATTTGAACTTTGAGAAGTAATTAGAAATGATTGAACATTTCGAAGGTAATGAATACAAAGTAGTATATCAATTACGTTGATTCATTTGATGCCAAAAAAGTTGAGAGTGCGATGTTTGTGACCTTGTTCTGAAAATTTAACGGCTTTGCATGTCGTTCAACTTTTGTGCTAGCATCGCATCAAACACCTCGATCATAATTCATTTAGATTCATTTCGAGAAAATATAGTTGCAAAATTCTTTTACAACAAAATTAAAATTCTTCTGTTTTAGTTTAATTAAAAATTTTAACACACAAATATTTTATTATTTCGAACAAGCTCCGAAGAAAGAAGAAGCAAAAATTTTAGGTTATGTTTGAAATTGTTGGAATTAAACAAATTAAAAAAACACTAAGGGAATCAACTCTATTAATGTAAATTACTAATGTTTAAGTTTTCATTCCGTTTAAAATAATTAATAGAAACTACCCGAGTCGAAATTTAAGCCCTACTTTCACCCTGAATTTTCAGGGTCTATTGAGTGTTAGGAGTAGTAAAGTAGGGTCTAATTCTAATACGATTAGACCCTACTTTGACTCCCAAAATAGGCGGAAATTTGCCAATCTTCCATTTGGAGAAGCAAAGTAGGGTCTACTTCTAAGAAACCTATACCGTACTTTTAAACCTCGTAGACCCTACTTTCATACTCCTAGACCCTACATTCTAAAAAAAAATTTTGAATTATTTTTTAATGCATTACTTGAAACACTGCAAATGCAAAAAGTACTCCAAATTCATAAATACTGATGTGTTTTATAGCGTCTATATACACTTCGTGTATATAGACGCTATAAAACACATAAAATTCCACTTTTACTCATCCCTAGTGCTTCAATTGAATCTGAGCAAATCTTCAAATTTTTCTTTTTCTAATTGTAGGGTCTAGGAGTATGAAAGTAGGGTCTACGATGTTTAAAAGTACGGTATAGGTTTCTTAGAAGTAGACCCTCCTTTGCTTCTCCAAATGGAAGATTGGCAAATTTCAGCCTATTTTGGGAGTCAAAGGAGGGTCTAGTTTTTAAAAATTGTATTGAAATCAGACCCTACTTTACGACTGCTAAACCTGAATAAGCCCTACATTTTCAGAGGCTAAGTAGGGTCTAAATTTCGACTCGGGTAATTTTAGTTTTAATTAAACAAAAACAGTTATTAAAACAGTTAAATAGAAACATAACCTTAAAATTCTTTGCTAGCTTTCTTCAGAGCAACTAATTTAATTTAGTCGCATTTATTCTATTATTTATGACAAAAATCTTGATTCTATTTACATTTCACATTCATAATTTTTCTGCGAATATCAAATTGAGATAAAAAATGAACCAAAGTAAAGCACACTTTTGATTCATTTTTTTGTCTCAATTTGATATTCGCAAAAACCATGTTCTTCTAATCAGATCAAAAACTAAATTTTGAATTATTTTATTTTGCGTCTAATTTACAATATTCTAATAAAAAATTGTTATTATTTACATCGACAAAATTTTTCTTTTGTTTACATTCCTTATGTGTGCAATTATTTTGATGCTCCAGTTTGATCAATTTTAAGTTGTCTCTATACTGTTATTTACAAAGACATGTAAAGAAATTGGTTTTCCTTTTTTTCTATTCTTCTCGAATAACAATTCCGATTATCTTAGCACACATTCCGCATATGTGTTCAAATATAAAGATTCTTTTGCATGTGTCGAAAAACTTGCATGATAAAGACCAATAAAAACGGGCAAGTTTTTATAACTTTTCTCATTAAACAATAGTTTATAGACTATTTATGTTTGCCTCGAAGACAACACCATAAGATAAATTAGAAAATCGCGTTTTATGTTTATAAAATCAATAGAAAAGGTGCCTGGCGAATGGTATCCAGGTGTAATAACAAGGTGGGAAAATTATTTATAATTTATTCAATAAATTCTTCAAATAGAAAAAATAATAATTGTTTAATATTTGCCCATTTTGTTAAAACCTTTTTTAAAAATTTTTTTTGTAAGAAAAGGCCTAGTACGATTATTCTGATTTCATATTATATCTATTTATTTTTTATAAACTTTTCATAAATTTAAACAATTTTATAAACCTTTCATTACAAAAAATAATAATTTTTTTTTGGGCGAATAAAATTAGTTTTTAGTTCTCAGAGTGCAGCTCCTTTTTTATGTGAACCAGATTGACAGCAAAGATTGTTGCGTTGCTCTTTTCCAGGCGCTTCATGATTAAAAATATAAAAAATCCTAATTTATTCTCGAATTTATTAATAAATGAAGTACAAAATAATGTAAAATAAAAAATTTAATTTTAAGAACTAGAAATAATAACATTAATAACAAAAAATTTATTCTTTTTTGCTTTATATTGTTATATTTTGTTAACCATTTTTTATGATTATTTTTGCGGAATGCGGGATGTATCTCAATAAATAAATAAATGAATAAGAAGCATAATTTTATGTTTAAATTCTTTTAAAGAATAATTTTTTTTTTAAATATGTTTAAATTATCTTAAAAATTACAATTTTTCTAAAATTATGTTCAAATTATTTTAAAAATTACATTTTTCTAAAATTATGTTTAAATAATTTTCAAAATTAAACACTTATTGTGACCCCAGTCGAAAAAAATTCTATAGAATTGTACAAGAATGATTTTATATAAAATCTAGTGATCATTTTGTAGAATTTTACTAGAAAAATTCAGTAGAATTTCTACATAAATTTTAGTGAATATTAGGTAAAAAACAAAACTATCTTTTTGTGGCTATTAATGAATTAAATATTATTAATAAAATTTTGCCTTTTTTGAATTTCGCGCCAAAACAGTTCTTTAATTTGCCGCCTAGATGGCATGAAAATTCTCTCATAAACGAAGTGAAGCAAACGAATTACATGAATCAAAGCGATGATATAAAATTGTTTCGTTTCAGTAAAAAAAATGGTTATAAATTTGAACAAGAATTAATAAATTGTTGTAATTAATTGTAATTACTGAATAAAATTAGAGAAAATAAAAAAGGGGGAAACAAGATTATTTCACCTGTATTAATACATTTTTTTACTTTTATTTATTAATAAACATAATTTATTGTTTTTATACTAGAATTTGTGTAGAAATTCTATAGGATTATTTTCGTGAAATTCTACAAAATGTTGACTAGAATTTTTTTTTGTATTTTTAATTTTTAATTTTTTTCACTCTATTAGAATCTTCTAGTACAATTTTACATAAATTTTTCGTCTATGATAAAAGTTTTAGTAAAAAATAAATAAAATATGTGAATATATAGAAAATAAATTGAAGAAACAATGCGTTTCCTAGCAGAACATGAAAATTCTAAATCACGCAGTTACAAATAATTCTACTCAATTTTCATGTGTGATAGTAATCAAACTTCCCTCCTAAATTTAACATGAATTTCTCACGCTCTAATTTAACTTCCAGAATTACTTACATTCAATTCCGATCTTTCTTTAGTTTCTTCAATCTAAAATTCATTTCTTATCACGTTCACAAACAAATAAAAAAAAATCAAAGTTTAAAAGAAATTGAATTTTTTTTAAAACATTATCGATTATACATTTTACCCTACCTGTCTTTAGATTAAAACCCAAAAAAAATTATTTTCGAAAAAAATAAAATTCTCCAAAAAATATTCTGTTATTTTAATGTACGATTTAATTTGAATAGAAATGTAAATAACAAAATTTAACTTAGAATTTAATTTCTTTAAATAAAAAAAATAAAATATGACTAAAATCTGTTATTTTACAAAATTACAATTTTTTTACAAAGAAAAATTAAAGGGAAATGATTCTAAAAATTAATTTTTGCAAATTACGTAATTGCGCATATGATAATGAAAAGTGAGGTCTACTCTAGGTATTTTGTGTTCTTGTGGGGAAAATCGATAGGGAAAAAAGTGTCCATTATTTACCCTATTTATGGAAATCTCTATGGAATGCATAAATGACTGTGATTATAATGAAATAAAACTTACCCTCAAATGATTTTGTCTTTCCTTTCTCGTCGTGACAAACGCTCGTGGAAATGCGGGACAACGTCGCCAATGGCGAATTACTTGTTATCGATCAAACTTTTTCAACTTTTTCATTTTATGTGTTAGTTATTAGCACTTCGTATATTATTATAATTATTGTCTCCTATCATTTTTGCCTTTCATTAAATTAATTTCGAAAACTTAATTATTTGGCGTTAATGTATAAAATACTAAAACAGTTTATTTGATTCAAATAATCGATTACTTTGTCTCAAATTAAATAAATTTAACTTTGAAAATAAACTTACTCGAATCGAATAATTTTTACTTAAATCAATTAAATCCTTTTTGTTTTAAATACTTGAATTATTGGTTTAAATACAATTTATTTGACAATTTACTTATTTACTTTTTATTAAATAAAAAATATTTGATTCAAGTAAATATTCATTTGATAATATGGGCAGGTAATTGGTTATTTGAATCAAATAAATTTTCTTTCAGTGTGTATAAATATCATAAAATGAAAAATAATATAAATATATAAAATATATAAATATATAAAAAAATATAATTAATATATAGAAAGGTAGAGTAAATAAAATACTAAAAAATAGCAAAGTGGGGGGGGATTAAGATATCTATATATAAAAATCCAAAAAAGGGTACACATAGAGAATGAAATAAAAAAAAAAACTAAAAAATAGCAAACAAAAAATTATGAATAAAATTAACAGAATTATGAAATTCTTTAATCGAATAAAAATTTTATCGTGACTCTTAAACTCTGTAAAAATGTTACTACAAATGATAAATAGCAGACGTTAAGTAAAGTTTGTTAATCAAATTGACCTGGAAAATATTGCCCTTAACTTTTGCTTGAGCTTTGATAGGAAATCTAGAAATTTACTCAAAATGTTGACATCTCTTATTAACTCAAGTTTGCCCTGTAATAATTAAGTAACTGCCGTTTTCGAAAGATGCAATTAAAAAAAAATTCAATTGCTTATTAACTGAGATGAATCTCGCATAAAATTACAAGTCTTACATTTTGGAAAATATTAATTTAAAGCACATTTCTGCATTTGGGCGAATGCGTATAAAACATAAAATTAACAAGAATTAATTATTAATAATTGTAATTTGTATTTTTATAAAAAAAGTGATTTTGGAATGTAAATTAGAAATTGTTAGCTAAGCATTAATTTTTTTAACAAAAAAAAAAATTAATTCTTAACTAAAAATTTAAAAAAATTAAAAGAATAAATCAAATTAAATTTAATGATTTAAATGAGTAAATTCAAAATTGTTAGTTAAGAATTAATTTTTTTAATAAAAAAAATTAATTTTTAACTAACTATTTTTTTAATAAAAAAAATTAATTCTTAACTAACAATTTAAAAAAATTAAAAATTAAATGAATAAATTAAATTAAATTTAATGATTTAAATGAGTAAATTCAAAATTGTTATTTTTTTAATAAAAAAAATTAATTCTTAACTTACAATTTTTAATTTACATTTGTTTTCGTTATCTTTATTAAATTTTGAAATTTGAACAGAAAAAATTACGTTTATTTGAACGTTTGAAACTTTAGAAAAATTGATATCTAATTAGGTTAAATTTATTTCAAGTTCATGCAGAGTTAAATATTATTATTCTTTTAATAAATTTGTTACATATGTGTTTAATCAACTGTAAAGCATAAACTAAAAGTATAAGATTTCAAATGACGTAAATCATATCTAGAAGTTGTTGTTTGTTGATGTTTTTACTTAAAACGTCATTTCTATTCGAGTGTATAATTCCTCGAATAATTGTAATCAAATTTTTAAAAATACATATTTACGTGAAGGAAATTAATTATTCGAATTTTCCTACAGGCAAATTTGGTAAAATTTTAATTCTCGTATACATTTCATGTCCTTTTGAAATTACCACTGAATTCCATTTTTCTAAAGAGTAAAAAATTATTCTATTTTATTTCTTTAAAAAAAACTATCTGCCTTATCAAACTTACATTAAATAAAAAAGAAAAACTATTTTTTGCATTATTTGCATAATCTTTATTTCAATGTTTATACCATTGTTTTTCGTTTACATAATTAAGTTAAAGAATTATTTCGCCTTTTTTCATTCGTAAAAACATTAAATTCTAATTTATTTCAAAAATACAAATTGAAATAAAAACCGTTTTACTTATATTTTAATTTATCAAACCCGTTATAAGCCATTGAAATTAAAAAAAAAAACTAATAATCCGTCGAGACAGACAACGAATGTTATTAAATGTGTTTTGAGATCCTGTTTAAAAACAATTAGTTACATTGATTTTGCAATTGTAATTCGTATAATAAACAAAAATATTAATCAAGTGTGTATCCGAAGTTTATTTGATTTTTAAATCAATCTAGCAAAAAAACAGGAAGTAAAAATCATTTTTTTAATGCTAATTTAAAACCTACTGTATATTAGTATTCTAATTGAACTACATAATAATTTTTTTTTGTTTATGTAAATTAGTGTCTATTAATTTACATGTCAAAATTTTTAAATTTTAATTCAAACTGTTTATCACTTTTTTACTATCGTCACTGGAAGAAGCATTTACGGCATTTATTATAAATTTAGATCAACGTATGTCAAATAAAAAAAAACCAGTAGAAACTGGGAATAAGTTCAATATTAGTCTATTCAGAAAATAAATACCCCCACTCCTAGTCTTTTGAAAAATTAAATTTATAATTATTTCCAACCTACTAATTAATATAATTGAAAATTATTTTCATTTTTAAGAACAAGGACATTTTTAATGATATCAAAAAAATATTCTAAATATTCCATAAAATTATTTTTTAGGAAATTTTTTCTGAGTAATTCAATGGTCAGAACATATTTTGACCCCTTTTGAATTTTTATTTTTCCTAAAAATTAATTTGATAATTTACAAATAAATTTTATTTTTCTAACTAATTTTTGATAATTCTTTTTAAATATTTTTTATTTTTTACAATCTAAATATGTTCTGAAATTTTCACTGATTCAGATTTAGAGTTTAAATAAAAAATGTGACAATTATAATTAATATTACTGTTAATATTATATTGCTTTTATTATTAGTAATATTATTATTTATTTTTATGTAAAAAATTAAGACTCATTTGCGTTTTATGACAATTTATTTATAAATCATTCTTTACACTTATATTCTACTTAAAAATGCGTTTTCATTCTCTCTCCCTCTTTCTCTCATAGATACATACACACTTATATTACATTTATAGTTCTTATTACAAAATGTTTTGATTTTTGATAAAATTATGAAATTGTTGAATGGTTTATTTTTTTTTTTTTAAAAGCACAAAATTTCTGAACACATTGTAACAGCAGCTCTCATCGTCCATAACCGGATGATCTATAAAAAAAAATAGAAAAATCACAATGTTAATTAAATTGCATTCTAAATTAATTATATTTTTAAAAAATTTTACTTGAGAAAAAACGAAAAACAAAAAGAAACCAAAAAACTTGTTTTCTGGTTTCTTTTTTGTTTTTCGTTTTTTCGCTTTCTCCATAAAACAATAAAAAATAATTTAATACTAGTACAATAACAATAAAAGAAAATTTACCCAGCATTGGCATTTGCATTCGCATAAGATCCTGAACCATACGGATTGCTATTGGATCCAGCATTGGCTGAGCTCTGGGCATGAGAATTTCCACCATAACCACCTTGTCCATAACCTCCTTGTCCACCATGACCTCCTTGGTGACCTCCACCATATCCACCTTGATGACCTCCACCATATCCTCCTTGGTGACCTCCACCATATCCACCATGACCACCACCTCCATGTCCACCATGTCCTCCGTAACCACCTCCTCCATATCCACCATGACCATGACCATGTAATCCATGACCATGTCCGCCTCCGTATCCAAATCCGTATCCACCACCACCACCACCACCATGATGATGATGGTGATGCGGATCAGCTGCTCTTCCTATTCTCGTCAATATGCCTGCTATAACAAATAATTGTAATTTTAATTATTCTCGCATACGGTTATTAACAATGAGATAAAAAAAATACTGTTTTCGATTATTAAGATGATAATTTCTTCAACTGAGGTAATTATCTCTTATTTGTTAGTTAATGCCAATTCAACTTTCAATGTATAATTATATATTCGTTTGTTTTTCCATTCCGTACCATTTGATCCATTCGTTCGAAAAACCACTCAAGTCCATTTAAATTTTTAACGACATAACTAATTCTTTAAACTAAACAAATAATTGTTGAATAATAACTCATTATTTTCGAACAAAACATTTTTATTTTGTTTATTGTTACTTTCAAGAAGTATTTGTTGTTATAAAATTCAAAAACGAATTATTAATTTTAATGTAACTTCCATAACAATTATTATATCGTTCTTTATTTTATAGAAACTTGACATATATTTGTTGTGGAACACAGTGATAAAATTTTAAAAAACAACTTAAATGGACTTAATTTGTTTTTCGAGCAAATGGCTCTTTTATTGTAATCATTATCTAAGAAACTGTTTGTTTTCAAACAAAATTTTTGTTGCTTATGATTCACTATTTTCTAAATACTCTTTACTATTTTTTTATAACAACAAATACTTCTTGAAAGTAACAAAATATTTTTAATAAAGACAACTTCAAATCTTAACTTTTAAGACAACTTAATGATTGTTTACCAATGAAATAGATTTTCAAATTCATTAAAACTTTTGACTAAATGTTTACGACAAAGTAAAATTGTTTTGTTCGTAAATAAATGTCGAGTTATCATTCAACAATTATTAGTTTAGTTTAGTTAATTGAATTTTGATAAATGACTTTCTTTCACGTTCATAAATAAAAAAAAAGAAAAAAAGAAAAAAAATAAAAACATAAAAAAATAAAAAAAAAAAAAATAGAAAAATAGAAAAAAAGGAAATCAACAAAAACTTATACCAGAATTGATGAAAATAATTAATTAACGTATTTTTAGATAATAATTACCATTGCCTTCATATTGAGCAGGAAAAGCGAACGTAGCCGCTATGGCAACAACAAGCACCACCAAATATTTAATCATATTTTTCGAATAATTAATTAACTCTCACAAATAATAAACAAATAAAATTATTCGAATAAAAAAGTCTCGTGAAAAACACAGCTTCCAAACGAGAAATGATACTGTTGATGCAAGACATATGAATTTATATACAAATACTCGAGCATCTATACATAATTTTATGACTAGTTTTGCGCAGGTGTCGGCGGCAGTGGTGGGGTTTTGGGACTGTTAATTATTGCAAGCTATAACAAAACTTCTTTATTTCCCCACTCAGACATGTTTTGAAAGGGTCATTACCATGGCCATGAGACGTAATTCCCGAATCTCTTCACGGCAATTAACCCTGAGATTGATGTGACAAAGAAAATTTTTGTTTTTTAAGAAACAAAGTGCATAGATGATGACGATGAATTAAGGGAAATGAGATCGAAACTTTTTTTCATCTTTTCTTTTGTTTTCGAAATGAAATCTCTTTCTACATACTGCCTGCTCCTTTGTCTATAAACGTATCAATTTCGGAACATTAAAATATCGTTAATTTGTAAGTATACAATTATTAAATATATTTTTCTCCTTCTTTTGAAATTTATAAAATTTACAGTTTGATTTTTTAATTTTTTTTAAAATGATAGTTTTTTTTATTTTTTTTTATACTCAGAAGTAAGAATTTAAGTTGCGCAAAGTTAATCATTAAAAAAAGGTTTTTCTTTGAAGAAAATTGACTTTGTTGATACATTTTATTATTTTTATTTGATTCGCGAGTTTTTCTATTACTTCTATTACTTCTTTTTTAAATAAATATTTAATCATTATTAGTCCCCCATAGGAATTCAAATTCTTCAAAAGATTCAAATTCAAACTTTTTTTGAAATTAAACAACTCATATAAAAATATTGTTATAAAACATGAAGAAATCAATTACTCCGAGTCGAAGACTCGGAGTGATCGATTTCTTCATGTTTTATAACAATTAAAAATAAATTTTTTAATAAATAAATATTTTTATTTTAAATAAAATAAATATTTTATTTTTTAATAAATTTTTTTCGGTCTTAATACGAATACGTTTTTCGTCAAGTATAAATAATCAAAAAACCAAAAATTAAAAAAAAATCTATACAAATTGATTATGAAAAATGCATAAATTAATAAAAAATGATCATTCTCACAAAAATAATAATATATATACACCACACTTTCTGGAGATCCCCACAGCTATTGTAAATACATGAGTCATCGAATAAGAGAAATCATTAATCTCAGTCTCAGCTGATGCTAAGTTTATTATAAAAAAAATATGAATTGTGAAAAACATTAGATAAATTATGACTTGTAAATTAGTCTTTCAGTAAAACGAGACCATTAAAAGAGAATTCTTTAATTTGTTAAGTCATCGTCATGAAGAACTTCCTTCCATTTTAATCGACGAAGTTTTCCATAACATAAAGTGAATTTTTTTTATTTTATTAGAGAGGATGAAAAATTAGACAATGAGTTCTTTATAATTGCAGTGTTGATCGAACAATTCTACCGTGAAAAATATACGTTACATTAAACCTAAAATCTAAAAAAAAAAATTTACAATTGTTTTTGTAATTTGATCAGTATCTCATTTTTTTTTTTTTTTTTTGAAAATTAAGACCAGTTTTATAATTTATTTAACTGAGTTATGTTGATATAAGCTTATAACGTATAATGAAATAGAATTACCGGTTTATTTTTACAAAACATTTCATTATACAGAATAGAGGATTATTTATGTTCAGGGAAAAAAAATGTGGGGTAATTTTTAATGTTTACAAATTTACAATTTTACTATCTGGAATTTTTATCCAGTTCTGCTTTCTGTCAATTTTTATTATTTTTAGGGTAAATTACATTTTACTAAAATTTACTTCGGAAGTAGTAAAATTTACTCTTTGGTGTGATTTTGTAATTTGATGTTCGATTCGAATTTTAATTTTGACGTTGATTTTGACTTCGACTCTGACTCTGACTTTGATTTCGAAAATCTGAGTGAAAGTGAAAGTCCAAAGTGAAAATTCGAATCGAAATTTGAATTCCAAAATCGCACCACTGAAAGTAATGAAAAATGACAGAAATGGTCAGAAATTCCTGACAGTATAATTTTTTCTATAAAAATAGTAAAAGATAATTTTTTCTGTAAAATTGTTTGCCAAAAATGTTTTTTATTTATTTAAATTCAAAAGATGCAAAAATTTATGACAAATTGGGAAAATCGTTTTTTGCGTTTATCGTCTTTGAGTAAAACACTTGTTTTCGTACGTCTTTATTTAATTTGATAATTGACGGATAAAGATGAAACACTACTGGGAATCCCCTTTCAAAAAATTCCCGAAGATCAACGCTGCTTCGATAATAAGCGGTAAGATGTACAAAAAGCTAATCACACAAAATGATTTTAAAAAACATTTGAAACAAAATTACATATATTAAAAATCGTCCAAGCACATAAATACAATTTACTACAAATATCTTCAACATAAATACAAATTACTACAAATATCTTTAACGCTATAATTAATTCAATAAAAAAGTTGCAAATTCTACAAAAGTATTTAAAAAATACCCAAGTAAATTTGGGGTTTTTTTACCCAAATAAACATGGTTAAATTATACAAATAAAAAAACTTTACTCCAAGTACTTTTTAAAAATAAAAAAGAAAAATATTTTAGAAAATAAGTTTCAAAAAACAACAAATAATATATCGAGAAAAAATATTTTTTGTTGATATGGCTGCATAAGGAAGTTTGAAGAAAAAACAAGTTGTTGCATTATAATCAATACAAACATGAAGCATGGGATAGCAGAAAAAATAAACTTATTTTTAAGATTGTCTATTCATAAGTCTAAAAAAGTATCTTCAATTTATAATTGTCCAACTAATATACCAAGACTGTTATTAAATTATTACTTCTCTTCCCGATGGTAACAATTAAATGGTAATCATTGCACGTCATCTCTCTAATATCTGACAATCTAAGAAAATGTAAAACTGTTTTCAATGAAATTCAATACTTTGGGTATAGTGTAAAATCGTTGGAAACAATAATTGTAAATTGCGCTCACACGCAAATGGATTTCCATTCATGAATAATATTTATGTTACGCATTAAAATACCAAATTAATTACACGAATAGAAATAAAGTTTTCAAAACATTGTATTCTAAAAATATGTAATGAAACATGTAAATTAAAATTAAATTTCGACAATTTTTTTTATTTAATTTTTTCGAAAAATTGACGAGATTTTAAAATACACAATTTTGCTTTTTATTAAAATAATCTGATTTTTATCAAAAATATGAAAAAAATATAAAAGTATAAAGTATACAAGGATATGTAAAAATATGAATATTATATATTTGCTAAATATTTAAAAACTTAAAATAACATTTAAAAGTAAATAAACTTAAAGAACTGTTTCCAAAATTGTACTTTTTTTAAAACTGAAATTAGTATAATAATAAAAACGGGTGATAATCCGGGATAAAAAATTCTACTTTAGGAATTCTTGCCAAAATGCCATCATTATAATTCAAATAAGTCAAAATTTTTACAAACAAATTTGTGAAGTTAATCAATATAAATGAGATTTTGTGAAAAAATTGAAAAAATCTTCAAAATATATGAAATAATGCTTTTAGTTCCAGTCTTATATAATATTTTTATTTTAGAAAAACCAGTTTGGGACAAAGTATACAAGGAAATTAATAACTCTCTTAATTCAAGCATTGAAACTTGATTTTTTGCAATACAAAGAGAAAAGAAATTTTGCTCTACAATTTTGTCATAATTACTGACAATTAACTTATAATTTTGGATTTTATTATTTTTTTCTATAATTTTATAGTTGTAAATTATTAAATTGGATTTTTATAAAACTTAAAACTGATGCAAAAATATGCAAACATTTCTTTAATTAATAATTAGGTACGTTTTTTTAATAATATTGATGTTTTCAATTATTATTGAAATTCTCGGTTTTTCAAATCCAATTATAATAATTTACAGAAGAATACAACAATAATTAAGTCATTGATTCTATATACAGTGTATAGTGTAGTTTATTATTAATCTTCAGCCGTTGGTGGTCGTCTCGCCTTCTTCCTATGCAAATTAAAAAAGAACTTTTCAAAAATAGTGGAGAATAAAAATAAATATAGTGAAATAAAAACGGATTTCTGATTCTTTACCTTCTGTTTATGTTTTCTTTCTTTTTGAATATGAATATTATAATAACTTTTATTTATAGCGGATCATTGTCCTTTTCACTTCAAATTAATACAATTTTTCTTCCTTTCAAATTGCATTTTTAAGACTCAAATAAAATTTTTATTTGTTTTAAAAATAATTTTTAGAGTCCAATAAAACAATTTTTATTTGTTTCAAAGATCATTTTTGGACTCAAATTAAAAGTTTTATTTGTTTCAAAAATACTTTTTTGTTTCACTGGGTGCATAAAAAACAAACTTTGGATGTTTTTAATCCAAATATTAACATGCTCTAAAAATCTGAATTTACAAAAAAATTACTAGTAAATTTTAGTTATTTCATGATGTTCCGTTGGTACACTGGGACATTTGGACTCGGATTAAGAATTAATTCAATTAAATCAAATTTAAAGAAATTTTTTTTTTTAAATTAATGTTTAACAATTTGTAAAATTTTGGAATAAAATTTTTTTCTGCTTAAAAACACTGTGATAATGTAAATAAAAAATTAATTTTCTTACTGAGGCGATCCACCATAAGCAGTGGCAACAGAATTTGCAACACCTCCTTTTCCTGTCGAATAGCTATTGGCGATGGCAGTGACAGAACCGGAAGGTTCGGAAGAAGAACCAGACCTTGTGGCACCTAGAGGATATCCAAACATCATTGGAAAGAAAATATTACGACTCGAATACGGATAACGTCGTTTTCCTTTCATTGGAACAAAGGGAACAGTTTCCTCAAAATCCTCATCTTCATCCTCATATTCCTCAATTTCTTCTTCTTCTTCTTCTTCTTCTTTTATTGGTCGAATAACTTTTTTTCCCTTCTTGCCAATATTTTTTTTCCGCGGACCAGGAGCAACTTCCGTCTGAGATGCTTCTTCCGGAGGATTTGTTGTGTCACGATATGATTCAGTGTTCGACTGCAAAATTTTTACTTTTTTATATTTTTCTAATTTACTTTTCAAAGCGAAATCGAAAAATTAAACCGTATCGACTATTCGACTATTGTCATCCGATATTAATGATAATACCACAGTTTTCTTGAAAGTATCAATTAGATCAAATCAATTTAATGCACATTGTAAATAGAAAAGTCCTAATTTAGTACTAATTTTGGTTCTGAATCGTAATTTACTTCTATTTAAATACCAAAATCATCTCTAACTTTGAACCTTTTTTTTACAGTGGCATTATCAACTTAATGCCAAAAATTTCGATCTGTTTTTGATTTCATCTACATTTTTGGTATCCACTCGTTGAAATTTGATACTTTAAAGTTAACAGTGAATAATGATGAACAATAATTATTGTAAAATATTGTAAGTATACCTCTGACTGATCCTGAATTGGATTCCAAGTTGGCTGATCTTGATGCTGATGATTCACTGAACCTATGTTCTCCTCTAATTGCGAGACTGGTTCACCTTGGAAGTTTGACGTTTCCGGGTCATTGATGGGCTCTGGACCGGGTTTTAAATAATTTGGCTGGAAATCACCTTTTAAATAAGTTCCGGCTTTCACGGAATTTCCTTGAGCAAAAACCGCAGTCGCCTGATCGCCATCGGTTCGCCGAACCGGTCTATAAAAGAACATCATCGTTCTTTGGGGATAAGCACTGATCGGAGTTCTTTTTCCTCTCATGAATATTAACGGATTTCCATACGGAGATGATTTCGGAAAAGCGTGTACATCTTTCACTAGCAAAACCGTCAGAGAAATAATAAGAAACCACAGAATCATTATTTAAAGTTTTGTCAAATGTTGCAACGCAATCCAAATTTTTGACTATTGTAACTGAATTTTCAACTATTGTAACTGAATTTTTAACTAGATTTGCAAACGAATTCGCAATTAAATTTGCATCTAAATTTGTAACCGGATTCGCAATTAATTCTGCAAGTAAATTTGCAACTTTTGTAACTGTATCTGCAGCGAAATTTGTATCTAACTTTCCAACCAAACTTGTAACTAAATTATCGAAAAAATTTGGAACAACAGTAAAATTACGTATATGTGAAAGTGGAAATAATGTTGAATGCAGACTTTCTGTCTGGCAAATGCTTTTATACCAGAAGACCCCCTGCCCCTTCTTCGATGTCATTGTTCGCTGCTGGGATTCAAGAGGGATGAGAAATTTACGAACCCCCACTTTGTCTCATTACAAATGGACACACATGTTTTTCTTGTACCTGAAGGAATAACCCAAGATCATGGAAATTGCTACGTGACATCCATGCGAAATGGAAATAAAGTAAATTCAAATGAATTAATCGCGATCCGATTGTAATCTCGCAACTTGAATGAGACATTGCGACAGCAAATATAACGAATTACAAGTCGATCAATTTTTACCCTACCTTTAAACTGCCCTGACGGTCTCCTAGACCGCTATCTTAATTTTTTGCGTTTATTCCTTCTTTTAAAGATGCAGTTGCATCCTTTACATTTTTTGACTTTTATCTTCTTCCTTTTCTCACACAAATGTTGAAATTATAGAAGAGAAAAAGTTAAAAATCTTTAAAATTAAATATTTACTCTTTTAATACAATAAATTGAGATAATTTGAAAAATTTCCTTTTTTATATATAGAAAACTTTTATCTTCTTTCTTTTCTCATACAAAAGAAACACATGAAGAAATAACGTATGAACCTCACAAGTGTTACACTAAAACGGACTGGACAGAACTCCAAAATTATCATTTTCATCAAGAAAATTCCATTTTTATTTCTCACAGATTGTACCATGAAAAAAGTAGTTCACATTTAATCAACTTTAACTAAGTTCAATTCATATATATTCCCAAAATATTGGACGATAGTCTAGGTTTGAAATAAAATTATTGAATAATAATAAAATTATTAAATTAAAATAGTTTATGTCACGTTCATAGGACGTAACAGTGCCATTGCATCTATAAATTTTGAATTTCTAATTTAAAGATGGTGCAATTTGAAAAATTTCTTTTTTTAAAAACAGAAAATTTCTTTATTTGCAAAAATCATTGTGATCTTTATAAATTTGATAATATAGATAGAAAATATTTTGATTATTGTGAGACCGGAATTAGCCAGTAAATTTCTGTAAGTAATTTCAATGAGATGCACAATTAGTCATGTCATTAAATCATAATCTATTATTATTTGTTTTGATGTTTTCGCGATACTGTAAAAATGCATTCGGAAAATAAAAAACAGTATTTACTACTAAATGTTTATACTGATTCTTGTAGAATAACAATGAATCTAAAACAGTTTAGTAATCATTGCAAAACAATACGAATTACATAATTTAAATAGCAGTCAGTATTGTTTTTTGATTTTTCAGATTCGTCTCTTGTTCGTAAATATTTTTATTTCAATTATTTTATATATTTTATATTATTATAATAATATTACATTCTTATTTTTTTTTAATGTTAAAAATAAATAAATAATTGTAAAAATACAATATTTGTTCTTACATAAATTGAAATCTCCAAACAAACATAAAAAAAAGAATGACAGACCAGGAAAAAAATTAAACATGATTTTTTGACATCTATCAATTTAAAAATTAATTAAAGTTCATTTTTTTACTAGCAGTTTTTTATGTTTAAATTTTTTTTTACCATTTCAGGTAAAATTTGAGAACAAAAGAAGGTGGAGATGAAAAAAAATTGTTGAATGAATAAGACAAAAAGTTTCAACAAAGCATGGAAAATGTGAATGAATCGTGGGAATAATATATGCATGTGTGGAAGAAACGTGTGAAGAATACAGTGCATCACTCCTTTAACTCGTTGTCGCAATAAAAGGGTTTGATGTTATCGATTGCTGCATATAGCTCACATGAATCAATTGTCCGAACGCTTCTGTGTAATTTCATCGATTTGCATCCCATTCGGAATAGGAAATTTTAATTTTGATTTTAAATTTCAATTTATATATTTATTTATATAACATGTTATTCTTTTCTATACACATTTTGCATATAAATTTTCATATATATTTAAATAATTATGTTTTTATTTATTATTATATACTTTATAAATTTATATATTTATTTTCTATAATTAATCTTTTATGAAACAAAAATGAAATATTTATTCAAAAATGTTATTTTTACAACTTTTCACTTAACTGCAATAAAGTTCTGCATGAATGAATTTAAATTCCGTTCATGCAACCACACAGACTAAGAGAGATACCGTCTCCTCTGGCAGTGCGTATATTATAAACAAACGGATGCAATCACTCTCTAAAGGAAGCATACATCGATTTCGCACGTGGCAGTAAACGATCTTGACCTTTGAATTACAACTTAGTATAGATCTCAAAAAGAGAAAAAAAAAATCTTAAATGACTAAATTATATTCAAATTAAAAACTATAAGAATATTATAAATTTATAAAACATTAATTTTTATTTCTAAACTGTCGAATTTAATTTAATTTTTACAACTTCTAGGATATAAAAATTTGTCATGAAAAGATTATCCTGAATGAACACAATTTTTTTCCTGTTCGAGAGATTTTTTTACGTACGGCCTTCCTTTTTGTATATTTGCATAAACATGCGTTCATTAGTGTAAAATGTATAGAAAAAAAAAATAGTAAAGAACACTATTTTTTATTTTTATATTTTTTACTCCCTAATTTAAAATTAGATTATTTATTAAATAATAAAATGTAAAAGTTGTTGATCAGTATTAATTCACAATTAGTCCAAGATGTATATTTTTTATATAATAAAAAATTTTTATATATAATTTTCATGATCAGACGAATAAAATAAAAATATACATCTTGGATTAATTAGATATTTATTAGTTGAAAATTACTAATTAATATTTAACAGTAACTAAATAATTAAAAATAGTCGAGGATTGAAGTCGAGAAATTAAAATCAGGGTTATAAACCTTACAACATTATTACCCTCTCATTTGATCGATTCTAATATATTTGCAGTAGCGTATAAAAAAAGGCTGGTGTTTGCAAATTTGCATTACAAGAGACCTGATGATTTTGTAAATATTGGTCATCGCATTTATTCTTGCCGCAAGTGACAAATTAGTAGTCAGGCGACAGTATGAGAAACAAATTTACTACCAGTCTTTCCAAGAAGATGTAAAATATTAGCTGATCGTAATTCTCTGAGAGTGTAAATATCACGAATAGTTTTCTTTTGGGATTTTCGTGAAAGTAAATTTTCTTCTTTATATTTTTGGAAAAACTAGAACCAATAAAAAAAACTCTTTACAGTTAAAAATTAAAAATTAATTATTTATTCACTCTCTAAATGTGAATTTGTTAAACATAATTGTTGTTAATTTTTCTTAATCAATTTTAAATTTATACAAAAAAATTTGAGTTTATTTTATTTGTTTCAAATTTTTAATTGGTATAAATAAAAATTCTATTTGTGACGAAATAAATTTTTTATTTAAAACAAATAAATATTTTAGTAGGCTCTGAGACAAATATACTTTCTTTTAACTCAAAAATAAATTAAATGTTTTCTAAATAAAAAATTTCTTTGGGTGTAGAAAGTAAAATTAAGCAAAATTTTCTAAAGACTTCATTCTCTTGTCAGTAGTGAAAGTAGATTTGAGTCAGACACTAGATTAATTAAGAACTTGAATATAGTCCCTCCCTTAAAAACTAAATTTACAACCATTATCAAAATATAACCTACGTATAAAAATTGATCTTGCGTCTTTTGTTTTTTGCAGTTTATATCCAACATAATTCATAAATCAATTTTCAGTTTCTTCAATTTACTGTCACTTCAGATGAATTTTATAGATGTAAAACTAAAATTACTTTGAAACTACAATGTCTTTCAGAATTCCCTCCGTACTGTTAAAGAACATTAAAGTTTTTCTCAACATAACACCAAAAGAATCAACACCAACAATTGTCAGGCACAATCATGGAAAATGTGATAAAAAAACCCCTGAACCGGAATCAACTTTCAAAGAGTAAGTTTTAATTATTCTATTTTATAAAATCAAAAAAAAAAATAATGAAAATCGTTGGAAAAAAATTTGTGTTTTTTAACCACACTTTTTATTCTAATTCAGAGATTTGCCAACAATAATTATGGGAACGGGCTCATACGCTGCAGTCATAAGTACTTTTTTCTATTGGGTGTGGCACGATATAGGTTTTGACATGCAGGCGAGAATATGTGACGATTATAAAACGAACTCAAAAGAATAATTATCTTCACAAGAGAGTAATTATCGCATCTTTTTAATGTCCTCTGGTAAATTTTATTAATGAAAATAAAATCTTATTTTCTCAAAATTTACAGATTTACAGATTTAATTATAGATTTTAACAATAGAATTATTTAATACATTAATCAATTAATTGAATATGCATAAATTTGCACTGGTTGTATTAAATTATAATTCAATTCATTATATATTAATATTATTTATTTATTCAATTTTTCGATACTTTTTTTCATAAAATTTTCTTTTCGTCATCTATTTGAACTTTCTCAACAACAAAAATATTGTATAAAAAGTACAATAAACCATTTTTATATTTTTAAATTATACTTCATATTGTACTTACTCTCAAAAAATATTTTCTATGGAAAGATTTTTAAATTTAATTTCTCTAACACTCATTCACTCATTACGAAGAACACTTAAGGCACTGTAAGATGTTTTCATTATCTGTTTAAAAAAATGCAATTATTATAATTTTGTATTAAAATTCGTCTTAACTAAACTCGTAGGTGAAGTACTTTTCTAGTTTTGAACGTCAAAATTAAAAATTTTTGTTTATCTTAATATTTTCCAAAATTACTCTAAAATAGAATTAAAAATAAAATTCATTCAACACTTATAAAAAAACTAATTTTAAAAAATTCTCAAACAAATATTTTCTAGGAAAATTAAAATTTTAACGAAATATGAAAAAATCGTGGTTCATTTGAACGTTGGAATCTATAAAAATATTGTGAAATTCACGTTTATAATCAATAATGTATAACAAAAAATATTCTTCTATTTTTTTTGTCAAAAAAAAATTTCAATTGATCAAAAACTGAAAAAAGAAAAAATAACAAAAAATATTGTTTTCTGTCCAAAAAAATTATTTTTCTTCGAATCGTTGATCATAAACTTATATTAATAACTCTTCATTATGTATTTACAAAAATGCAATTATTATGATTTTGATTATTATAATTATTAACAATTATTATGATTTTAAAAAGAATCCATTTTCACTAAAAGTGAATAATTACCCAAACGAATGTATTTAAATTTAATACACATTGGCCATGATGGGATATAACAACTCCTTTTGCACTAAACTGCATAATAAATCTCAAACTTCTTTTATTTTTAGAATTCAATTGTGTCCAATTGCTATTGTATATTGCATTGAGAATTATTTTACTCTAAAAATTAAAAAAAATTATTTTTAAAACTTAATTATTAGCAATTTATAGAAAATAAAATGGATATCAAATTGAGACAAAAAACGTAGCAAAATTGTTGCGATGCAACAATTTTGCTATGTTTTTTGTCTCAATTTGATATCCTTAGATTTTAGAAAACTTGGTTAATAAATGAGTGAATAATTCTTAATTAGGAAATTTCCATCAAAATCACGAATGTAGGAAAAAAATTTAATACCTTTAGAGTTAATTCATGTCCGTGATAAGAGTACAAAAATATTTGAAACAACATGCATATTAGGTATAGGCACATGGTAAAGCATTCGATACTAAGTAATTCTAACTGTAAAAAATATTTAAAAATTTTTTAATTGTGTGAAATTTCATTTCATTTCATTTCATTGTAAAAAAATTTAATTTGACTGTACAAAATAGATTTAAATTTAATACGAAAATGACGTTGTTTCTAGCATAAAAGTTGTGACACTCTAAATTTTAATGCGTAAAACAAAAATGTTTACTAATTTGAATTAGTAACTGACTTTTTGCTTTTAAATTAGTAAATTTTGTTAATAAATAGTAATTTCTACTAATTTTCTAGTAAATTTTACTAATAAACAGTAATTTCTACTAAATTACTAGTAAATTTTACTAATAAAAAGTAATTTCTACGAATTGTTTAGTAATATTTACTAATTCAAAAACAAAAAGTCATTTTCAATTGGGGGTCATTCACAAACAACGTCACGCTTTTTCGGGCTGATTTTTACCCCCTCCCCCCGTCGTCACATTTTTTACATACAAAAAATTTTTTTTTCACACTTCGTCACACACAGCTTGACACCCTCCCCCCACCCTTAGGAGTGTGACGTAGTTTATGAACGGCCACTTGGTAAACCTTTTATTAATTAAAATTTAGAAAATATGGTTTCCTGCGGTTCAATTATTGTAAAAAAAATTGTAAACATTGGCATTAAAATTACCTCGATAATTTTAAAAATACTCGCACCTAAAGTAATTAAGCTGAAGAAGAAAAGTGTGGCAACGATTCTCATAAAAAAATGTTGTATTTTAAAAACTTGATTCTTGATATGAACATGATGATCAACATAACTTTTAAGCAGAAAATTTTCATTGCCATCAATTTTCACCAATCTCAAAGACAGTATTTCATATTGTGCACAAAGCAGTAAAATAAAACCATAAACCATCGTGTCCATTGACACATTAATTAAAACCCCATAAAAAGCTGCGAAAAGTTGAAGAACGTAAGTAAACCAAAACACTTGACTACTTGCAACATCATACGGTTGATATGTTTTGAAAGGCAATGAACTATTTCCAAAACCAGTCTCCACGAATGGCAGAGCCAAAAAGCACAGTCCACTTGATTGCGAAAGAATCATAATTATTAAAAATATTCTCCTAGCCTTCTTATTATATTTCTCCCAAATGACTGTTTCCTCACGAGAAGTTGGCTGGAAATTTTCTATTTGAAAATCCTTGATTATTTCTGACATTTTTCCACGCTGAAATGTAAAGTTACATATTTTTAAGCAGAGTGCGACGAACGTGAAAGAAAGAAAGAGGCCCTGTGTTGAATCTTCTTCTGAAGCACATGTTTTTATAAAGCCAGCAGCTTCTGAGATCGTAAAGTGAAAAATGAGGGAAATAACCAGAAGTTTGTAAAATGATTTTATGAGAGATGAATTAGAGTTGTCAGTCCATAGACCACTATAGGAGAGAGTTCGAAAATGCAGTGGTAAAATGTCCATGCTGCACAGTTGGAGAAATCAATATAATGTGGAGAATGACAAAGCTTTATAATTACATGGCTTGTTGCCTTATAGTTAATAATCGGTTGTTGTAATTGGTTTCTATATCGTGTTTCATTTTAAAAAAGATGTTTAAGCACGAAAGCTTATATGTCTGCTCTAAAGACACTATTTGTGATATCATTTTCAAAAGAATATTCTATCTCTTTTTTAACAGTGTTTTTACTAGTTGCTGACAAAAGCATTCTTGAATTAAATAAAATAAATTATTATTTTTTTTCCTTTTTTAAAAATAAATCATAAACAAATAAAGACACTTGTTGAATGAAATTTTAGGAATATGTACCTACTTATAAAATTTTCTATGAAAATTTCTGAAAATATATCCAAGGTCTGCTGGTTTACATATGTATATGTATGTATACTGTCTTTTTATCAAGAAATGTTTTAGAGAGAATGTTTTAGTAAAAATTAATTTACTAGTGACACTATTGATATTTTTCAGCAGACATCGATTAGTCTTAATAATCTGTTTATTAAATTCTCAAGAAAATGTCTTACAGTGTAAACATCTTCTGATTTCAATAAACTTTTTTAATGCATTACTTGAAACACTGCAAATGCAAAAAGTACTTAAAAAGTTAAAATTGATAAATAGGGTCTAATTCTATCCTCCTTTACTTCTCCAAATGGAAGATTGGCAAATTTACGCCTGTTTTGGGAGTCAAAGTAGGGTCTAATTGTATTAGAATTAGACCCTACTTTACTACTCCTAACACTCAACAAACTCTGAAAATTCAGGGTGAAAGTAGGGTTTAAATTTCGACTCGGGTGACTGAATTTACAACTCAGTTAGAATCGAAAATAAGATTATTAATCCGTGGCACAACATTTTTTGGTCCTTCGAGCCGGATTCTTTAGTAAATTCTTTTAAAAACAGTGAATTTTGTGTAATAACTGTCAAGTGTCAACAACTGTCAAGTGCGTGGGCATTTTAGTGTTATTTCGATAGTACAACAGTAATACTTCAGTGTATCTTTGGTGACTCTAATATTTCAAACTTCTTGTGATATTTTTCATTTTTTTTAAAGTGCTGTAAGGCACAGTGTAATTGTGATAAGGGTTCAGTGAGTGTACGTCATTCTCCCAGGATCGCCTTGTTTCAAGATTCCAACAGTATAGAAAGGACAACGGTAGCAGTCATGCAAGGAAACATCGACATTTTGAAAACTAAACGAAAAACGTTCAAGTCGAAGTTGACAAGGACTAGTAATTGGCTGAAGAGTGAGGAATCGAAAGATGCTTTAACAGAAACTGTGGACTTAAAGCTCACGGATCTTGTAGCTAAATTATCTGACTGGGAGGTAGACCAGGCACAGTTACTAGCACTTGATCCAGAATACAAACAGGATCACATGTTGTTTAACTCAGCAAGGACCCGCGGCTAGGAATAAAAGACAAAGGCCACCGCAAAGATTGAGGATTGTTGAAAATAAGCAAGTTTCGTTGAAGGAATTATCCATAGCGTGGTTAGATAGGTGGGGATGAAAGATAAGACGAAAAATTTAGATAGTCGGGAACTCATCATAGACCCGAAAACACGCGCGCGAAAATAAATGTAAGTTCAGTGAAGACAATAAATAGGCTGTTTTATATTTTATTAATAATAATTAGTGGTACATTTATTTGAGAACCCTGAATTTAAAACAAGGATAGACCAAAGTATGATAGGAGCACTGACGAATTTTTAACATATTGGACATATTGGCATCGGTGATCTTGGCATGGTAGATGCAGGGGAAAGGTGGTTACGAAGCAGCCTTCGGTGTTTAGGCTTGCTGAGAAACGGACGCAGATCGCTCTCATTTTATAGGAAAAATTTATATGATAATTGTAATGATGATAAGGAGTATAGAAATGTAATAATGATAATAATTGTAAATATTATGTAATTATTATGATGATTTTTTCTTGTAAAAAAAATTCATCAACGATATCAATGTATATAGAAAAGGAGAGGTGTATCAAGTGTGACAATATGAATGATATCAGGTTTGTTGTGAGAAAGTTTGTATACGTTTTTTTTGTCTAACAGCGTAAAATTTCCTTTCGTTGAACAGGTTCACCTAAAACAAGGGGGTTAATGTAGGAAAATTATTTGTGTGTATAAAATTGTTTGAAAAATGTTGTGCCTGTAAATTGGCAATTGCGTGACACCCAAGAAATTTCAGAGAGGCTGATGCAATTTGGGGAAACGCGGCTAGATTAATAATGGGCGGAAAATTTTTGGAGCGCCACGCATCCACGCCGCTGCCGATATTTCCCCTGAGATCAAAATTCGATGAGTATTTTCTTTTTTTCTGTTTAATATGATTTTTTAATGAACTTTGTATTTTCTGATCTATTTGTGTTTATTTAATTCAATTTATTTATTATATTTTTGTCCTAAATTTGCATTTATAATTTGACTTGTGATGTGAATGTGTGTGTATGTATGTGTAAATTTAAGGCGGGCATAAATTTGTAATTTTAAATTGATTTTAATTGACTCGAGTTAAAACTACTGATTTTATTTATTGAATATATTTTTATTTGTGCACTTATTTTGATGACTTTTATTTTAACAAAAAACTATGAAAAGAAAAATTCTTAAATTCAATTCAAAATAAAAAAATATGTTGTACCATTTAGACCAAAAGTTAATTTTTTGACATTTTATTAATTATATAATTCACATAATCTTATAAGCCAATATAAATCTCTATCATCTCGTAACATTTATTTATACTGGAGACGACAAATACTGCGGTAAATGATAGACGACGAAATCCACACAAGTGGTAAATGTTGTAAATACATTTCTGTACCAAACTTGATACTTGACTTTGGACGTAGGTTATAAATGATCCGTTTGTTTACTTGAAAATCCTAATTTAGTCCACTAAAAATTATTTATGTTTAATTGTTTAACAAATAATGTTTTTCTTATTAAGTTTAATAACTACTTTTATTATATACGAATTTTTTGACATTCTGAAATAATATACCTCTTAATGCACCTCTATAAGTGTGTCAAAACAGGATCCAGCTGGATAAATAGTTTCTGAAAATTTGCATATTATGTTAACTAAAAACATTTATTTAAATTGAAATTTCAATATTTTTGACTGAATAAAAATATTTTCTCTTATTTAATTCTCTTAATAGAAAGTCAGTTTATCAATTAAAATTAGTGGCAAATTGAATTTTTGGAAACAAGCTGTGGTATTTAATTGTCTGTAAGCATAAAATTACCCCCTCCAAAAACTTCCTTTTTGCAAAAATTGAATTTGCCAAAAATTCGAATTAACTAATTGAGTTTTTGAAAAAAGAATAAGACAATAAAGTTCTTTTTTAATTTGTTCATATGTATACCGTCATTATTTTCACTTTGGCTTAAAAATCCTATTTCAAAAATCATATACATTTTTTGTTAAATTATTATTATTCAGTTTTCAGCATTTCACGATTTTTTTCAAAACTCATTTCATCATCATTCCAATTTCCTCATAATAAAAATATTGTTATACAAAAAGTACAGTCGACTATTTTTATATTAAAATTATCATTGATGTTATGTAGAAACTCCTAAATATTATCTTTACAAAAAAGATCTTTATCCTCAATTTTTTTAAAACTAATTCACTCTTTACGAAAAACACTTAAGGCACTGTAAGATGTCTTCATTATCTATTTACAAAAATGCAATTATGATTTTAATTATTATAATTAATAACAAATATTATGATTTAGATTATTATAATTCTTAACAATTATTATGATTTTAAACATAACAATTATTAACAATTAGTATGATTTTAAATATTACAATTATGAAGATTTAGATTATTATAATTCTTAATAATTATGATTTTCATAAAATTCATTTTCACTAAAAGTGTATAATAATTACCCAAACGAATGTATTTAGGTTTAGTACACATTGTCCACGATGTGATATAATAACTCCTTTTGCACTAAACTGCATTATAAATCTCAAACTTTTTTTATTTTTACAATTCAGTTGTGTCCAGTTACTATTATATATTGCATTGAGAATTATTTTACTCTAGAAATTGAAAATAGTCCGCAAATTTTTTTAGTCGTTTATAGAAAATAAACACAAAAATGCCTCTATGAATTTCTTTTTCAAAATTTTAATAAAAAACAATAAAATGTAATACCTTTAGTGTTAATTCATTACCATGATAACAGTACACAAAAATTTGAAACAATATGCATATCAAATACAAGCATATGGTAAAGCATTCGATACTAAGTAATTTTAACTGCAAAGAAAATTAAAAACATTTTTTAAATGTAAAAAAATCAGTAACCATCACGAAAGTTTCATGTTTGTTTTAGTTTCTAATCAAAATCAAGACGAAAATGAAAGTAAATTTTTAAATTTAGCTTTGTTTTCAGCATCGGTCCCTGAAAGAATTTGAATTAACAGATTGTAAACATAAGTATTAAAATTACCTCGATAATTTTAAAAATACTCGCACCTAAAGTAATCAAGCTGAAGAAGAAAAGTGTAGCAACGATTCTCATAAAAAAATGTTGTATCTTAAAAACTTGATTCTTGATATGAACATGATGATCAACATAACTTTTAAGCAGAAAATTTTCATTGCCATCAATTTTCACCAATCTCAAAGACAGTATTTCATATTGTGCACAAAGTAGTAAAATAAAACCATAAACCATTGTGTCCATTGACACATTAATTAAAACCCCGTAAAAAGCTGCGAAAAGTTGAAGAACGTAAGTAAACCAATACACTTGACTACTTGCAACATCATACGGTTGATATGTTTTGAAAGGCAATGACATATTTCCAAAACCCGTCTCCACGAATGGCAGTGTCAAAAAGCACAGTCCACTGGATTGACAAAGTATCATCATTACTAGAAATATTCTCTTAGCTTGTTGATTATATTTCTCCCAAATAATTTTCTCCTCTCGAGATATTGGCTGGAAATTTTCTACTTGAAAATCTTTTATTATTTCTGCCATTTTTTCACGCTGAAATGTAAAGTTAAATATTTTTAAGCAAAGTGCCATGAAAGTGAAAGAAAGAAAGAGTCCCTGAGTTGAGTCTTCTTCTGCAATGTATGTTTTTACAAAACCTGCAGCTTCGGAGATTGTAAAGTGAATTACTAGTATGATAACCAAAATTTTATAGAATGATTTTATAGGGGACGAATTAGAGTTTTCTGTCCATAGACCACTATAGGAGAGAGTTCGAAAATGCAATGGCAAAATATCCATGCTGTACAGATGCAGAAATCGATATTGTAATGTGGAGAATGTCAGAGCATTGTAATTACGTGTGGCTTGTTACCTTATAGTTAATAATCGGTTTCTATAGTGTTTCATTTTAAAAAAGATATTACAGCAGGACTGCTTATATGTCTGCTGCAGAGACATTATTTGCAATTAAATTTTCGAAAGACATTTTATCTTTATTTTAACAGCATATTACTAGTTGTGGATAAAATTATCACTGAATTAATAAGAAGATTTAATTATTCATTCTTATCATTTTTTTAAGTACATGAAGTAAATAAAGAAAATTATTTGATAAATTTTTGAAATTACATGTAGAATGGAATAAATAAATTAATTATTATTTATTGGATTTGGAAAATTTACAAAATGGTTTTCTAAAAGTGTTTTCCAAGGTATTTTTACGATGTAAGAAAAATAACAACTCGTGTAATTTCTTCTTGATACGCTCTCTAAATTTGAACTATACAAAATTTTTATTAATTTAAATTAGTGGCTGACTTTTTGCTTTTGAATTAATAAATTTCACTAATAAATAGTAATTTTTACGTATTTATTAGTAATATTTACTAATTCGAAAGCAACAAAATAAAAGCAAAAATATAACTAATAAGTTATTAGAACACGAAAAAAAAATGTTCACCTGAAACAACGATAAGTTTCTCTAGAATAGCGAAAATGTTAATTGAAACAACTAAAATTTTCTCTAATGCAGTTAAATTTTTAGTTGTTCCAGGCAAACATTTTTTTCCGTCAAGTTAATGTTTATTTGTAAAATTTACTAATTCAAAAGCAACAATTAAAAACAAAAAATAAACAGCAAAAATATTAATAATAAATTAGAAAAAATTACCATTTATTAATAAAATTTACCAAAAAGTCAAAAGTAAAAAGTCAGTTACTAATTCAAACTAGTAATCATTTTTAAGAATTCAAATTTAGAAAGTTGATACGTTTTGTTTGCTTCTATAATAACATTGCCAAGATCGATTTGTAATCAAAAAGTTTCAATAATAATTGCTTTTCTCCTAATTATGATTTACCCTCTAAATCTAAATAAGTGAAAATTCATTTCTTCAGATTTAGAGAATGAACTTAGAAATTTTAAAATTCTGTTTAAAATAAAAAAAAATTTATTTTACTACTTTTGATGAAAAATTATGTTGTGTGACTTATTGATTATGTAATTCAAATTGTACATAATCTCACAAAGTAATATAAATCTCTATCATCTCGTAACAAATATTTATACTAAAGACGACAAATACTGCGGTAAATGATAGACGACGAAATTCTCACTAGTAGTTAATTAATAAGCACATTTTTATGCATTTGCTCCACTCCTTAATAAATTCAATGCCGTATATGATGCTTTTAAAATCTGAAAAATTAATTAGTTTTTTTACAAAAAAAAATTAATAATAATTAATTAGAGAAGCATCATTTTTAAAGTAGCTTTTGCCCAATTTACACACTGAATTTTTCATAATTATATAGTAACAGTGAAAATTTTAGACTAATCCTAATAAGACCTTAATTTTAATTTTTGTGACGAGAAAGAAGTAAAATTATTGAATTAATTAAATTAAATTGTTAGCAAAAATAATTATAATTACCCAAACAAAAGTATTTAGATTTAAAATGCACTGTCCCTTATAAGACATAACAGTTCCTTTAGAGCAAATTTGCATGATGAATTTCAATTCTCTTCTTTGGGCAGAATCCACATTTAACCAATTGCTTTTATACACAGCATCTGCTACCGACTGACTCTAAGAATAAAGTAGATTTACTGCTTTAATCGGTACAAAATATTTAGTAACTGAATTTAATATTTTACTTATTTACTTTAATAACGATTATTACAAAATTTAAGTTTATTTTAGTTTTTACAATAATAGAAATTAATATAAATTTCTATAATAATAAAAATTTCTATAATAATAAAAACTAATATAAATTTATATAAATATATACAAAATTAAAAGAAAGAAATACCTTTTCTATCAACTTATTTCCATAAAGTGTGTACAGAAAAATTTGCAGCAGCATACACGAGCAATAAGCAATCATTGACAGAAAATCGATGCTAATTATACTAAACTTTATAAAACATTAATTACATTTTCATCTAAACAGAATTAAAAATGTTGTCGACTTCATCTTTCATCATAAAAAAAATTTTTTCTGCAGGTTCTGTATTGTATATACGGTTTTCTGCGGATATAAAATTGAGACAAATAACGAATCAAAAGTGTTGCGAAGCAACATTTTTGATTCGTTATTTGTCTCAATTTGACATCCACAGAAAAACTATCTGGATCATTAATAAAATTTTATACCTGAATAGCGTTAAAAATTGAACCGCTAAGCGTGAGCAAGCTACAGCAAAAAACCAACGCCACAGTCCTCATGAAAAACGAATTAGTCTTGTGCGTCAAATTTTGAATGAAAACATGATGATCAATAAGACTTTTTATTAAAACAATCTCATTCTCTTTACCGATTTCCATCAATCTCGCACAAAGGATATCATATTCAGCACAAATCAAAGAAATAAATCCATACATCATAGTGTCAGAAGTAACTTGAATCAATATTCCATAATAAGATCCCACCACCTGCCATCCATAGGTAAAATAATAAAAAGCCCAATTCGAAATCGGATAAGGCTGATAGGTCACCAAAGGCAATTCATAATCTCTCAACGATTTATTCATAACAGGCGCTATTAGCACCGAAGTACCACACATCATGGTAAAAATCAAAATTCTCCAAAATAACAAATTACTCTCCTGATTGTACGCTTGAAAAATATTACACTCCCCCTCCGACACTGGTTGACCAATTTTCTCATTGAACTTCTCCCTCAAATTTATGACTTCTTTTGCACATACAACATAATTGAGAATTTTCATACAAATCGCAATGTACGGGGCAGAGATGAAAAGACCATTTTTTGCCTCTTCGTCGGTATTGCCACTTGTTACGTAACGAATAAGATGGGACAATGTATACCAGAAGAGGAGAAAAACTATAAATAGTTTATAAATAGAATAGAGGAAGGAGAAGGCTTTCTTTTCACCGGACAATCCACCATAGTCAAGTGCCTTGAAATGCAGCGAGAGAACTTTCATATCTTCCGATAAATATAATAGACGGAAGGGTTGAGCTTGGGGGAGTTTAGATGAGCTTATCGAAGCTGCTATTATCTTGGTATGGAAATAAATTCAAACCTAAACCTAGCTGTATGTTATTATCTTCTCAGATAAGTATAGAGGCATTCTAACTTGAATTTTGTTATTAAATAATAAATTATCAGTTCGTATCGTCACTACTTGAATATTGACTAAATAATGTGTACAAAGTAATAAACTTCAACTATCAAAGAAATATTTTTCTAATGATAATAAAGATATGTATATCTATTAGAAAATCATATAAAGATTCCAAACAACTGTTTCTTTCTTTCTCTCTTAGTTTTTACGAATTGGTAAGTTCTGCACATTGTCAGAAGGGACTTTAATTTTTCAACACCACGACTGAAAAACTTTGCTGATTTACAACATTTATGATCAAAAATTAGCATTTAGAGTATTTTGGCATAAAATTTCTAATTTTTATAGCTTTTTTCTAAAAAAGGTTTTTTTCAATTTTTTGTTTCTTACACCAAAATGTTTGATTTATTTTGAAACAGAGAAAGTAGTAAATAAAAAATTGCTTTTTGGATAAAAATTATATTTTTTATTTTCAATCCTTGAACATAGACGTTGTTTACAACTGATATAATGATGTAACAATCTTTTTTGATACAATAAATAAAATAGTATTAAATATTTATTTCCATAGATGTACAGTGACGATGCACACCTACACTAATTAGTTTTTTTGAACATATTTTCAAATTTGTCAATTATACTTCTTGTCTTTATACAACACACCATAAAAAACGTCATTTTCATTTTAATTAATTCCTCTAAATTTAATGCATATTTTTCTGTATTTTTGTATTTTTTTTTCTTTTGATTTATCAAAAAGTAATATTCTTCACTTGAGAGGTTTTTCCTCTCGCATATTTGATAATTATGATTATAAAATTTACTGATGAAAAAAAGCAATTCAAATCCATAGAATTAAGTGTTTTTAGTTAAATAAATATAATTAATAATTATTTAGTATTTACTTACATTAATTAATAAATTTATTTATTACATTGTAATTCAATGTTTTTGACATCAGAACCTCAAGAAATTGTTTTATTTTATTATTAACCATTAAAGATAGAAATGTTTTACATTCAAGTGAAACACTTATTTGTTTTAAGAGTATATTTTAGAAGAGAATTTTTCCTCTAAATATAATTACTTTTTTCTGAGTGCAATTTACAATTTAAAATTTACCAGTTTATTTAGCCATCGAAGTATAATATATTTTCTAGTTTGGTTGGTTCAACAAAAAGTTCGTTTGCTGCAACCGAACTCTCTTGTTAAAATAGGACTGACCGTACACTCGGTTCTTAGTAACCAAACAAATTCGGTTGCATTTAGATCGGTTGAATTAACCAAACTGACCGTTTCTAAAAACCAAACAGTGCAGTGAAACTAGCAGTCGCGCTGAGCGCAAATGCATAGGCGCCGCAACACAGAAAAGAGCAGGGGCACAACAAATCACAATACACATTTTAACAGACAAAAACATAAAAAGAAAGTCAGAAAGCTTCTGTACTACTAGTAATTACTCTGTAGTCCTTCATAAAAAAAATTATATACAACCAATATTATTATAAACAATGCACACAGGTCGACATTATTTATCGAAAAAAGGACTTTTTCGGAAAAGACTAATTTAAAAACAATCTAAGGGGGTAGAAAACGTCCAAACTTCGGGTATTTACTCTCAAGACATAGACATTGATTAAAAAAATTAAAAACCACTTAAATTGTTATAAATAATGTACAGCAGTCGACATTATTTATCGAAAAAAGAACTTTTTTCGGAAAAGTCTATAATTTAAAAAAAATCTAAGGGGGTAGAAAACGTCCAAACTTCGAGTGATAATAACCACTTAAATTGTTATAAATACAAAATTGTATAAATTTTAATTTTTGTAAAAATTAATAACCACTTAAATTGTTATTGTTACAAAATACAAAATTCACTAATTTACAGATATAGTTATTTACATTTTTGATGCTGATAAAAGTGCACTAAGTGACGACGTGTATTCTAATGTGCTCGTGAATGATAATGGTGGCTGGACCTTTGCCTCTAATTTAACTTTTAAAGAACGTAATTGTCTCGGTTTTCCTAATTTTGGAATATTGTATGAATAGGTACTGTCTTTAAATGGCTTTGCTTCCTGCAATGTTGTTGCCATCCACTTTCGAATCGAATTCATCTCGCTTTCGTTGAAGGGAATATATTGGCCACTGATAATAATGAACTCCCATACGCAAAGTTGAATGCCGCAATTATTATTATTATTTTCTGCAGTCCCTTGTTTCGGTATATCTTTTGGAGCAAAAATTGACCATTCAGTAAAGTCTTTATTTCCTGCATTGCAAACTCTACTTACCATATCAAGAATCATTTTTTTTCATAATTCTGGTATAGAGGAATGTAGGCTATCTAGAAATAGGATGCAATGATGTTCAGAGATTACAACAAATAGTGACCAGTGATTTCCAGAATGAGCTGGAATAATCCAAGCAGAATAATTTTTGGCGCGTACACGATTGCACCATTGCATTACATCATTATCAGAGTACATTTGATCAATAATTGACAATGAATTTTGTACACTGAATATTAGAAAGTTACTGTTTTTGTATTTTTCTAGAAGTAATAAGCCAAATGAGTCTATAATGCTATCTTCTAAACATTTGGTTGGCAGTAACGTTTCTAACGATGTACGATCGACTAAAATACCGGAAATGTAAAAACTTTGATTCAAATTTTTTAAATCTGTTGAGTCCGACCATGGTTTTATTAACGAATTTGTTTTCACAACAGATGTTACATTATTTACGGAAATATCTACATTTTGAGAAACAAAACTTTTTCGTTTTTGTCTTTTGGTGTCTACTCATGTTTCAATACAAAGATCTGGATCTATGTCACTTATAACGGAATCAGTATATGACTTCTCTACTTCGGTTTGAAGCAAATCATATTTACTGAACGACTCATTTTTTCTCTTGCCATTGTTTTTTTCAAATTTATTTGGAATATTTGTAGATTTGTTGTTAAAGTTGTTTTCAACATCTTGGTGCATTTGGTTTACTACTTCTACTACAGATGTATTAGTAAACATTTTGTCAATCGAGTCTGACGTATCGTAATAGCTTTTATCTACTTCATTTATTGCTTCTAACTTTAGTAGACTTACAAGCTGCATTGAAATTATCGGGTATAAAGGAAATAAATCATAAAGTAAATAATTAATAAAGGATACACTGTGAAACTCATTTACATCTTGGTTTTCATTTTCACTGTTGAATGATTGCTTTTCAAAAATGTACATAAAATGTTGGAAAAACGGAGAAGCTACTAACGATTCGGAATGTTGGTCAATGTTGACATCCATATTGCAACTTGTATTTGTATAATAAAGTTTAAAGCAATTTTTTTCCCTTATAATGTTGGTTAGGGATTGTAAAGCAGCATAAAACTTAGAATTCTTGTAGTCAGGAAAAAAGACATTTACTGCAAGAGTGAAAAATTGAGTTGCTGTTTCAATGTTGGAAGACAAAATAATTAATTTTACAATGTCTTCTTGTAATTTCTTACATTCATCAGAAACTTTAAAAGTGTTTATTATCTCTTTTGCTCTGATAATCATTAATGATAGAATTACATGAACCACTGTAAAATGCTTAATAAAGTCTTGCAAATTCTCGACAGAACATATTCCATTATTCCAAATTTTATTTAAATAATACAAGGTGTTCATGTTATTAAAAGCTTTTAATGTAGAATTTATTGTTTCTTTATTAATGTCAATTTCTAGAAGTGCAATGAAGGGTTTCATTTGTTTCGAATGCAACTTCTTATGCAACACTATTTGTTTACACTTTAAGTGTAAACAAATTGTAATAAAAAGAATGTAATAAAACGGGCTGGCGAACTAACTGAAATTGTTTCTAAAATTTGAGTATTAATAGTGTTGTCATGAACCCATAAACCAAAGTAGTATAGAGGTTCTCTCTCGAAAGAAGCATCGGTTATTTGTACTACTTTTTCCAATAAGTAGCAAATAACTTTTTGCATTTTGCTGAATTGAATTAGACATTCAATTTGTTTGAACATGCACATATAGATGTTAAATGGATCCATTCCTAACACAGGTTTACAAATTAAAAACTTTTTTTTGCCAATCGAACAAAACAATTTTTTTTCGAATAGCATCAAAAATGTAAATAACTATATCTGTAAATTAGTGAATAAGTTTAAATCAAATGTAAATAAAAAGATTTGTATATAGAAAGCATATAAATAAAAATAAATAGTAATAATGTGAGAGGCAAGGGGACTCACCCTAAACAAGCACCACGATAATATGTAGATATATAAGTTAATAATAAGTTTTTTTCACCATGTACAGTTATTATTATGAATAGTTTTAGTAGTAAGTTGTTCTGTAAAAATTTTTTTAAAAATGTTTTAAAAAATTACAAAAAGAAGAAAAAAAATTTAAAAAAAAGAAAAAAAAATTACAAAAAAAGGTGAGAGGCAAGGGGACTCACCCTAATGAAGCACCCCGATAGAAACATAAAATTACTACGTCCACGCCGTTGTTCTGTACGACAAACAAAAGAAAGTCTGAAAATGTAAGACATACAAGTTGTGAAAACAATACGGGTTGTTTATAAATATATATATTAATAGTAAACAACATCTCAGAGAGCGTTCAGACCTCCGCATTCAAAACTTATGCATGCAGGTTGCCATAGTAGCAACAACCTACTGTATTTATAACAATTACAATTTATACAATTTATACAAAAATAAAAAATTTATAAAATTTTGTATTTATAACAATTAAAGTGGTTATTAATTTTTACAAAAATTAAAATTTATACAATTCCGTGTAGAAAAAGCCACGTTAGAGCCACGCCCCCCGGCGGGGGCCCACGTGGAAAATCCATGAGGAGGAATCCACGAGGGCCCCGCTCTTTGCCCTTACGATCGCCCTGCTCAAAAATCTTTCTAAGTCCCAAAAAAAAATTTTTTTTTTATTAAAAATGTTTCGTTCAGAGTGCATTAAATTACATTTCAAAGAACCTGAAATAAACATTAGGTGACATTTTTCCGGAAATCCTATCACAAAGTTATGGAAATATTCGAAGGCACCAGCAGGGGCCCCGCTGTTTGCCATTACGGTTGCCCTGCTCAAAAATTTTTCTAAGTCCAAAAGAACAAATTTTTTTTTGTTCAATAGAGTTTAATTTAGATTTCTTTAAATAACATTTCAATGCATTTTAAATAAACATTAAGTGACATTTTTCCAAAAATCCTGTCACGAAGTTATGAAAATATTCGAAGGTACCAGCAGGGGCCCAGTTTTTTGCCCTTACGGTTGCCCTGCTCAAAAATTTATCTAAGTTTCAAAAAAAAATTTTTTTTATTAAAAAAATTTATTTGAGATTGCATTAAATTACATTTCAAAGCACCTGAAATAAACATTAAGTAACATTTTTCAAGAAATTCTATCACAAAGTTATGGAAATTTACGAAGGCACCAGCAGGGCCCCTGCTCTTAGCCATTATGAATGCCCTGCTCAACAATTTTTCTAAGTCCAAACAGAAAATTTTTTTTACAACAAAAAATTATTGTTTACAATCATTTTAAACAATGAGAAACACGTTTTTAACAAATATTTAATGTTACTTTTTAAAAAATATAAAACTTACATGAGGGCAAATCCTTGAGGGCCCACATCATTAACTAGAAAAAATTTCTAAGTCCAAAAAAAAAAATTTTTCATAAAAAATTAATGTTTATAATGATTTTAAACTATGAAAAACGCGTTTTAAACACAAATGTTTCGACATTTTCTTTTGAAATGATAAAAATATTAATTTATGATTATTTATGGTCTATTATTATATTATTAATATTGTTATTATTATTATTAAACTATTTAATTATTTGTCATGGTGTATTAGTGTTAACAAATAATTTATTGAATCATCAAAAGCAAGTCAGATAGTCACCTACAATAAAGCAATAATTTTCAAGTAGGTCCCGTAGCATAGTGGTAAGAGTGTTGTCTGGTAGTCAGTAGGTCGTAGGCTCAATTCCCACGTGCGTCAGATTTTTTTTTCTGGTCACGATTTAATTAAAAAAAGTAAAAATTGTTAAATAAGAATGTTATTTATCAATAATTGGACTGATTTCTTATTAATAAATTATTAATTTATTAATTTAATTGAAAATAAAATTGAGGGCATTTTATGAAATCCACGAGGGCACCGCGTGGAAAATCCATATGGAATCCATGAGGATTTTCCTCGAGGGCACCCATGAGGGAAAGCATGTCACGCCTTCGAGGGCTCCGCGTGGATTGCCATTAAGGATTCCACATGGCAAGAGGGCAATCCACAAGGGCCCCGCCGGGGGCCCTCACCATTTTTCTGCACAGGATTTTGTATTTATAACAATTTAAGTGGTTATTATCACTCGAAGTTTAAACGTTTTCTACACCTTTAGATTTTTTTTAAATTAGTCTTTTCCGAAAAAAGTCCTTTTTTCGATAAATAATGTCAACTGCTGTACATTATTTATAACAATTTAAGTGGTTTTTAATTTTTTCAATTAATGTCTATGTCTTGACAGTAAATGCCCAAAGTTTGGACGTTTTCTACCCCCTTCGATTTATTTTAAATTAGTCTTTTCCGAAAAAAGCCCTGTTTGCGAAAAACTTTTTTTGACTGCTGTACATTATTTATAACAATTTAAGTGGTTTTTAATTTTTTTAATCAATGTCTACAATTATCTTAAGAGTTATATATCGAAGTTTGGACGTTTTCTACTCTATTAGATTTTTTTTAAATTAGTCTTTTCCAAAAAAGTCCTTTTTTCGATAAATAATGTCGACCTGTGTGCATTGTTTATAATAATATTGGTTGTATATAATTTTTTTTATGAAGGACTACAGAGTAATTACTAGTAGTACAGAAGCTTTCTGACTTTCTTTTTATGTTTTTGTCTGTTAAAATGTGTATTGTGATTTGTTGTGCCCCTGCTCTTTTATTTATTCCAAAAGGTCGTATAGCAGTAAAAGCATGTAAAAAGTGACCTCTCCTGGATTAGGTCCATATTTAGGGAATAATTTTGACCTGTTATGAAACTCATTTTCACCAAGTTTCAATTCGAAAAAAATTTTGTTTTTGAGTTAAACGATTTTTTGAAAAATTCAAAAATTTTGATTTCCTTTAAAATGGCTGAACCGATTTTCTTGAAAATTTTTTTTTTGCATAATACAATATGAACAGTTGATAAAAAAAAATTGTCCACCAAATTTTTACAAAGAAAATCAGTAAAAAAACAGTAAAAAAAAAATTTTTTTTTAACATTTTTTTTGCACCACCGCACCGACATTTTTTTCTACAAAATAATTGTCATTTCAAAAGTAACATATAATTTTTGCAAGATGATTGAAAGGGTACTTCATACTTTAAAAAATAAAAAAAACCGATGTTTGGCCCCTAAATAGTACAGTTTCCTATATGAACGAGGGGCCAATATTTTTTAAAATTAAATTAAATTATTAATAATTCAATTAAATTTTTTAAAAAGTTAATAATATATGCCTATTTATTGTAAATATTGATTTTTTAGTCAACTTTTCGAAAAAATTTACAAAAAAGTAAAGCTATCACTAGAAATTAATGATACATAACTGGAAATTTTAATAATTTATACAATGATTGCAGCAATTGACAAATTTGACAAAAAAAATTTTTAAAATAAAATTGTTTTAGAAATTTTTTCAACTTTAGCATATTTTTTAAAAATTGGAGAAAAAGTTTGAAATTTACACAGGTGGATCATTCAAGTTTTATCTTTAATTTAAGACCAAAAGAGTTTAAAAATCTTATTCGGTTCATTATAAACGTCCGAGCATGTTTTTTGACAATATACTGTTCCAAATTCCATTTAATCAGCAGTTGTTTATAATCTCCACTCATATTAATATTCTGCTGACTCCACTGAAAGATTGAAATTTAAAAACATACATGAAGTAATGTTTTTAAAGTAACAAATGAATGAGTGGTTACCATAACCGAAACATTTTGATTTTCGCAACCGAACAAGTTCGGTTAAGACAACCTGCCCTTTGTTTCAATTAACCGAACTTTTTGCAACCAAACCCATATTGGTCAATTTTACTGGACCATTTTTTTGCGTGTAATATCTAAATACCCTTTTAATAAATCATCGTTTTTGCTAAAAATTAGCAATTACTAAAGAATGACCCAAAAGTTTTGAACTTACAAATGAACGAATAAATTTTTTAATCTTAAAAATATTTTCATAACTTTCAGTTTTGAAATAAAAATTAAAAACTTAAATGTTCGCATTTAGAAACTTTATAATTATTTTTTTTCTGATAGTAAAATAAAAAAGTGAATAAATTTCGTTCATACGAAAGTTCAGAACTTTAGGATCATTAAAAAAATACCAATTTTTATTTCTTTGTACGGTTTATCTCATGAGTTGAATAAGAAAACCTTATTTATTAAATTCCAGATGTCCGTATGTCAGGATAAAAGAAAATTTGTACCATTTTTGTTTAAAATTTATTTAAACTGTTTAAATTCATTTAATTTTTTTTATATTGCTTTATGCCTTTTTGTTGTTCAATTTGCACTTCGTTTCAAAACATTAAGCGCCGTATATGATGCTTTAACAATCTGCAATCAACATTATTTGTTTAATGTATTTAAAAATATTATATTAAAAAAATGAATAAAATTACATTAATAATAATTTATTGAAAATTTATAAAATTCTAAAAATTAAGTACCCATACGAAAGTATTGAGATTTAAAATGCATTGCCCATGATACGAGAAAACATTTCCTTTTGAACTAAATTGCATTAAAAATTTCAAACTTCTCTTCTCTACGTTCGACAAGTTCAACCAATTGCAATTATAAATTATATTCGTGACTTCTTGGCTCTGAAAAATGTTTTAAATTTTACTAATTTGACGAATTTGATTAATTAGTTTGATTATTACGAAATACTACAATTCTATTTGCTCTGAAAAATGTTTTTTTATGCTACAATTTTATTTGCAAAAGCATCTCTTAAATTTAAAAAAATTAATTTTTTTGTGACTTTTCACGAAGAAAGAAGAAGAAACAAAAATATGTAATCTCTAAATCAAAATCGAATCATTTGTAACCATTTGGAAAAAAAATCTTTCGATGGATTACTTTAATCCTTCAATGGTTTATTTTAATTCAATTGTAATTAAAAAAAGCAAGTAATAGTATGTAATAATAAAATTAAAATAATACCTTCTCTATTAAAAAATTCCCGAACCAACAGTAAAGAAAAATTTGCGTCAACATACAAATGAGAAAGATAAGCATCGTACAAAACTTGGCGCTGAATAAATTTACCTACACAATTTTAAGAATTAGAAATTAGAAATTAAAAATTAGTAACTAGAAATTAAAATTTAGAAATTAAAAATAAGTTAATTAACATCTAAAGAAATATTTAAGTACTCTTCCACTGACCTGAACGACATTAAAAATAGTTGCTGCAAGCGTTATGAGACTTAAGCAAAAAAGAGGTGTCACTCCCATCATGAAAAAATCTTGCGCATACCAAATAAACTTCTGAATAATCGCGAAATGCTCCACACAATATTTAATCGAATAATATTCATTTTTATTACCAATTTTCGAAAGTTTCAAACAAAATATATCATATTGCCCACACAGTAATACTATCGTTCCATATGCCAAAGTATCCGAAGTGACATTAAACAAAATACCATAGTACGATGCCAAAATTTGCCACACATACGTCAACCAATAAGTTCTCGCATTTCCAATTTCAAAAGGCTGATAAGTTTTAAATGGTAACATGCAATTCTTCAATTGTCCCTCCAACAATGGTAATGACAATAATGCCGATCCACTCAATAAAGTGCCAATTAAAATAATCCAAAATATAGAGTCGACACTTTTTTTACAACCATCCCATACTGTCCACTCTGCATCAGAAGTTGGTTGACAAACTTTCTCCTCAAATAGACTGAATAAATTTTTCAGTGATTTCGAAGATAAGTTAAATATTATCATTTTTAAAACAGCAGCGAAAAAGGGTACTGCGATGAAAAGTCCCCGAATTGAATCAACATCTGATCCGATTGTTCTGAAGCACTCCACTAAAAGTGACAGGGAAAAGCTACAAACTATTGATAATACTATGAGTTTATAGAGAAAAAATAAGAAAGTATGTGTGAAATTTTTACTCCACACGCCACAAATAAGTAGAGCTTTCACGTGCAGGGGAAATTCCATTTCGAAGTAGAACGAGAACCTATTGTGAAAATCGAAAAACGAATTCTGGTAAATTATAAGGAAGTTAAATTATAAGTTAAATGATAAGTAACTTAAATTATAAGTACCTTAAATTATAAGGATGTTAAAAAATAATAATATGATAGTTGCAAATATTACCTTTCATTGAAGGACATAATGACCGAGAGCTTTAGAATGAGGGAGTAATTATCATTATTGATATTGAATGGAATAATAGCGAGCTCTTTAGTGCAATTTGCAAAAAATTCAATAATAGCAGTTTTAATTTTTTCCACAGTCACAGAAATCATAATAATTGTTTACTTTCTTGTTATTAATATTTCAACAATAAAGTACAATAACGGTAAAAATTATTTTACCAAAAAATGCGTCTAAAAAAATTCGTTAATAGGATCATTTTCTCTATTTATCAAATTCAAGATACAGTTCCAACTTTTATTGTTAGTATTTGACCCTAAAAAATTAATTACATACGTGACTCGCTCCGAAGAAGCAAAGAATTTTGAGGTTATATTTCTGTCATTTTTACCTAAATCAAAAATTTCTGGGTTTAATTTAAAACCAAAATCAGTTCTAATTAATTATTTTTTATACGATAAAGACTTAAGCATTTAGTAGTCTTCTATTTTAAAAAATGTATAAATAAGAAGTCAATTCGATAAAAAAATTCGTCAAAATAAATAAAACCCGGCCCTCTAAAGGTTAAAGTAATAATTTTTAATTTACCTGTTTCGTTATTATACTTCCAGCAAACAATGTATTACGAATAACGTACAATGTAGAGAGTATAAAAAGAGGGTGAAATTTTATAAATAAATTTTCATAATGGCATATCAACGACTATACAAAATTATAAAGTCTTAAAACGTGAAAGATAACGTACATGTCGATATTGTTAAGGGTGCCTCGTTTAGTATTTTATTTTCTAAACTATAGCGGATACATTTTCAACCCCTGTATTAAAGTGTGTGTGCAATTAGGTATGGTATCTATGTCCCAGTCGACCGGAAACATGTTATTACATTGATTTCGTGCTACCATAATTAGAATTGCAACAGTCTGTACAACGATATATAACAGGAACTGTATTCTCTTGCTTTGTCTTCTCTTTTAAATTGAGATGAACATATTTTCTGAACCTAAATATTCTTGTAAATATATTTAAACTTCTGTTTCAAATTTTTAGATTTAATTTTAATTTTATTTAATTTTAATTCATGATTCAAAATCTTTCTACTTCAGATATATATATATGTTATAGTTAAAGTCCGAAATCCGTTAATGTGGAGATTAACTAGTTAATCTGCGGATTACCTAAGATTCACAGTTAAAGTAAGAAATTCAGACATTAACTAGGTAATGCTAACATTGACGAGAATCAAACCGTTAAAGTGCGAAAAGTTGATTTCGTGAAATTCGAGACACTGTCTATCAATTTAGCAAGAGACAAAGTAAGTAATTAATGGTTCTATTGAAAACATTCTATTGAAAATTTTCAATTGAACTTTGACCTGATGTTGACAGGGCAAAAACGGATGCACGTTCCATTTTGGCTGTTGTACTTAATAGGACAGATGATGGCTTTTACAAACTGGGCAATTTAGTGTTTGTAAACAAATATTTCTCACAGAAAAAGATGTTCCTAATGTTAAAATTTCTTTGCGTCAAACAGCAATACAACAATCTCTTGGTTCTGGTCAGGGTTTTTAAAAAGTGCGATTGCAAATCCAAATGCAGAACCAGTAGGTGTGCTTGTCGTAAAAATAATATGGTCTGTAACTCCAAATGCCATAATTCTTTATCTTGCAATAATAAGTAATAAGTTTATTTAAAAAAAAATAATAAAATTGAATAACAATTTGAATAATGATATTAATTATTATATTAATTATAATTATATAATAATAATAAATTATAATTAATATTAATTATTTAATATATAAGTAATAAGTTTATTTTTAAAAAAGTTCCAATATTGTACACTTGTTATTCAATAAAAAATTTTACTCTGAAGCAATAATAATTTATGTTTTATTTCAATTAAATTATTTTTTCGCACTTTAACGAAAGTAAACTCGTCAATGTTCGCATTAACTAGTTAATCTGGATATTAACTAGTTAATGTTCGAAAAAAAAATTTTCTTTCGAACTTTAACGGATTTGATCAGGTAATCCGCAGATTAACTAGTTAATGTGCACATTACCTGAATTTCGGACTTTAACTACAAACATATATAAATATTTACATATATGCATATATATAAAAAACGTATTAAAATTGTTGCGTGGCAACAATTTTAATACGTTTTTTTGTTTCAATTTGATATCCTTAGAAAAGCTGTGACGATTTTTTTATAAAATTTAAAATTGATTCAAATACTTCAATCAGGGTTTACACAAAAATAGGTAGGTGAAGTTAGCAACGTTTTTGATCAACAACTAAAAGAAGAAAACATTTTTCACACCGAAAACAATAAATAAGAATTTTAATTAAAAAAAATCTGCCCGCCCGTCCGGATAAATTAAATTAAAATTAATTAAATTAAATTCTCATTCGCGCGCAAATGACTCGCTTCGCTCGCTGTCGTTCGCGGCCGTTGTGCATTATTTGCGTTCTTGTTCCTGTTTTCTATTATGTTTTATAAAACCTTTTTTTTTCTTAAAGTTACTACGACTTTAAGGATTACATTCTCATCACATTTTTGTTTACTGATGATTGAGAGATTAAGTGGACTTATATGCCAATTTTTGGTCTTGCTGATTTAAAATGCTCAAATTTGATATTTAATATTTCTTCACATGCAGACATTTAAATAACTACCTAATCCTCCATGAACATCGTCACTCAATAGTTTTAACCTCGCTCAACGATATCGTGTCAAGTTTCAGGAAATTTTCGGTGCTTTGTAGGGAATAAGACCTTACAGGAGTTATTTGGCCAGAATTTTATTTAGATATTTTTAAAAAATCGTTATTTTCAATATTTTACAATAATTTGAATAACTTCTCTGTTATTTTAATTTAAAAAATATATCACGTCATTTTAAATTTTGAAAAACTGCAAAATGCCCAAGTACCAATGTTTTCATTTTGTCAACTGCAATATTGTATCCGCCATTTCAAATTTTAAACACTGACTTCATATTCGTATTGAGCTGTCCCAAAACCCACGAGTAACAAATTTTATACCGGAGTCGAAATTTAAGCCCTACTTTCACCCTGAATTTTCAGGTACTGTTGAGTGTTAGGAGTAGTAAAGTAGGGTCTAATTCTAATACAATTAGACCCTACTTTGACTCCCAAAACAGGCGGAAATTTGCCAATCTTCCATTTGGAGAAGTAAAGTAGGTTCTAATTCGAAAAAAATATACCTTACTTTATAAACCTCGTAGACCCTACATTTTAAAAGAAAATTTTGAATTATTTTTTAATGCATTATTTGAAACACTGCGAATGCAAAAAGTACTCTAAATTGATAAATACTGATGTGTTTTATAGCGTCTATATACACTTCGTGTATGTAGACGCTATAAAACACATAAAATTCCACTTTTATTCATCCCAAGTGCTTCAATTGAATCTGAGCAAATCTTCAATTTTTTCTTTTTCTAATTGTAGGGTCTAGGAGTATGAAAGTAGGGTCTACGAGGTTTAAAAGTACGGTATAGGTTTCTTAGAATTAGACCCTCCTTTACTTCTCCAAATGGAACTTCGCGAGTCTTTAAATAATTCTAAAAAGAGCAAAAGTCAGGGTTCGGCTCGCGATAGCCGACACAATAATTTGAGCAGAGATTCCATAATCCAATAAAAAGGGCAATCCAACCTGCGAGTAGTTCGCAACCCCGACGTAGTTCGATGAGCAGTTGCAAATCGAGACGAGCCACACAGATGAGTAAAGATTGATCAAACTTACCAAGTTCGCAGATTGTTGGATCGCTGATAAGACGAAAAATAATCCTATTATGGAGAAGGCGCACAACACAAGAAAACAATAAGATTAATAATTGAAAAACATTTAATTAAAGAATAAACTTAAATTATATAAAAAAAAGAGGATGCGACGCAGCGCATCGATTACGCGCGGAAAATCGCGGTTTGAAGTCTCGCTTCTCTCTGATGAGAGAATCGCTTGAGATCGTCATCGTAATCCATAACACGTTTGGTGTGTGGCCCGATGACACCCGAATATATAATTCGGTTAATTACCGAAGGTTGCGGTACCTTATGGGCTATCGCTGGGCGCGATAAGTTGTAAGATGGAGAAACTACGAGAACGGCATATTTACAAAAATAAGGAAAACGATTTGGATCGTTACAACGTACAATGTAGAGAGTATAGAAGGAGGTTGAAATTTTATAAATAAATTTTCATAATGGCATATCAACGACTATACAAAATTATAAAGTCTTAAAACGTGAAAGATAACGTACATATGTCGATATAGTTAAGGGTGCCTCGTTTAGTATTTTATTTTCTAAACTATACACGGAGAGAAAAATCAAGCGTTTTTAGTATGGACAGTTAATCTTATTTCTGCTGTATTTGTATCAATTTCTACGTTATCAGCATAAAAGTTCTACCTTTAAACACATCGGACGTCAGTATACTACGATTGCAAGAGATCCATGCTATTTTAGTATATGTTTCATGCAACTGAGGTATAAGGACACGCCTCTTAAGCAGGGCGTTCATACAAAGTTACCATAGGAAGTCTCCATACTAAAAACGCTTGATTTTTCTCTCCGTGTAGCGGATACATTTTCAACCACTGTATTAAAGTGTCTGTGCAATTAGGTATGGTATCTATGTCCCAGTCGACCGGAAACATGTTATTACATTGATTTCGTGCTACCATAATTAGAATTGCAACAGTCTGTACGACGATATATAACAGGAACTGTATTCTCTTGCTTTGTCTTCTCTTTTAAATTGATATGAACATATTTTCTGAACCTAAATATTCTTGTAAATATATTTAAACTTCTGTTTCAAGTTTTAAGATTTAATATTATTTAATTTTAATCTTAAAATTTAATTTCTACTTCAAGATATTAAAGCTTTTCTAAGGATATCAAATTGAAACAAAAAAACGTATCAAAATTGTTGCGTCAAAATTGTTGCCACTCAACAATTTTGATACGTTTTTTTGTTTCAATTTGATATCCTTAGAAAAGCTGTAAGAATTTTTTTTATAAAATTCAAAATTGATTCAAATGCTTCAATCTGGGTTGGCACAAAATTAAGTCGGTGAAGTTAGCAACGTTTTTGATCGACAACTAAAAGAAGAAAACATTTTTCACACCGAAAACAATAAATTATACCTATATGGAAATAATTTTTGTTTTCAGTGTGAAAAACTATTTCGATCGAGTGATAAGTTTATCAATAAACTATGAAAAAATATTTAAATATTCTTATACAAAAATATATAAAAATTTTATTAGAAAAAATAAAGAATGAGAAAAAGTTTTCAAGTTTGATTTTTAAATTTCAATGTTTATTATTAATACTATATTACCAAAAGCGTAGAAGAAAAAATACAATTCTACCCGCCAGATAATTCCTTCTCCCTCTCGTCAGTTATGAGTTTCAAATATTTGAGTGCCAAGAACAATAATTGACGTTTTCGTCTCAAGTCAGAAATAGATCCAAAGTCCGTCACATTACTAATAATATTTTTCACAAAATCACTTCTTTTCTTATAATTAAGAGCAGAACGATTTTCTTCGCCACTTAACTTCTTCTTGTCAAGTTCTAAAAATTTTTCATTTCCTTCTCCTATTTGTGAGTTTTCAAATTTTTCCGCACTGTCAATTTTTTTAATTTCTGATCTTCTTAAAGATCGAGAATTTTCTATTGATCCTTTGTCAAAATTAGAATTCGCCGGCATTCGGATATGAAGTTCCAAAATTGGAATTAAATCATTAGATTGCTTTAGAATAAAATAAATCGATACCATTTCTGATACCTTGCTGCTTTTTTTAGAATCAGAATTCGTAATCGAAGCTTCTTCAGTCTTTGCTAAGAGGGTACTTTCTGCATTTATGGATTTCTTCACTACTTGGTTTCTACTTTTGGCTCTTTTAAGAACTTTCGAAAAAATTCCATCGTTGGAAATATACTCTTTTTCGTATTTACTTCTTTGTTTCGTTGATTTATTCACGTACGGATAATGATTATGGCTAAACGAATTTTTCTCGTCATTTAAAGGTTTGGTTTTATTTTCTATTCTTTTTCCTTCTTTTTCTTGACTAACTGGTTGCTTTTTATAAGCAAAACTTCCAAGACGAATTTGTACCCTCTCGCCTTGAAAGTTTACTGTCGTACCATTTAGTAATTTGAGTATGTTTTCGAAATTTTTGCGCCAATTATCTGATTTACTACTATAGGAATCGTAAATTTTTGATAACTTTTCCCTAACGAATTTTTGGACGTAAGTTTTCAATCGCGTCTCGTTTATGTCAATTCTTACCCCATTTATTAAATTTTTGAGAATGTTGAACAGTTTCTGAGGATTGCTACCAGCACTTTTTTTATTATTTCCATTTTTGCTGTTACTGTCTGATTTTTTGAGCAAATCAACAAGACGGTAAAATAGAGGAAAAGTAGAAGGAGAATCACTTGTTTCGATGTGTTCCTTTCGACCCTTCGTATCCCTTTGAATATAATTTTTCTCCAAAATACTCTGACTATCCTCTGGCGAATTTGGACGAGAAATCAAATTTAAATTAATTGTTTGTGCATTGGAAGTTTTGTCAGCAAAAATATTTTTGAAGAATCTTCCAAGTTGGAGCATAGAATTTTTATCGTAAGGATTAATCTTTAGATCATCATAGTCCGGAGTCTTTTTGGTGATAATTCCTTCGTTCGTAATAGTTCGTTCTGTGGTTTTTAATGTTGGTACAAAATTATCCATATCTGCACTAAGTTCGACACTCAAGGGAGATTCAATTGCGAAATAAGGAGGAATTATAATCTCCGTTTCATTTTCTGGTTCACTTGTACTTCCCGAGTTCGTTAGAAATTTTCTACTAGTTGTGTATTCATTTTTCTGATTCAGTAACTGCAGCTCCTCTTCTATCACCTTTTGAAGAATAGCCGAAATATTCAGATCCTTAGTGATATTTGCTGCAATCAAAGTTTCGTTTGTTTTTAGAAATTCTTTATCAGTCGTTGCTTCTGTAATCCTTTCCACAATTTCCGAAGTTGTAGAAGCTGAATCGTCATAATCAACATTTGCTCCGTATAAACCATCAGTAGTTACTATCTCTTCTGTTAATATTGCATTTGTCGTTGCCGTTTGTTCAAAAGTCGGTTCAGTATTTTCAAACTCATGTGTTTTGGAAAATTCTTTTTGAGAAACATTCTCTGGATTAGCATCTTCGGCACTGACCACCTTAATAATACCAAACTGCGGCAAAGATGGTAGTGTAAATTGCAGACTGAAAAGTTGAATAATGAAATTTAGTGAATTTGTTTCGTTTACCTCTGTTGATTCGAGTAAATTATATTTGGAATTTTTGTGATTATCTTCAAATTTCTTGGAGATTTCTTTGATGACCGACGACACAGTAGCTTCTTCTTTGAGGAAAAAATTCACTTGTTGTGAAGTTGCATAGGACAGTGAACTCGAATAATAAGATTCAGTGCTATGAAATGTTTTCATGTTACTGACATCCTCGTAAAGGAAAGGCACGTTCTCTTCTTTAGTTTCTGTGGAAGAATTCTGACTTAGCACAATTGTTGGCGTTTTTACCGGTTTCATGTCAGCAAGACCCGAATACAAATTCAGAAAATCAGAATTCATCAGTAAATCGTCTTGCACTCGGTGTGAAACGCAATGCCCTTTCCCTGCGGAGAGTTATAAATAAACCTGAGGTTACGTTGTTTTAAAAAGTTATAACTTTTGTTTTACTGTATTCTTTTTTGTTTTTGTTAATGTATCTAATGTGCCTAATGCATCTAATGTATCTTATGTACCTAATGTATTTAATGCATCTAATGTACCTAATGTATTTAATAAATCTAATGTTTCTTAATCTAATGTATCTTAAAGTATTTAATGTATGCTTACATGGTTGGCAGACGTAAGTTTGATTTCTCTTACAATTCAGACCGTAAACCACAGGCGTCTTGCGATTATCTCGTTCTAAATTTAAACAATTTTCATATTCACTCCCGTAACAATCGGAGCACCAGGGAATAAAATTAGACTCAGATATTGGATTCCCAGTGCTTTTCCAATACCAATGATTATTTCCTTCTTTGGAAATGTTTTGTCTCCTGTATCCATCGGTCCAAATACGTCGCAATTCTTTCAGAACGGAATGAACAAAAATTGTGTTAATTCTAAAGAAGAATTTCAAGAATTGTCCATTAAGAAATTACAATTTAACTAACCGTGATTGTAATCAGCCATGAGATTCATCATATGATTTATAATTTCTGCTGAATCGAAAATTACCAATGATGCATTAATAGCAAGACATGCTCTACTAGCATCAAGCCAATTTAGAGGATAAGTTCCAATCCAATAAGGACAACCATCGACTTCCAATGGTGTTGGCAATTTGCTGATTAATTCTTTCGCAGTGGCTGAATAAAATTGTTGAATTAACCTTCTTGAAGCTAAAATTTCAGCTTAATTTTTTGAAAATTATTCTTGATAACAAACATTACTCACTTTTCTGACATAATATGTTTCGTTTCCGATTACATTTGGCACTAATGTAGACTGGTTCTTCGAAAATATGACTGTCTAATAATAAACATCCAGTGGCCATTAGAGTATTGTTTGACCAAAATTTATTAGTATCTATGATCTCATTGGATGCTACCCATTTCCAAATGTTATTCTTAAAGTGACCACCTATCCATGCGCTCTCGATTTTATCTGTACAACATATTTTCTCTTCAACAAATATTATTTAATGCTTTATCAAATCGTTAATCAAATTTATCAAAACGTTAAACAAAGAATATGTGACGTGCTCTGAAAAATGGAACCTAAAGCAATTTTAAGATTATTTTTACCTTAAGTATAAACCACTGGTTTCGAATAAGTGTTTATTTTCTTTGTGTATTTTGATTCAAAAAATTGCAAACATAATTTTTTTTGCTTTTTGGCTATCATTCTTTTTGATCGCGTCACATATTTTTACAGATTAATTAAAAAGAGTCGGATAAAAGCTACAGAAATTTGATTAAATTACCAGGCCTCGCTTTTAACATTGAAGAAGCTACAAGACGAGCTTCTTCTTTGGATTTTACTTCAGCAATTTGAAAATTTTGTAGTCGACAATAAGCGACAGCTTCAGCCCAAGTTGCTTTTGCTGAATAGAGAACAAATTCTCCGTTCTCTATTTTTACAACACCAATTTTATTAGCCTCGATGCCAATTTTATCAATCACTAACGAGATTTATAAACAATTATGAAAATTAAAATATACACTATATTTCTATTTTATATTTATTGGGAAATAATTTTAGAAATTAATTTTAATAATAGTTATCAATTTTTTAGAATCTACCTCGTTCGCAAATGAAGGTTCTCTTTTTTGAACACTGAAGAGGAATGAAAGTTGGAATATTGTGTCTTTTTCCATATATTGTTAAACAACTATCAACACTAGAGACAAACTCAGAAGGATCCCATAGACGGAAACCGCCCATAAAAGTATGATCAAGTTTCAATTTTTTATTGTTGTCTATCCAATACCATATATCTTTTTTATTCGAGTGTGCACCAATCCAGAATTCTCCTGATTCTATAGAGAAAGAATTAATAGTATTTCAGTGTTTCTATTATTTTTTTTTCTCCTCATTTAATTGAAAACTAAAGAAAAAATGTATTTTACTCAAATAAATAACTGATTACTTGTCTACTATAAAACAAATATTTATTTGAATCAAATAGTTTTTATTTCATCAGTTAATAGAATGTATCGTATTTTATTTATTATATTTAAAAAGTATTTGTCTCAAATACTATAATTATTGGTGTAAATAAAATTTATTTGATCAAAATGAATATTATTTGATTCAAGTAAATATTTATTTGATAATAGACAACTAATCGATTATTTGAATCAAATAAATTTTTCTTTCGGAGTATTTTTACAGTTCGACATATAATTTTACTTATTTTTTATATAAATTCAATAAAAATATAAATAAACGTACAATATTATATTATTAATTAATATTCAATTAGTTGCTTCCTCATAGAGGAAGTATTTTTATTTTAAATTATAATATGTCTATTAATAAATAATTTTTTACTAAATTCACTAATGTTGTCTTTAATTTTAATCACTTGCCCAATATATTTGCCATTGCCCTAATTACAAACTCTGCTTTTTCTTTGGTATTTAAAATAGCAAGTTGCCCTTTATAGTTTACACAAATTGTGAAAGCTTCATCAAACGTAACTTTATATCCGAAAAATAAATATTCCACATTATCGAATGTGAAAATTTCTATTTGACCATGTTCCAAGTTTGTCACTTCTGTAATAAAATTTTAATAAAACATTAAGTACTGTTTTGAACTAATTATTTATGCTAATTACAAATTATTATTAGAAACAGTTTAATGTTTATTACTGCACTTAAAAAACTTAATAATCCTGGTTATAAGTTAATAAATTTTATTATATACTTAAAAGGTAATTACTGTTTCCCTGGGTTGTTTGACACAAATAAAAAGTAAATAAGGTAATTGCCCACATAATTAAACTTTCATATCACTTATACACAATTTTTTTTGCTTTGATCCTTTTGCTGCGCAGAACGATTTATCGCTGAATCTTGCGTTTATTATCAGCACTTTTGAAAAAACGTAATTCTACAGTGATTAAGAGTGTCAACATTTGCATATTGAAAAATTGATTAACAGAGAATTAATAAGCAATTAAACTGGCGCATATTCTGCAGCTCTATACTTTATAACTCTATTTTCTATTATTTATTTTACATTTTATTTTATACCTATTCTACTTTAACTTTATTCTATTTTCTACTTTTAAATTAATTTTTTTTAGATTTATATCCCTAAGGGTTGCGAGATGAAGTTTGTAAATAAATAAATAAAAGTTCTAATTTATTTCTTACATATTATTATAATAATAATATTTATTATTGTGATTTTTGTTTTTTGACCGAATTAATTAATTTGTAAAATAATAAAAATATAATTATAATAAAAATGATAAATACGTTACTATATAAATAAATATAAAAAACTAAATAAATATATATTTAATACGTTTGAATATATGTTTATTTATAAAACTCGTCAATAGTTTAAACTTTAAATCTTTATTTATTTACTTTTTTAAATTATTAGCCTTATTGATTTTAAACGAAACGAAAGTATATCCATCTAGAAGTAGAATCTTGAACTCTCAGAAATAAAAATTTAATCAATACTTTTTCGATAAATGAAACCTAGTAAATTTTATTAACAAAACATTGAAAATTAATTGAATAGAAAAATGCTAATTTAATTTTCCTTCATATTTTCATAACGTTAATTAATTTTTTTTATGAATTTCCTTGTGAAATCCGACATATGATAAGTGACGACTTATCATCATATGGTAATAAAATGTACGTACAACTTTGAATACATACAAAGAATATAATATTAAAATTGAAATATTAATAGTAAAGTAATGTTTAAATTTTTTTTTAAATATTATAAACTTACAGAGATGAGTCTCGGCTTCCTTCTGAATTTGCACATATCCTTTTTCTGGAGCAAAAAACACTCACTCGCGATTTTACAAAATTTCGAACACTCCCGAACAACGTGTTTAAAAAAAGGAAATTGGGAACTTTTTTTAATTACAGACGATCGCGATTTTAAGTATTACGAGCACTCCCGAAATTTAAATATTAATTTAATTTACTGCAAATTAGTTGAAATTAACATTGTGAGGACGAAGGCGAATTTTGGAAAATCGAACTCTCGCGAAATTAACACTTACTTGTAAGAAATTGAAATTTGAAATTAGAGGGGATTTTAAAAACACGTGGTCAAACGCGACAAGAAAAAACGGTTTTAAAATTTTGCACCGATCCTTCTGACCCACAATGGTTATGGAAGTTAGCCTTTACCCATTGATTGATGTCATATCCGTGTGGGGACGCGAATTAAAGAAAAGATGCAACGAGTATGTGTTTCTCAGTCCTCTTTCCAATCTGAAATTTGAAAGTAATTTTTAATTAAAATTAAGTAATTTTATGTAAATATTATTTTATATAAATTATAAATATAACTATTTATTTTTGAGATGTCTTAGGAATATTTCGTGCAACAATTCAATCACTGATTTAAATTTCTACTTGTATAATTTAGTTAAAAATTACTTAAACTTCTAGTAACTAATTTAATTAGATTTTGAGTTCTCTTTAGCTATATAATTTCACAAAAAAATTAGTGCTCTGTTTACTATAAATTAATCCTTTTCAAACCCGTACACTTAGTAGGTTTTTAAAATTTTTTTTTAAATAAATAATTTTGTTTTTTTCAAAAACTCATCCCTATTCTCTAAACTTGAATTAGTAAAAATGTTTACTAGTTTGAATAAGTGGCTGAAATTTTGCTCTTGAATTATTAAATTTTACTAATAAATAGTCATTATTACTAATTTATTAGTAAAATAGCAATCTCTACTAATTTACTATAGTAAAATAGTAATTTTTTATTAATTTATCAGTAAAATAATCATTTTTACTAATTTATTAGTAAAATAGTAATTTTGACTATAATTTATTAGTAAAATACTAATTTTGACTAATTTATTAGTAAAATTTACAAACACAAAAGCAAAAAGTCAGTCACTAATTCAAATTAGTAAACATTTTTACTAATTTATAAATCTAGAGAATATGAAAAAAAATGCATCTTAAACTTATCTCACTAAGAGATAATTAATTTGAATGTATAAAAACTCAAGCTTGCATAGTTTTTTTATTCATTTTTGGTACCGAAGTAGTTTCCAATGTTCATTAAATACAATGCCGGATCCGAAAATTGTCTAGTATGCCAGGATTTTGAAAAAATAGGCATAAAGACCCCAAAAAACACATTTTTGAGGATTTTCATTATATTTTTTCTCATTAATCCCATTTGTCTCAAAATCTTGCCGTGGTAAACAATTTTAAGACCTGAGATCGTATTCAGCGACCAAAAATATATTGAAAACGACTACAATGTCGAAAAAACAAAAAAATCTTCCTTTTTGGGTCTTTACCCCCACTTTTCTCAAAATACTCTAGTTCTTTTTTTGGTCTTGCATATTAGGGTCTTTAAGTGCATGTTGCACCTGACGTGCAGGAGAGAAAGACTTCCACGAGGTCTTAAAATAAAGCTTGAAGCCTGCATTTCAAGACGCATATGCGCAAAACCAAAAAAATGGAGGTTTTTGAGAAAAGTGGGGGTAAAGATCAAAAATAAATTATTTTTGTGTTATTTTTGATATTGTAGTCGTTTCCAATGTATATTTTGTAGCTGAAGACGATTTCGAGGTCCAAAATTGTCTAGCACATGAAGACTTTGAGAAAAATGGCGTTAAAGAGAAAAAATATATTTAAAAATCCTCATAAACACACATTTTTAATGGATATCTTACTTTTTACTTACTTAATCTTACTTTTCTTATTTAATTCATTATTTATAATTTATTACAATTTTATATAAAGCTGCTAAGAATTCTTGTTTTTCTACACACCCTAATTTGAAACAAGAGTATACTCCTCGCTATAAACCGTTGAGATTTCTCACTAATTCAGAAGATTTAGAAAGTACAGTAAGAATTATTGCAAGAAAATGCAGTAAAGAAATTTTGTAAACTTTAATCCTCTCTAAAGATTGCATTCCTTCTACCGAGCGCAATAATATGTCATTCTCCGTACCTTCATCAATCCGTTGCTCTCACCACGAGGTCAAAGTTTAATACAAATACCCTCAAAAGACAATGAAAAATGAAGAAGAAAAAAAAATAGCGGCGTGGACAAATGAGTGAGAGAAGAAATTGTCCGCTTGTAAAAGGAAGACAAGAGAGGAAGTGTTTTGCAGAAATAAAAAGAACGTGACTCGAAGAAAGGGCATGGGGTGAATTGGCTGAGACGGGGGGCAGGAGAGAAGGCTAAGTTGCTAATTAGAGCCAGATTAAACGCTTGTCTGGGGAGCCATTTTCCTTGCCTCTCCTCCACTGGGGTAGGCGGGTTGGGGCAGTTTGAATTAGGCTAGAGGGGGGCAGGAAGAGGGGAAATCCAGGAGAATGGTGGGGTCGTCAGGGGAAGGCTCAAGGCGAGGGTGGGAGTTGGTTGGAGGAGCGAACTGATCCAGGAGACGCGGGGGAGAGCTTAATGAAAAGCGTTTGCCCCGTAAAAGTTAAGATTAATTGGCGCTCGGGGGGTGGTTACCGCGGTAATCAGCTTGGTCCAGTGGTTTTCAAACCTCTCTTCCGATCTCCCACGAATTCAACATCTTTTAATTCTATTCTCTTATACCAATCCAATCATTTACTCTTTTTTCGCTTTCTCTTTACATTTCCTTTTCTCTTAGATAAATATTTACCCTTGTAACTGATCACTTGCCGCAATTCAATCTAAATTGATGATTATTTAAACAATTATTATCTCTAGTGTGTTGATGAGAATGTTTAACAAATACAAAAATCTTTTTGAGTAATAAATTTAAAAAAATTGTAAAAATACAAATTCAATTGTTTCGAAGAAAATTTAAGTTTAATTTAATTAAAATTATACTGAAAATAATTTATTTCTTCTAAAAAGTTTATCACAATTTTTAAAAGTAAGTGAATTCTATCAATAACTTTTTATAAACTTTTGAAAAATAATTAAATTCCATTAACAAATTCTCTTTAAATTATATTGAAAATAATTAAATTTTTCCGAAGAATTGTATAATCGGTAAAACTAATTAAATTCTTACGACGAATTTTATTAACATTTTTATAAATAATCGAATTCTTTTGGAAAATTTTATTGAAACAGTAGATATTGAAAATAATTGAATTGTGACAAAAAATTTTAATAAAATTTTTGATAATAATTAAATTCTTTCAAAAAATTCAATTAAAAATGCAATGAAAATAATTAGAAACTTCTAATAAACAAATTATAACAAAATTTTTTTAAATAATTTATTTCTTTTCAAGAATTTTAATAAAATTTTTAACAATAATTGCATTAATCGAGGAATTCATTTAAAATTTTATTAAAAATAATTGAAATTCTGCAATGAATTTAATTGTTATGAAAATAATTGAATTTTTGGAACTAATTTTATTAAAATTTTTAAAAATAATTGAATTCCTAAGAAGAATTTTATTAATTATGAAAACATAGTATTTTTTCCAAGAACTTTATTAATTTTTTTTTTTGAATAATTGAGTATTTTGTTAAGAATTTTATAAAAATCTTTAAGAAAATAATCGAATATTTTCAAAGCATTTTATAAATTTTTTTTTCAAATAAATGAATTCTTTTGGCAATTTTTTTTAAATAGTAGGAATAACAAAAAAAATTGAATTTCGAAAATTTTTTGAAAATATTTAAATTTTTTAAAAGAATTTTCTAAATTCAACCAACTCAATTTTATTAACACTAATTTTACTAACTTTACTTACTAACTAATTTTATTAGTTTCACTAATAAATTTCAGTAATTTTATTAATTTTACTAAATTGCATTTTAATTTAATGTCTCACAATTTTCAGTAAAAAAATTACCCAAAAGAATTAGTAGCGGATTTTCAAGTAAATCAGATTTAGAAAATCATAATCAAAATTTTTATAATAATTAAATTCTTTTCAAGAATTTTAATAAAATTTTAACAATAATTGCATTTTTTGAGGAATTTATTAAAAATTTTATTAAAAATAATTGAAAATCTGCAATGAGCTTTATTTGTTATGAAAATAATTGAATTTTTGCAGCAAATTTTATTAAAAATTTTTAAAAATAATTAATTTCTGAGAAGAATTTAATTAATTTTTTTTTAATAATTGATTTCTTTGTTAAGAATTTTATAAAAATCTTTTTAAATAATTGATTTTTTCGAAAAGTGTTTTTTAAAATTATATTTTAATTTTTAAATAATTGAATTCCTATGAAAATTTTATTATTTAAGAAAATAATTGAATGTTTCCAAAGAATTTTATAAATATTTCCTTTAAATAAATGAATTCTTTATGACATTTTTTTGAAATATTAAAAATATAAAAAATAATTGAATTTTGAAAAATTTTTGAAATGAAAATAATTAAATCTTTTGAACGAAGTTTATTAAAATTTTTTGAATTTTTTCTAAGAATTTTTTTAAAAGTTTTTAGAATATTTTTTTTATTTCAACTGTTAGTAAATTTAAAGTAGTAAAAATTCTCAAACATGAAAAAAAGTAGCTTTCAGTGTCAAAAAATTTAAAAAAGTATCAAAATACAGTGAAACCTCGATTATCCGAACTAATTTAGGCAGGATAATAATCGAGGTTCCGCTGTAGCAGAAAATCGTAAAAGAAGAATAACACATGTGTAAGTCACTGGAAATGAACCCAGATGGGTAAAAATAGCAAACATAACCTTAAAATGTCTATCTTCTTGGGTACCTTTCTTCAGCATAGGTCACAATTTTTTTTACTATTTCTAACCAAAAAATTCTCGAATAGAAGCAAAGTTGATTAAACATATACACAAGTAGACCAAAAATTGATAATCACTTAGCGGAAATGTAGAAACTAAATGAAATAAATAGGTATCTACGTAAAATACAGTTGCCGCGCAATGATAGTTTTTCTCGAGATAGTTGAGCACTTCTAGAATGAGAGGTTAATTTGGCGACACCTAGTTTCATTAACAAGGCCATTAAAAGTAATGGCTGGCGTGGGGGTGAAGTTGGTGCGGTGGTCCCATAGAGGAATGAGAAATCTAATTACGCAAGAGAACTTCAATGGCGAATAGGGGTTCCCCAGTAGAGGGACTGTACAATGCAATAGGGCGGTTCCGGAATGCAATGATATCCTTTAAGCGGCGAAACTAGCGTAATTGTTTTTAACAATGCATTTCAAAATGCCTCAACTCCAATATGAAAAAA